GGTATTGCCCTAATTGGTCAAAGACCACATCCGCGTGGCGAAGAACGATTCTTGAATTCAAACAGTCAAACATCAGTATCGCCGCAAATCTCGTAGAATATAGTCGAGTAGTCGAGCATTGTGATAATTCAGTACAAACCCACAAATTACATTTCCGAACATTCAAATACCAGCGCCCCTAATACAGTCCACGACCCCTGCAGCTTAGGGTGGACGCGCCTAGGAAGAGAAGTCTTCGTGAGGAAGCCAAGGAAATTAAAGGTAGGACCTGATTGGCGAAGCTTTAAATTTTCTTACGCACGTGACATACCGTTAGCTTAACCACAACCTATTCAACAGAAATGTATAAATTACCTACAATAGGTACAAAACTACAAAAACTTAATTTATTAAACTTATGTTTTATATATTATGTTCAGATACGTTTCTATTATTAATATGAATTTAACAAAACCTAATAGATGTATTTAAAATATTATTCCTTTAAAATTTTATTTTTTTATTTTTTTTTTATTCCGATAGTTTTACGAAATCTATACAAACTTCACAAAAGTAAATGCAGTAAACAGTCAATATCTTACCATAAATAAACCTTTTTAAAAGACTCGATTAACGATAATATAATAGGCAATTGATAAATAAATATAAAGAAAACGACAAAACTTATTTTTATTTGAATTCATTATAAATATATGACTGTTCCAAAACAAAAAATTTTTGCCGGCTTCATAATATCATTTAGTTCTTGTTTTTCAAAATTTGGAGATACCACACAAAAAGCCCATTATGTTTCTTAGAAAGCAACATTTGCAGTTGAATATGAAAGTATAATTTTCTAGTCACTTTTCACTAGATATAAATCTCTTCAGTCTTATTATAACGCTGTTGCTAGGTTCACGCTAAAGTGTATACAAATCAAAAAATTATATACACGCGAAACGAATATTGCTGTGGTGGAAGGTGTTTGTGTGAATGCGTGTTGTTTGTTTTCATTTACGCCGTGACTAGCAGTAGTATTTTATAAACCTTAGAAGCAAACTTCACATACATGAACAAATAATAATAATAATGCCGTGACAACAAGAAAACGAGGCAACGACTTCTCGTAGGGTGGCGGCTTCGCCGCCACAAAAAAATGTCAATCCATACCTAGCTACGCCGACCGGCGTAAACACCAACGGCCTGCACATAGCTCACCTACTCTGTCAAGACGTTTCGCGTGTATATAACTTTTTGAATTGCGTACAAGTTAGCATGTACCTAGACACTGTGTATTTATAAAAAGCCCACATTTAACATTTTCAATTCGAAGAAGAATAGGCACCCTAAGATCATTAGAGCTTCAAACTTTTGACAACAGTGGCCTTTTCTAATAATACAATGTGAAAGTGATGGAAGTTATTCACTTCGTTAGTGAACAGAAGTAGTGTTGTGAATATCCGTATCTTTTTAGTATTCGGATAATACGTATTCGGAACCAAGAGATATTCGGATTCATCATCCGGATACGTATCCATATGTGTGAAATCATAATACGCAACCGTAAATACACCGCGACCTTGGGAATCGGAATCGGGCAGTGTTGTCAACCCTAGCAGAATTTATGTTTGAGAGTGAAGTAACAGGAGCTTTTAATGTTTTAGAATAATAAACACAAGATAAATCTCAAATATTTTGTTTTTTATCATAATATCAGAAACAAAATTTCTCATTTATATAACTTCATGTTACCTTTAAAATATGCAGTGCATGCCGACTAACCGATTATGAAATTGCAACAACGCTAGACGATTCCGAATTCTGATTTCGTATCCATAGTTCGTATCGGCTGCCACCCGCAAAACCCGAATCGGCTCTGTCATAACAGAACTTGCAGCATTCGATTCGTGTATTACGATTTTGTTTCTGTTCTTTTTGATACCGAATTTACACTATTGATTCCGGAATATCCGGATCCTTTTAATATTCGGATTCAACGGATTTTTGGATACGTATTCTTACATCACTAAACAGAAGCCACAACAAGAAAGCAACATATGTTTGCACCCACCTTAAAAAAATAGAATCATGTAAAATCATCTAATACCGTATTTTGAGCTTTTTAATATTGACAAGAATTGAAATTACCTTCGAAAGCAGAATATTCTGTGAATTTACAAGATATGACCTTTTCCTTTTGTTCATTTATTACTGAATAAAGCTATAAAATTTTTGTGTTCTGGGGTAATTCTAGCTTTAAATAGTAACCAAACATATGATAGTGCACTTCCTTAGTAGATCTACAATAGAATAACAAAATGTCAACAATATTGAATAGTGAGTTTGTATAATAAATAAATGATTCTTTCTTAAACACAAATCTCTTTGAATACAATAATTCTAGAAAGACTTGGAGCTTAGAAAGTGTACTTACTGTTGTGAATTTCAAAGCCAATAAACTTTATATTATTTATATAAAAAATCATGTTTGAATCCACCTTGGGTAAATTGTTTAAAGATTCTTTTTTTAATCCTGTTTGTACTTTGGCCATTTTTAAAAAATTAAATAACAATTTTAAAATAAATCAAAATAATCTCCTAAACGAAAACAAGGTTAGCATTTAGATGAACAGATGAAACCAATAATAATCGTTACAACCCTTGAATCGCATTCGCAGTTGGATGCAATTTATTTAGGTTTTACTAAAGCCTTCAATCGGGTCAATCATAATTTATTACTATCTAAATTGAATTTTTTTGATATTCAACCATACTTAATTAAGTGGTTAGAAAGTTACTTGCTTGACAGATCTAAAATTGTACGTATTAAGAATTTTCATTTATATATCAGGGTTTCATATGGAGTCCCACAGTGTTCCCATTTGGGTCCACTTTTATTTAACTTATTTGTAAATGATTTATATGACAACATTAAGTTCTGTAAGTTCCTCTCATTCTCTGACGATCTTAAATTGTATATTGAGGTAAATAAACTCGAAGATTGTATTCTACTACAGAGTGATATTGATATAGTATGTAATTGGTGTTTAAATAATGACATGCTATTGAACCCTAATAGATGTTACAGTTTAACATTCTGTAAGCTTAAAACAGCAATTACCTATGATTCCACTTTAGATAATAATCTAATACAAAAAGTTTAAGAAATCCGTGATTTAGGCATTGTATTTGATAGCAATCTTTCCTTTGTTCCTCTTATAAACTCAGTCATTTCAAAATCACTACAGTTACTTGGTTTAATTAATAGAAACTCTAAAGACTTGAGTATTGCAGCATTAAGAACCTTATTCTGAGCCTATATTAGATCCACACTTGAATATGAATCTGTTGTTTGGTCTCCGCATTATTCAGTGCATATCCAAAGACTGGAAGCTGTTCAAAATCGGTTTCTGAGAACCTGCACTCACAGAATGGGATATGCACAGGGTACTTACGATTACGACTATGAAACGATTGTAAGACTTTTAAACCTTGAATTTTTATTTATAAGATAATGTATTAATGACCTGTTGTTTTTTCATAAAGTGTTATCAGGTAAAATAAACTGTAACGATATATTATCGTCATTGCCATTTTGTGTACCAGCTAGGTTAACACGTAAGGTAGTTTTGTTTGAGCTTCCACAGCATAGAACAAACTAGGGCTATTTTAACCCCTAGACTTATGCGCCTTTGTAATAATTATAACTGTGACATAATAGGAACCTGTTACAATAAATTTAAGAGACAACTCTGTTTGTCACGCCCTAGAATCAGTTAGAACTGTGGGTTTATTTCAATTGTTTTTTTTTATTTAATTTAAATTTGTTTTTTGTTTTAATTTAAATTTATTTTTAATTTTACCTTTCAATTGTTTTTTTTTTGTTATTTAGTTAGGTTAATACTAAAAATAACTAAAAATTCAGTCCAATAGGCTATCAACCGAAGACCTTCTGCCTAGATGAAACCACATCGCCAGACTTATAGAAAATATTTCATGATACTGTGATTATGATTTGAATAACATTTCGATTAAGAAGAAAGTTTATTAAAGTAGTAAGTGTTGATTCATTAAAACCGAATTTAAACAAATATTGTTTTAGTTTTAGTATATATGTTTTTATGTTATACAATCTTAACCTTTAAATTTTCAGTTATCAGGAATTTCAATATTTTTCTATAAGAAGCGGCAACAAGGTAAAAACATATGGACTATTGTCTAGAAGGTTATAAATTAGCCAATCAGATTTTAGGCTTCATTATGATGATGTTTCAAAAACATTGTGGCGAGCGTTTCAAATTTGCTTAAATTTTTTGGCATACATCTGAACAAAGTGCTTGCTTAGTTGCATACCACAGAGTGCAGATGTTTTATCAATTGGTATGGTGACATTTTTTCAGAGAAGTTGTAAAGCCGTTGGTCCCAAGTCCATGGATGTTGGGATCCTTAACCACTTAATATACACATTTATTTTGATTAACGAGAGTAAAAAAAAATTGTTAGTAAATATAATGGTCGCCCGTATCCCAGTTGAGGGCGTACAACATTTGCAGTAAGACAGGCTTGTCACTGAAACGGTCATGTAAAGTGGTTAAAGATGCCTACCTCTGGTTGGAACACCAACAGATTCAGCTAAATTTCTAGTAATTGGGGGTAGTGTGCTCACCAATGTCGGTATTAAACCTCATAGTTAGAAATAGGTAAACATTAAATAAGTTAATAAAAAAGGTATTTTATGTTGACATTGTTTTACCCACCCAGCAACCTTATTCACTCTTTCCTGTAAAATTGTTAATATTAATTGAAAAATGGCAAATTTTCATTTTAAAAAATTAATTAATTTGCACAAGATATGGTATGTAGAATTATTGTTTAAAATAGTGACACCTACAAGTACATATGCTTAGTTTTTTCATAATTGAAAAGAGAAGAGGCCAAACTATATATTTATTGGCATATCACTTACTAGTACCTCCTTTTAGAGGGCCCTTATTCAGGACATATATACAAAATGCACATACCCCTTTTCTCCCATCATTAAAGCCATACATGCTGTTAGATAGCCACTGCCAGATCCAACATCTAAGGCTCGTGTACCATTCTCTAACTTCTCTTTTAAAAGTTCCAATGCATGGGCATGCATATGGGGAGCACTTATAGTAACTCCATATCCTATGCCTTGTGGAGCATCCATATATGGACTAACTTTTGAATAGTGACCTCTATCAACAGCCAACATTGCATTTTCAACTATGTCACTCTTGATAATGCCATTTGCTAAAAATTTAAATATCAAAACTGTAATTTTGACCTAATATTGATGTCAGACTTTCCATTACCTCTTAAATTCCTTACTAGTTCGGCATTTGTTTTGCCGTGAGACCTCCAGGCCATTACGAACAAAATTTGAATAGATAGCACCACGAAAATTCTAAACATTTACTTTCATATTAATTTTGAATTGCATTTTTATAAATTTCGTTACGAAATTTGACATCTGTCCTAAATAAATTTATTATTATTTTGTTTTTTCCTTTTGCTATGAGCTGAAAGAGAAACCTGCACCAAGTTTATTCTACTATCCAATAATATCTATTGTCTCTATTCGTCTTACTAAACATGTAGAATCTCTCTTTTTAGTATTTTTAATACAATTCAATAGTGTACTCCAACTATGAAGCCTAACTCCAACGAACAATTTTTTTCTTCGTTTTCTATAATTTAGAAATATTAGAGTCCTTAATGAAGAATGATTATAGTCAGTGAAATGTGAAATGTCTCAATGCAATAACTGCAATACCTATTTAGTATTGGTCATATAGTAGATAGGTGTAAGAAGAAGCTAACTTCGAGCAATTACTACTAGAGAGAGTCTTACCCCTTCCCCGCGCTAAATTTTGTGTGCAACATCTACTCCCCCGACGGGGGGAATCCCTTTCCTGTAATTGGCTTATTTAATCATCGTTGCCAAGTTTGACAACACCAGTTCTAACACTTTCTGACACGTCAATTTTTGATTTGTATTTTACGAAAAATACAATTTTTTATAGCGTTGTAAGGGTTGTAAATGTATATTTAACATTTATTATCTCTAATAATATGGTGAAAACATGCTTTACGAGTAAAAGACCTGTTGAAAATGCTTCTTCAAGATTATATCATAAGTAAGTAGGTACAAACACAACCTAATTATCAGAGGCGGTGCATTAGGCAATCACCTTTAATTTGCAATTAAATTTTTTTATTTTATTATCGAAAAGTAACATTAAGGAGGTCCTTTCGCCACCCCTTTCACCACCAATACTAAATAAAAAATATTAGATTATGACTAAAATTATTTTTTTTTCTAATAGTTGAAGTCCTTATCTAACTAATAGTGAACTTTTAACTATACCTTACCCTGCAAATTTTTGAGAAATTAGATTAGATTAGATATTAGATAAATAAGGACTTCAACTATTAGAAAAAAATTAATTTTAGTCATAATCTAATATTTTTTATTTAACATTGGTGGCGAAAGGACCTCCTTAAGAGGGAATAAACCCCAGCTAAGTTCGTTTTCATCCGACTCATAATGATTATAGTAAAAGATTAATTACTTATATTAACATAAATTAAGAAAATTTAAACATGTGACTTTATTTTAATATCACATTTTTTTAAAGATTATTGTTATTTTTTCATTGTAGGTTTCCTTTTCTTGATATGATAAAAATATCGCGACGAATTGATAACCTCCTCCTTTTTTGAAGTCGGTTAAAAAGAGAAAAATGGTTCCAATATTTAGGAAAAAGGCAATGCCACTTTTTTGTTGACAGTTTTTTATAAAACTGTAATTTAATCGACTATTTTGTGTATTGTTTAAATTTTCATATTATGTACCTACTTAATTAATTTTAAGTTTAAACAAAATGAACCTCAAAGATATGCATGAAGTATCCCAAAAGAACAAATAGAGGTTTTAAAATTTTTAAGATAACTATTCAGTCTTAAACATAAAAAAGGTAATTTGCTTTTAAATCACTAATGAACTATATTATGTAGTAACAAACTAAACAAGAATATCACATTATTCATGTTTTTTTTTAAGTATTTACTAAAAAACGTACCAAAAAACATTGAATGTTTATTATTTGAGTTTATATCGCTATGCTGAAACAATAATAGAACAACTGTGTATTTTGACTATTTTGAGTTATACAAATCATTATGATCTAAAAAATGTCCTTCTGGGTGCTATAGTCAGGTAGAAAAACATTCATTTTTTTGAGCACAGTTGCAATATACATTTTAATTAGTTTTTAAGGTAATACCTAGTAGGACATCCTAAAATGTCTTTTTTCGTTTGATGTGAGATTCATTATTCCACATTTATGTTGGTAAAATAGATTATTTTAAGATGTCCTATTGTTTTCTCTAATTATCTAAAAAAAGTATAGAACAATACAAAGACTGTTTTAACAAAAAAGAGATTTACCTTTAATTAAACACACAATTAGTCAATTCAATTATACGATAACTTAAAGCAGAAATCCAGAAAACTTCTAAAAATGTGTTTAAATATGTTTTTACTAGAACAAGGACATCTTACAAAATAATTTTTAAAAACAAGTCGGCACCTAATAACATTGACGATAGATTTTTATAATATAAACAGGGTGTTTCCGAACTTGGCGTACACATTTTTAGGGGTGGTAGTTCGCATAATTTGAGAGCGATTGGCAGATTTCATTTTTCTAAAAAAATATAATAAACAAAATAGAGCCATTATAAAAAAAACCAAAGAGCAGGTCCTACCCTGAGCGCGTAGCGCAATAGTCCTCAAAATCAGATGCGATTTGCAATTTTGTCGATTCTAAGCGTAGCGCGCGTGAATCGAGGCTATCCTATTGCTGTGCAGCAATAAAAAAGTTAAGTACAATGATGACATTAAAAGTTGATATTCTCGAAATTACTTTTTTTTAAATTGTCCCAGTACCTACCTACTGTTGTTCTAGCACAATGATATTATATGAATGTGCATTGTGTGATATATCTTATATTTTAGGGACAAAATAATATATTTTTTGCAGGTTTCTGTTAACAACGATTCCAAAAACTTTTAAAAATATTATTAAAACAGCCTTCGCAAATATAATTCGCAATTAAGAGCTTTTGATCTATTTTTATTCTCAAAAAGATTACAGCTACCTAAGAAGAAAGTTTAACAAGACTTACCTCTTACCAGACCCAAAATATCAAAATGTTTCTAACCAATTCATGGTTATTCTGGTTTCCATAATGAATTTTTCCTCGAAACTACTAAAAGAAAAGTGGTAGAGGCAACCGAAGAAGGCAAAAAAGTCTTTTGTAAAACAAAAACAAGAAATTTGTTTGAAGTTCTACCATTAATAATTTTTGATAACGTTTTAAAATTATAAAGTTCTATATGTATTTTCCTCTTTGATAACCTATGTTTAAATTTTTATTAGGACCAAAAATAAATTATAATTTTCATTTCAATTACAAAAATCCTTATAGTATTAAAAAGGGGAAGACTTCAGATTAGTTATGTTCAGGGATCATCAACACTTTAGGACCGATTCCACTGTTGTGTTAAACGAAGTTTAAAATTACATTTTTACGTTAACAATGTCATATTAATCTCCGTTTAACACAACCATGGAGACTACACAAGGAGCACGCACTCAAGTGTGGCATTTGCCAGAGTATGTCCGCGCTTTATCGTATAAATAAAGCTTTCTTTTTTCACCACTAGCGTCGCTAATTTTTCTTTTGTACCGGTGTGAATATAGAGGAATAAACAAATGTGAAGTTAGCGTGAAAATAAAGTAACCGATTATTTAATTAACGTAAACACGTGTCAAATGTTTTTAAATTAAATAAATATAATTAGAGTTATAATTAATTAATTAATTAGAATTATTTATTTTATTTCAAACTACCGCCTCATTCTCTTATGCCATTTTGGTACTTATGGAACACTAGCGCCCTCTTAAAATACTCTGTTTAATACAGTACGCTTGTTATACATGGAGTGCGTGCTCCTTGTGTAGTCTCCATGAACACAACGGTGGAATCGACCCTTAAACATTTATCCACTTAAAATGTGTTACTTTTAGAAGGTATGTTATGATCTTTCTATTTGTACATGTATTAATTTATTTAATTTTATCTGTTTGTTGTATTTTCAAATTGATTTTGATATTAATCTTATCTATTTCTATTTTTTTTATATTCACATATATATTTTTTCATTGAACCAAACGTTTATTAGCTTATTATACGCTTGTATGAATGATTACTTTTATTTACTTTTTAAAACGAATTTCGAAGATAAAGCCCAAACGGTTAGTGAGAATAAAAAATTAGACGAAAATGACGATATTTACTGGAGCTCTCATCTACACTCTCCTTTTTCTAGCCTATCTACACCTGAGCCAGCAAGTTACGTCTTCCCTCTATCCTTACATTCTCAAGATTTACAGAGAAAACGAGTCCTCTTTCACATATTCGGACCTTCTTTGACCGGGACTATATCAATACTTTATACTATCAGCTTTATTTGTTATCCCGAGCAATTTAAATCCATTCATAATTGCTCATTCTCACCTCTGCTCTTGTAGATTGTGTACCCATTTTTCTTATTTTTAGTTAAGTTTGCATTGCTCTTTTATTTTTCCTTTTCCACAACTTTAATTCTTTATACTATTTAATTTTAATCGTAAGTGACCAACATATTATTATATTGTTTCTATTATAATAATTAAGGATTAATGTATTACAGGCCTGAAAATGTCCCTGTGAGGCCGAAACTAGTCGCTTCTGTATTTATTAATAATAAAATTTATATATTGATTTTGAGGTTCTTTATTTGAAAAAATTAGACCTCTAAAGTAATTTTGTTTTATTTCCTGCATCAGACACATATAAGACGATATACATTTTAAAAATAGTAAAATTAGCGAATTTTTTAGTTTTTTTTTACAATTAAAAAGTTTGGACAATGTGTTCTTACAGAGAAATGATACGCCACTGAACAAGAGGGGATTCTTTACCTTTCCCCTTGTGCCCGCTTCCTCACTTCCTCTACAGGTGTTGGGAACTCAACAATCGCCTACAAACTAGTTCACGCTCCTTCTAGTGTTAATAAAGAAGAAGAAGAAATTCAAAATGGTTGAAAAAATATAACAAACTGTGTGTTTCGTTAGAAGGTAATTGGCCGGTATTTTTGTTGGATAAATAAAATCTTTTATTGAAGATAATTATTCTATTCGATAGAGTTTGTCCATAATGACAAACAAATTGGATGAATTGTACGAAAAGTACAACGTTTTAGCTGACGCTAAGGATAATATAGCAAAGGTTAGAATATAAGAAGCATGTATGTTGGGGATTTCGAAAATGTTTAATAACGAATTTTTATATTTCAGCATTCGGCATTATATCTCGAGTGTATTGCATTAATTCGAGGTAAAAATGGCAGTGAAAAGGAGAAAAAACTTGCTGGACAAATTATTTCAAAGTTTTTTAAAAATTTTCCAGAACATCAGGAACAGGCTTTACAAGCTCTTTTTGATCTATGTGAAGATGATGATATCACGGTAATAAAATACATGTTTTAAATATATTATAACCTAAACGTCTAGTATCAGTTTTATCAATCACTTTCCAAATAGATTTTTAGAATATCCTTTAAAATATGTTTGTAAACACAGTCCTAATCTTTTCATAAGAATACCAACTTATTTTATGAAAATAATAATTATTCCTAGTAGATAATTGCTGAATATATTCCAGGAATTCCCTTTCTGAAATAGTTAAAAAAATAAAATTGTAAAACAATGCAGCTTAACTTTAATATGGGCTATTTGAAGTTTTTAAAAAAGCAGAGGTAAATACCCTATGATGTTTTTTCCAATCTTAATATTAAAGAAAATCCCATAGGGATCCAACTTTATAGAACACTACATTTTGATTTGCATTTTTTTAACTCTTAAAAATTAATTGCATATCTAAATAAAAAAAAATATATAGATTAGGTAGGAATTTTCATTATATGTAGCAGGGGATTTTTAAAATTTTATTCAACACTATTTTTATTTACTTAGTTGTCACGCCACTAGTTGACCAGTGGTCAGTTTAATAGTTGTATGCAATGAATAATTTGGAATTCCAATGGTTCTCAGATGGTTTGCATCAAGTTTTAAAGAAACCAGAACAAACCTACTTTATGGATTGTCCAGAATTTTTAAATAACAGACATCTAATCTAATTCTTTTTCTATTTTATTCTTCCTACAATGCACACAGATTTGGGATTAATAAGAAAATAAAAGTAGATATTTTTTAACTAAATTTTTATTCTCTTTATTAGAAATAAATAAATAAAACTTCGAACATGCACAACATAAAAATAACAACAACTAAATTTCCACACTCGACCATTCACTGTTGGGTACTAATTAACAGTGCTGTTCCTAAAGTGGCGCTGGGAAACAGTAACAAAGCCTACACAGAACACGAGGCTAATAACCGTAGCAGTTGATGCTAAAAAAAAAACTGAATGTCGATATTTAAAAAAAAAAAGAAGTGGTGCAACTAAAACAAATATATTTATAAAAGTGCATTTTAATAAGTGTTTTATTTGAAATAAAATTAAAGACAATTTTTTGTTTCTTTTTTGTCATCAATTGCAAAAAAAAAATTAATTAATCAGCCTTATTAATGGAATTTTAGAGGAATTATGTATGGAATAAAAATTATAGGTATTACAAACAATTTTTATAAAAAATTATTTTTTTTTTACTTTTTGTCAAATTTCTCGAATACGGACCATTTTAGGAAAATTTTGTAAAAAAACAAAAATTATAGATAATATTAGAAGTAACTTTTATTTGAAGAATTTTCTTCTCCAAATGTAAATAACAGATATATTCCATAAAATATAAAAATGACCACCTATAAAGTACCCCCCCAGATGTTCCGACTCTGCCCAAAATCTAATCAGTTCATTGGCCGCCGGAATAAAGCTTAAGTTTAAAATTTGGTGTTTTTCTTTGTATCGTTTCATGAGTTATGGTGTATACAGACACACACACAGACATCATCGCGAAAATAGTCAAAACGGATTCAGGGGACCTCAAAACGTAAAAATCCTCCGAAAACTTGGGGTCGAAAAAAATCATGATTCCTATACTTTCCTTATCTGTATACAGATAGGAAAGTAAAAAAGTAGATTTGAAAGCACTGTGCCCTGTGGCACACCAAATTCTGCATCTTGTACTCGACTTTCATTTCCAGATACTTAAGTTTTTTGTTTTCTTTTCGTAAGACATGATTCAATAATTTCGTTTGGTATGCCTCTGACACCAATATCTTCCAGTCTACTTAGTAGAATTGGATGTACCATAGTGTCAAATGCCTTCCCAATATCTAGGAAGATCCCCACTACCTTTTTTCCTTGGTCAATGTTTTTAAGAATTTTCTCAGTTACCTTAACTAGAGCATTTTCAGCATTTGAATTCTCCCTAAAAGCATATTGATTATTATTAAGCAATTTGTTCTTTCCAGAAATATTATTTTACTTAAATATCATTTTTCTATGATTTTTCTTACAGTACTAGTTAATGCTATTGATCTGTAATTGAAGAGTGGAAGTAACAACATTTTTGATTTTGAGTTAGACTCATAGAACAGTGCTATATACAACTGTTTATATCCTGACAAAAGTGATAAGTGCCAATCTACATAATACGCTATGTATAAACATCTCAAGATGGTGCCACTGTTAAGTGCTTGATCTATTTCCTTAGAAAGGTGACAAGTGCCATTCACCATGTGTTCTGTGTTTGCCATTCTACTGTCCTTAAAAATAATACAGGGTTCAGTCTTGTTATTTGTTGTTTTTAAAACATTATGAATGACCTTAATGTAAAAACTCATAAAAGTAATGGTAGTGAATGTTTCAGTGAAGGACAGAAGATTGTGAAAACAGGACAACCTTTGCAAATTTTATTCCAAGGAATGAAGTCAATGTCTTAGAAAAAGGGAAAAGTCTGAATGACTTAAGAAAAGCCAAAGTACATATACTTTCGACAAAAAACAAAATTTCTAAAAACAAAAAAAATTTGATTTCTATGATACCTTATCTAACAAATCCATTACACCATTTTTTTTACAAAAACCTACTAGAAGTGGGTCAAAATGATGCTGTTAGCAGCAGAACAGTAAATATGACTCTTAATTTTGGCACTTGTCACCTTCACCTTCAATTATTCAGTAATGTTTTATCACTCTGTTTGTGTAAAGATATAATTGTGACAACTTTTAAACTTTCAGGGAAAATTCCTGTACTGAATACTAAATTTATTATATGTTTTACTGGTGGAATTAGATTATCTTTAATGGAGAATTTTGAAAGTAACCTACTTTGTAAATGATGGACTGTTTAAATACATCTATTTTAATTTATTTAAATATATTAACAGAATTAAGGAGGTCCTTTCGCCACCAATGTTAAATAAAAAATATTAGATTATGACTAAAATTAATTTTTTTCTAATAGTAGATGTCCTTATTTATCTAATAGTGAACTTTTAACTATACCTATACCTTACTGTGCAAATTTTTGAGAATTTTTTTTTTTAAAAATGTGTGTGTTTGTACAGTTTCTTATGAGAAAGTAAGACTTCAACAACAATTTTCGAATTATAGTTAATTTTACTATTATTTATTGATTAGATGGAGTAGAAAAAAATAAAAATAAGGTTTTTGAAATATTTAGGTTTTGTTTTTTATAATAAAATATATAGGTTACCGTGGAATTTATTGAGAAATTATTATTAAAAAATCACAAAAAATTTTCAACTAGGTTACTTGAAAATTTTTTGTGATTTTTTAATATTAATTTCTCAATAAGTTCCACGGTTTACTATATATATTTTATTGTATAAAACAAAATCTAAATATTTCAAAAACCTTATTTTTAGTTTTTTTCTACTCCATCTAATCAATAAATAATAGTATAATTCGAGAATTGTGAGGCACTGTACAAATACTCACATTTTTAAAAAAAAAATTCAAAAATTTGCAAGGTAAGGTATAGTTAAAAGTTCAGTATTAGATAAATAAGGACTTCAACTATTAGAAAAAAAAAATAATTTTAGTCATAATCTAATAACTTTTTTTTAACATTTGAGGCGAGAGGTGTGGCGAAAGGACCTCCTTAAGTAGTTTATTGTGAAATTTGCACCATTTATAATAATAATAATAATAATAATAATAATAATAATAATAATAATAATAATAATAAACGTTCTTTATTGAGTTTTAATACTCAACTGGCCATTGACCGGAGTCCTTCAACCCAATGATTCAATATTCAAAAATTAATAATCAACAATATTTACATAAACAAAACACAAATACTAACACTTGAAAAAAAAATATTACTACGCTATATAATTACTTCAGATTTTAAATAAATTAGAGAGAAAAATGTTTAAAGTCTCTTCATAGTTGGGGTCCACTTTTGTTGTTTTTCTTCATCATGGGATAAGCGATTTTGGGTCATCCTGGGTCTTCATAATATATTTCTTGCAGATATTCCCATATGGTTTTTGTGGTATACAAATATGGATATTTGGTTAGGTCTTTGGAGGAGTAGTTACCAGAGGCTGCTCGTGGCCTTGTCTACAAGGAGGCTGGCACTCCCTATATACTTAATACAAATATATATTTCTATTAGAATACAATGTAATATTTCAACTTTTTGTATTCTAATAAAAAAATATATTTGTAAGTATATAGGGTGTGCCTTTCAAAAGTAGCCACCGTAACCTCCTCGTAGACTAGGTCATGAGCCGCCTCTGGTATTTACACCATTAAATTTTTTGTATGCTTGAAATAATTATAATTATATTCTGCTGTTTTAAAAGTGCTGTAAAAGAGTTCTGTATGTAATTCGTTTTTAGGTCCGAATCAGTGGAATACAAGTGCTCCCACTTATATGCAAGAATTCAAAGGAATGTATACCAAAAGTAGTTAATATTTTAACACAATTGTTACTATTAAGAGACCAAGATAATCATGTTACAAATACTTCATTGCAACAAATATTCAGGGAAGAACCTTTAATTACATTGAAAGTAGCATTCGGTTATATCAGCAGCACTGATAATGTAGAGGGTAGGGAAAAATGCATTCAATTTGTGTATAAAAAACTAGTAAAAATTGAGGACAAGATTACACCTGAAGTTAATGATTTGCTTTTAGAAGAAGGAAAGACCATATTACAAGTATGTAGTTAGCTTAAATCCTTTTTCCAAATAGGTTAGAATCAATATTGTTTTAGGATTCTACAGCTACAGAATTTTTGACTGTTGTACCATTTTTGTCTACTTCCAAACTTACCAAAACAACAGCAGGTCAGCAAGAACTAATTAATGCTATAACAGAAAGAGCAGAACTTAACAAAGAGTTTGATCCACAAGATACAGATAATTTGCATTGCGACAGAATTATATTGTGCACTGAACATGCACTACCACTTTTCAATGTAAGTTTTATTTTTAAGGTAACATGTGTTTTTATAAATATCGGTTTCAGCTGGTTTTTAAGGCTACCAAATACTCTTAAGTAGTAAAAAGACTAATATATACCTTATTTTTAATGATAACAATCATTTCTTGATATTTGGCAGTGTTTCATAATAAGTTTTCTAAATTATTGTCTGTTGCATTGATTGACAAGAGTATTGTGACGATAGTCTAATTTATTTATAGTTTATTTGAAACACACTATTTACAATTTATTTATGACGTACTATTTAATTTATATAATACTTAGACACTAACTAACAATTCCTAACTTTACGCTTCGCAAACTTATGACCGAAAAAAATAAGCTTTATAAAACTTTTAAGAGAACTAGTCGGGATTCTGATTACATTTTTTATTCCAATAAGCGACGCGAGGTTAAATACCACCCTGAATGGAATTACTTGACATTCATTACCGACACAGAACATCTTTTTCCTCATAATATTAAGCATTTCTGGACATTCATAAGGAATCTAAAACATGATAACTGTCTCCCAAATCTAATGATATACAACAATATTGAATTTACTAATCCTAACGAAATAGCCAATGCTTTTGCACATCACTTCCAATCTTGCTACAATACTGTCAACGTCGCAAATTCCGCACTTCCCACTCCAGTAACTTTTGCCTCAACTTTAAGAACTCATACCTTTACTCCCCAGGAAGTTATTTCTAAATTAACAGCCGATCTCAATAAAAGTGCGGGTCCTGATGGCATTCCCTCCGATTTTGTTAGTAAAATTTTTCAGAAATCTTTTTTTCAGTGTACTTTTCCAGACATATGGAAATTTTCCAGACATATGGAAATTTTCCAGTCTAATTCCAATTCTGAAGTCGGGTGATAAATCTAATATAAAAAACTATAGGGTATATCTATTATATCCACATTTTTCAAATTATTTGAATCAATTCTTACTGATGAAATAGCTGCTAGTGTTTCTCATCAACAGCTTTTAAAAAAACTCTCCGAAATAGGTATTGCTGGTAACTATCTCAATTGGATAAAATCATGTTTAACTAATCGCTCCCAACAAGTTTCTATTCATAATTTTACATCACGGAAAGTATCAGTTTCATCAGGCGTTCCCCAAGGCTCACACCTTGGTCCTGTCCTGTTCTCCTTTTTATTAACGTCGTAACTTCTTGCTTTTTAAATAGTACTTGTCTTCTACATGCAGATGACTTGAAATTTGTCAGCACAGTCACACATAACACTACTGCCCTTGAAGGTGATCTAGAGAGACTAAATGAGTGGTGCAAGGTGAACCATCTCTCATTAAATACCAGTAAATGCAAGACCATCCAGTTCACTAGAGCGTTGGCCCCTTCTCTAAATCAATACAAAATCGGTAATACTGTACTGCAAAATGTCACATCTGTGAATGAACTAGGGGTGATATTTGATATGGAACTGTCCTTTCGAGAACATATTGATTCCATTATCTGTAAAGCTTCGGGATGCTAGGCTTTATTAAAAGAAATACTCAACATATGTATGATACTAAAGCAATCTTAACATTATTTAACAGCCTTGTTAGAAGCATTCTTGAATATTGCTCTGTCGTATGGCATCCTAATTACACCTGCCAGCGTAAATTCACTATTTGCTGTTTAAACACCACTTTCCCTACCAAAACGTTGGTTACGAAAGTAGACTGCTTTTATGTGGTATGCAAAGCCTAGAAATCAGAAGAAGACATGCACTAGCTCTGTTTAAATTAATTAACGGTAAGATTAACTGTAGCGCCCTTTTACACTTAATTAGCTTTTTGGCACCTACTCGACATACACGTCATACTTCATTGTTTTTCATCAGAAGACATATAACCAACTATGGACAAAGAGCATTTATTGACCGTATGTGTAATTTGAACTGTCAAAATAATTTTTTTTTAAGCTTTAATATTTAAACCTATTTCTATGTATGTGATTTTGTGAATGTGATATTTTTGTGTAGGTATTCTACATACATGTATTAATTGTTATTTTTTTTAACTCTATACCATTTAGAATAATAATTATGTAGTGTACCTATTTGAATAAATAAAATAAATAAATTCTAATTTATTTATCACACTTTAACTTTTCATTACAATGCTCTCTACTAAACTGTCTATAATCAACTAACTTCAGTCTTCACACTCGCGATATTTATATCAAGCCAACTCTGTAACCAGAATACTCTAGACGGTGTGGAATGTCCTAGTCTTCCATCTCTATGACTCAACGTCACGTACCTGCCGCTTGTTCTGGTACATTCGAGAAGCATCCGATTGTCTCTATATTGTCAGCGCGCCGCTAGAACGCGGGCGTAAACAACAAGACAGGGTAGGCTTTCTCGCGACAGTATATTACGTAACAAGAGTTGTAAGTAACTCATTACGCACGAAGTGAAAAAGTTCACGAGTGCGTAATGGGCTTACAACTCGTGTAACGTACTATACTTTTTCTACGCCCACATATGTTCTTCTATTAAATAAAGGGCATATGCTTGTGTCGCCAATCCATAAATTTTCGATAGGTAATTTCGTGCCTTTCTTTGGATTTTAGAGGTAACAAATTATGTGTGGCAGCTTGAGCATTTTCTAAATTCTCCGGTGGAGTACTCATAATTTCATCACTTTCACTACTAACAGACATATTCGTAGGTAAAGTTGAGAAAATGTTTACAATAATATTTTGTTACAAAAATTGACAATATAAACGAAACGATGTTTATATCCATAGCATGCTAAGAAAACGCGACCTAGTTTTTTAAAATTGTATAATGTGTTGCCGACATTTAGGGGAATCACTTTTTTAATCTAAAATGTATCTCGCTAATGCTAAACGTTTTTATGTTTTTAAATTGACTAAATTTATGCAAATACACGCAGATAAAAATTTGATTACAATTTTATTAAATTAAATTACGTGCATGTTATTGTTAAATGTCATTTACAAGGAATGTTGACGGTGCGATTTTTAAAGTTTACTGACATGGGCGTAGAAAAAATGTTTTTCTTAATCCATCTATCTTCTATATACAGAGTGGCCCAAAAGTCTGGAAACGGCCAATTATCTCGTAAATTGCTGGTCCTAATTGTACAAAATTTGGGGTACACCTATTATGCGATATGGTGATTTCAGATTTGATATTTGCAATGTTGCCAGATTTGCCGTTTCTCTTAAATTATTAGTTACTTTGGTTTTTCAAATTCATCACCCTGTAATATATTCAGTCATTATTGGAATCTACTATTCAATACGAGTTCAACCATATGTAACACTTATCATTTTATGTAGTCTGGAAGGTCTTAAATAAATAAAATAAATCTGACAATGCCTAATTGTCTCAATAAATTTTTTAATACAAACTATTTTCAACTACATTAAAACGTAACAATTGAAAGATTAAAGCATTTTTAACATAATGGTTGCTTTATCAAGTGTTCAAAATGTGCTTCATTTGTGAGTGGACAGTACCCTAATTGATGGTGTAATGCGTTTATCACATTTCTCCATGATTGTTTTATTTATTTAAGACCTTCCAGACTACATAAAATCATAAGTGTTACATATGGTTGAACTCGTATTGAATAGGAGATTCCATTAATGACTGAATATACAGGGTGATAAATTTGAAAAACCAAAGTGACTAATAATATAAGAGAAACGGCAAATCTGACAACATTGCAAATATCAAATCTGGAATCTACGTATCCCAAAATAGGTGTACCCCAAATTTTGTACAATTGGGATTAGCAATTTACGAGATAATTGGCCGTTTCCAGACTTTTGGGCCACTCCGTATAAAAGAGAAATACCACTCACTGACTCATCACCAGATCTCCAAAACTATAAGTTCAATTGACTTGAAATTTGGCACAGTTACTCCTTTCTCGACGTAGACATCACATTTTAAGGGGGGAAACGAGGGGAGAAAGTGCGTATCTTAGTATAAATTTTAACTTTAAATTGTAGCTACCCATTATAAATAAATTGGGGATGAAGGTGTGTAGGGGCGTATCAAATTTTTTGAAAGAAGGAACTTGAAAATTTGAAATGTAGCTACCAATTATAAATAAATAATGATTAATTTCAGTGTTTTTGGATATTTACATTTTAAGGGGGGGAAATTGGGGTTGAAAGCTTGTAGGGGGTATCGATTTTTTAAAGGTAGGAACTTTAAAATTGGAATTATAGTTACTCATCATAAATAAATAATGACATTTCAGGGTTTTTGGATTTTTACATTTTAAGGGTGGAAAATGGGGGTGAACATTTATATGGTACTATGAATTTTTTAAAGGTAGGAACTTGAAAGGTTGAATTGTATACTCATTATAAATAAATAATGAAGTATTTAGGGTTTTTGGATGTTCACGTTTTAAGAGCGGAAACCGGGTGTGGAAGGATTATCGGTTTTTTCAAAATTGGAATTGTAGCTACGCATACATAAATAATGACTTGCTCCAGGGTTTTGGATTTTCACATTTTAAGGGGTGGGGGAACTGTGGTGAAATAAAAAATAAATAAATAATAAAAGTCTAAGGGAGGACTGCTTTTCTCACGGACAGTTTTAGGTGAGAGTGAGTTTCGCATGCAATCTGATATTAGCAGATGAGAATCTACCAGAAACGTGGTATACAAAGATATTCCTAATTAGAAAAATGTACTTACATATTGGAATAATCCACTAAACTTTTATCTATAATACTATCACATACATACCATGAACCCTAAAATACATATCGCTCCTTTTTTTAGAAAGTCTTGCATATTTTTACATTAAAAACACGACTCTACGCGCGTGAAGACGTGGGTAACAGCTTGTTAATTATATACAAATAGATTTTTTTTTAAATGTAGTAAAACTTGTTTCACAACTGATTCACATTACTCAAAGATTAAATCATTAATAACTATTAAATTGTTTTTTAGGCAAATGTAGAATCTACAAACTTTGTAAAATTCTACTGTGATCAAATTTTGAATAAATGGGATGAAATTGGAAAGTTAAAGGATGGCACCATCTTGCAGTATCAATTCTTAAAGCAGTTGGCAGAGCTTACAATACATTGCGGAAAGCTAGATACTCCTTCCGCTTATGTTGTACAAATTTTCGATAAAATGAAAGTAAGTGCACTGAAAACCAAAAATTCTTTGCATAAATTGATGATTTAGCTCATTTTGTAAAAAATATTTTGTTTTTAGAGATATATGCCTTTGCCACCAGAAGATGGAGACATTGACAAAATGCCAAATCTTGACTTCACTTCTGTAGAATGTTTCTTATTTGCTTTCCATAGGCTAGCGAGACAATGTCCAGATTTTCTTACTTCAGATCCAGCTGTACTTAAAGATTTTAGGTCAAGGTTAAACTATTTTTCGAGAGGAGTTGGAGGTTGCAAAAGGTCTTTAGAAAAAATTGAAATAAAAGATAAGGAAAATGAAAAAATTAAAATTGCCCCTGCTGTATTGGATAACATTAACTCCTTGATCAAGGATTTGTTTTATACATCTCCTATTTATAAATGTAACGTACAGCTTTCATTTAAAACGTTAGCTACTAAAGTTAAGGTGAGTTGTTTTCTTTGTTTTATATACATTTTTGGTATTAAAACTAATTAGTTTGTATTAATTTATAATTAAAATATTTTTATTAACCTTGTCGGAAAATAATAGTCTATTGTTCCTTTGTCAGAAGTTGAGGTAGGTCATAATTTGTTTTTCATAAAGATCAGATGTTGTTAACCAGTGGCTCGTCATACATTTATATCAAAATTAGGTTCTGCAAAACACCGGAACCATCTATCTGGAACCCGAGAGCATCTAAACTTTAATTTTTATTCAAGAACACTCTCAGCCAAGCGTCTCGGAGTAGTTCGTCAAATTTTGTGAGGTTAGAGGATCAAGAATGAACGTTATCAAGTTAGGATCTCAGTATCACAAACTGATGTTAACTTGAATGAATTATCAAAAACCATTCATTGGGACTATCACACATGTGGTAATAGTGAATGAGAAATGTTTTAATGAAATATATAGACCCTTCCCGTTATTGTTTATCTCTATTACTCATGCGCAAATTCTACTTCCGCTTAAAATCATAAAAAATTATTGTTATGTTTCCTACCCTGAGTTCCAATTATACATCCGCAAATGTCATTTTGTTTTTGCATTTGGTGGTATTGGTAGGTTAGCTAGTGACACATTTAGGTGTGTAATTTGCCAAAGGAAAAATTAGAAATATTTCGTCCATTCTTGCCTTGTAGAACAAGGAAAAGTTTGCTGCGCAATATGGAGCCCTCGACGAAGACATTTTAAAAAAAGGCTGTTTAGAAAATGCTGTCATAGAAGCGCAAACTTTTTTAGATATTATTTACTTCAAAAGTTTGCTGTCACCTTCTTAAAAATTAGGCTCACAGTATCTTCTTGCTTGCTGACAGGGCATTTCACTGCTAGTTCGATTGCAGCAAAGTATTTCCATCTTCTACAGGTTAAGATTTAACGATACATTTGTAATTTAGCCTTGTGCAAATATGTACCAAAAAAGTTTTAGTGGGTTCCTACTATATAGAATCGATGACAGTTGTTTAAAGCTTCATGGATTAAAGCAACGATGACAGCTTTTTTCACTCATAAGTAATGCAAAATTGTCGAATAATGGGAAAGGTTAATTATAAACTTCAAAAAACAAAAATATATGTCACCATATTACTATCACTACTATAAAAGTCAGCTTGAGGCTTTTTTTGAATTTAATGGTACCGGGAATACTGCGATCGCCAGAACTTAAAGCCAAAAGAGAGCAGATTTGGAATAGGCTTGCCCCTAAAAAGTGCAGATCATTAGTTGATTTAATGCCTAGCTGACTTAGTCTTCGACAACTTTGAAGCGTAATGGCCTATTGTATTTGACCCATATTAATTTATAGTACCCACTTTGTCTCCTTAATCCCTTGTACAAGTTTGTACAAGTCCTATAGGTTCTTGGATCAACTTGTAGTTGCCAAAAAAAAATGCCTGTCTTTTGTGTTCCAATGCTTTGCAGTTGCACAGTATGTGTTTGGCTGTTTCTGGTTCCTTGTGACAGAGTCGACACAATAGGTATCCATTATACACGTCTATTTTGTTTAGATGTCCCTTTACTGGGGCATGCCCAGTCATGAGTCCTGTTATTGTTAACTGGTTCCTATTCATGGATTGTAGTTCTCCTGTTCTTTTTGAACATGGTCTTCCTATAAAGGTCTTCCCGTATACTTGTTTTGGGATATTCTCCCAATAGTTGTTGTTTTCTCCGAACAACCCAGTCATTTATGAAACCTCGAATTGTACGTTTTTGTATTCCAAGGTTTATATCTGGTTCTGGTATTTCTTCTGAACCTCTCTTTGCAAGTTCACCAGCCTTTTCATTGCCCTCAATCCCTTGATGACACCTAAACTGTTTTTACTCTATTTCAGTCTGCCGGTGTCCTCAGTTCTTCAATGCAATCCCATACTAGCCTCGACGTCATTTCATGACTGGATATTACCTTAAGAGCCATGTGGCTGTCGGACATTGTTTGGATCTACTTATTTGATATAGCTCTTCTATTGTTTGTTCTTGCACATTGCAATATTGCGTACTGAGCTTGTCTTTCTATTACTTACCAACTCCAGCCCCAGTGCCTTCCACAATCTTTGACCTCCTGTCATTGGGCACTGGGTTCCCTTCTATTTGGTAATAAAACCTCGACTGGAGTGTTGAAGGAGTAATGTTTGGTTATGTGATCTGTTCTCAAGTCTAGCACGTCCCCCTATCACTAACCTTGTGAGTGACCTGGAGCCTATTTCATAAAACTACTTTACAACATTTATTAATTTTTCATTTTTAAATTTCAAATTTTACTTTTTAATTCATTAAATTTCTCTTTTATTCAACATAAATTTAGTAAAATATGCAAGGTGAAAAGTTACAAAGTAGTTTTATGAAATAGGCCCCTGGCCTAATATTAAGATTTCCAAAGGTGTTCCCTAATCTCTAAGCACCTAATCTTGTCTAATCTTTTGTTTCACAAAGAGAAGTGGTGGAAAGCCTATTAGTGCTTCCATAGCAGCTATGGGGGTTGTTATCATTGTCCATCGTTATTCCAAGACAGGCCTGTCTTTGTATCTTGCTTAGTCTCGTTATTACCGCTCTTTTTTGTCTTTGGGCACCACACCAAAACTGCGTATGTTACCGTCTTACCACCATACTTGGTGTCACTAGTCCATTTTCTTGTTATTCTTTCCAAATGTTGAATCCAGGTAAGTTTCGAGTCAATTGTAACCCCGAAATACTTTACCTCCCCCTTAAATTGGACGTTTTCACCTCGGATGTTTAGCGGTTCTAGTCCCTCTAACTTCCTTCTGCACGTGAATGCAATCATGGTAGATTTGTTAGGACTAATTGTTAGTCCTTTTTTTTTCTATCCATTTTGTTACTATGTTTAGAGCCTTGCATACAATCTGTAACTGTAGTGTTGTATGTACCCTGCGTCATGTTCACTAGATCATCTCCATATCAAAGGATTTTATTGTCTATTCATTTTGAAAATCCTGAGCAGCCCATCCATGACCAGGTTCCACAGGAGTGGAGACAGTACTCTTCCCTGCGGGCATCCTCTCACAACATGAGCTGCTATCGTCTCTCCCATAATGTTTGCATGTATAATTCTTCCTCTTAGCATATTGTCTATACAGGTCACACATGTGTCCTCGATTCCTCTATGTTTCAAAATTCTGATGATAGAGTCAACATTAGTTTCTTGTTTTCGAGTGTGTTCTCCACCCTTTTTACTAATTGATTGAGAGCTGTTTCTGTTGATTTTCCTGCACTATAGGCGTGTTGGTCTTTGAACCAAAATCCCGTCTCTAATATGTCTCTCCAAAGTCTTGAATACAAAAAACCTTAGACTTTAATTGGTCTTAATAACTTTGCCGTTTCCAGTCCGATTTTCCCAGGTTTTGGTACCAAAGTGACCCTAATATTGCCATGCTCTTGGTATGTATCCAAATGCCAGGCTACTTCTAAGTATGAGGAAAATTTTCCAATTTCTCAAATGTGACCCATTTTAAATAAAAGAATGAAAAGAGAAAAATCTCAAAGACAGTGGCAAAGCACAGTTGACTTCTGAGTATGTATAAAATGTCAGGTCCCCTTTGTAGCATTATTGGATAAATCCCATCAATTCCCAGTTATCTGTATGGTTTAAATGAGTTGATCTTCCATTTCATTTTGTCATAATCCACCTCTTTTTTGCCAATCTATCAGTCCTCCCTGTTTGGCTCATTTATGAGCTTCCAGTCCAATTGGACTCCAGATGCCACACTGGCATCATAGAACACACACATACACCGTATTCCTGGTGGAGTTCCTTTCTATTACAGAACAAGTGTCATTGAACGCATTGGGGACTGTGTCGTTAAAAGTTCTCCACAGCCATTTCAAGGTATGTTATTGTTCTTATCTTCATTCTCATATTTGGAATATTATACTCCAGGGAAGCAGTGTACGCTTCCTACTCTGTTTTCCAGATGTTTCGATAAGTTTCTTTGATACTATTTCCTTTTATTTTAAAATTTATGTGTGTGTGATCTGAACAACTTTCCTCATCGTGTAACATAACTACTCAAATATGGTGAGGCTATTTTGTTAGGGCGGTGTTGTTACTCCATTTAGAAATATAAATTCCTCTATATCCTAATATTTAATTAGGTACCACACAAAATAAACATTTTTCTTGTTGATTAGTGATAATAAAATAAGTATTTTGTTCCTGTGTTGTTGACTCCAATTATTGTTAATTAAATGTAAAAAATAATAATTAGAAGTATTAAATACCTTAATTATGCTTGAATTTTAGAATTTTCTGTTTTGCCAACTTACAGTTTTTTGGGTTCATAATATACAACATTGAATTTTAATGTTAAATTTGCAAAAAAATGAGTTATTTTCGTTTGTATTAATCTTATTAAATTACCATCAAATATTGTTTTTTTTTTGTTTTGACTGGGCGGTTTAAAGACCCACTGTCGACCCTTAGCATAAATAAATATACACCAATTCTATTGATTTAAAAAAACCATATTATCTTTTTAGACTCCCGAAAAAGCAACTGCAACACAAAAAAGACATGTTCCTATCCATTTTGATTCCAGTAATGGTTCTACAAATAAACAAATAAGGTCTAACAAAGGAAATGATAATGTAAAACTGTATCAACCGCCCAGTGGAAAGTTTAGCAACAATTTCCAAAGTTATGGTAAGATAATGAAAAGCTTTTATGTGAAATATTACAGTATTTATTATTGAATGTTAAATGTTTAATTTTTGATTATTCTACTCGTATAAAGCATAGGAAGCCATACCCTGTTTATATGATTCTTACACCTTATTATTGAATTTTTTAATTTGGGTTTTCTAGGGTTGTAAGTGTTTGGATTAAAGTAAAACTAGTTTTTTGTTTTAAATAGTGATGTTGTAGAGCTTTCGGCGCTTGTATGTGCCTTCAGTACTTTTGTTAATAATCTTTAATTAGTCAGTATACAGGGTGTACCAATAAAAACTCACAGGTCGGATATTTTGGTAAGTAATAGAGATATTTTAATTCTGTAAAAGCCATTTTATAGAGCGCTAAGAGAGCTTCAGTTTTAGATATAAATTAATTTTAAATAGGTCAATATGTAGATGGCGATGCGCTCAATAATTTTTTTTCGATGGGAGGATCTTTCTTATGTTGCTCATCTGGTAAAAAATGCATTTTTAAGCAAATTTTGTTCTATGAACTAATTCGATAAATCTAGCCATTTTTGATATACAGAGTGGTTCTTTCAAAACAGTTCATCCTATTTTTCGGCATTAGTCATTGGATTTTTAGAAAATGCTAAAACAGGTCGATTTTTATTCCAAATTAAACACATTTTTGCAATACAGACATCTGTCATTTGTCAACCCCCTCCCTTCCACTTCTCCAACCCCTTAATTTTAAATAAGGAATGTACCATGTACGGCACATCATTAAAAAGATAATTTTATGGGGAAGTCCGAAATGTGACAGTTTGTTGCGATACTTTTAATTTTAGCGCCCTCTATCGGGATAAAAAATCTCTAACGTATTATAAAGTGTGACACTTCATTTGAAAGCTAATTTAATTACTGATTCAATGCACCACATAACATAAATATAAATATTTGGTTGTTACATTTGGTGACAGCTGTGACTGTCGTTCATGGTCTAGTGGAATGGACACTTTCTCTAGTATACAAGGATGTCTAGATTCGATCCCCAGCTGCGGCTAGCTTTTCTTTTTCAAACATTTGTTTTTACCTTTGGGGTTTGGGATGGTCTTAATAATTCTTGGGGGGATTTTTGAGAATTGTTGCCTTTTCTATAGACCAAGGAGTTACCAGTTGCCCACCCTGTATAACTGGATTAGTTATTACAATAGTATATGACTGGGTTTGTTAACTATTACAATGGTTTATCTGTAACACTAAAAACATTATGGTTTTTACAAAGAAATATTTAATTTGGATCCTAATTGAAATAATCTGTATCATAACAAAAATAATCTGTATCCTATAGATTTCATGTAGGCATTTAATAAGTACCTCAATGTAAAATGAGAGTAGAAAGAAAATATGTCATTATAGGAAATTTTTAATAATAGTAAAAATATTTTTACATAATAAATACCGTTTCAGGCAGGTATGGTGTATATATTAGGGTAACCATATTTATTTTAACTCAATGCTAGACGTTGAACACGAATACAACATTGATGAATTTTGGAGTGACATATTTTTTTAGCTACCCAAAGATAAAAATACAAAAACAGAGAAGTCATGTAGAGGACCACCTTTTTTTAGCTCCCTAAAGATAAATACAACAACAGTGAAGTCATGTATTACGTTTTGTCTTATTTGTTACGTTTCAGTAAATTATGTATTATATTGCTGGACAATAATGGCGTTTTGCTGGACAAAAACAATTATTGTACAAGATCAAATACTGGATAGAATTTGAAAATGTACAATACAATGAAATGCTGTACATATGGCCACCCTAGTGTATATAAGTCAGAAAAAGAAAAAATATATACCTAACGCGATTTAATGTGAACAATACGCAATTTCGATTACACCTAGCAAGAAGAAATACAAGTACTTAAACAAACATAATATACAAAAAATACAATATTAGAAATAAAAACTAATAAAAAAAAAAACAGGCAAAACTTTGTCTTTGTGCTGGAAAGTAATCTTGAAACATTTTTCTATTTGAGTTAAATGACTTGTTTTGCCAACTTTTGCGCATCCCCTGAGATTACCTTTGAAGAACTGCTGATTTACATATGAATGTGCAATCTATATGACTATATATCATTGGATTTTTCCCTTCTAGTACACGAGCGCCATCTTAATTTTATACATTTTGGTGGACACTTTTTGATATAAACAACCATATAAACATTGTCCTCCTTTCCTTTATACTCCATAGATAAATTGTCATTCTGCTAGCTCATGATACTGGGACGAACAGATAAGTTTACTTGGGGTACGAATTTTGAATGGACCTGCGCATGACGTCATCCCGTGACAAAAATTTTGGTAATATATAGGGATGCTATAGCTTTTCATTGTATTTTTGTTTGAAAATTGCCGAAATATTTGTTGTAACTGTTTTATATTATATTACTTAAATCGGTAAAATAAAAACAAGTCAAAGTATACAATATAATTTATTTATTTAATAGAAAAAATAAATGAAGTTATACCATTATTCGATTTTAATTTACTTACAATGTAAGATATTTTTGTGTTTAAAAATCTTCTCGCTTATAAATAAATTATAATCAGTAATGTAATAAATTAATATAGGCCTTTATAATAGTTTTATTTGAAAGTACAAAATAGTTATAGTATTTTAAATACAAATCCCGATGCACGTCGGAGATCACTTATGACGTCACGGCCTTGCAGTGTTGTCTAATAGTCAGAATAGTTGAGGAATTTAGATTTGTTTGAAATTGTAAGGTTATTTATTTGTTATGTAATAATAAACATCTGTAAACATATTATGCAAGTCATGGAAAATAAAACTGTAAGGCTGTATATTGCAGATGGATCAAAATTGGTCTAGAATTAGCACAGAAAATATCTAAAACTAATTTAATTTCACCAAGAAAGTTATTTAACAGAACTACATTTAATTTATAAACAACACCCCATAAAATTAAAGAGATCATTGAAAAAATGAAAACTACAAAGGCGTGTGGAGGATTAATAATATCAGTAGATACCTACCTATACTTAAAGAATTAAAGTTTGAAATTGCTAAAATATTTGAATACAAGAAGGAAATTGTTAAAATATTTGAGTAGGTACTTTAGTAAATCTCACTTTCAGTAACGCTTCTATAGCTCAAGTATTCAAGATAGCCAGAAATGCTTCAAAAATAAACGGATATCGCTACTTCTTTTCAACTCTAAAGTTATTAAAATATGTATGAACAATAGATTCATCACTCAAACATCAAGATTCTCCATCCTACCAGTTTCAAAAGACATTTGAAAAATTTTACTCTCAGTATGAAACTGTGAAATATTCTACTTTTTGCTATATCTACTCTTATATTGGTTTATTAGTACTTTTTTTTTTTCTAATCATTGTAAATATTATTAAATTGTATGACTGGCATAATGAAACCTGAGTCAAATATTTTTTTTATATTTTGGAATAAGATAAAAATACAGATATATAAGAAATATATCAAACTATTTATTGTTTTAAAAATTAGACAATGTTTTTTTTTTAAATACATTCTTTTCTCATAAAAAAACAATTATTCATCTACTAATCTTCATTATTCCTATTAAAATTCTTTTATTTCTCCTAATCCAGATAGCAAGTATTTGAATCGCAGTCATCGATATCGCTGTTAGGGTTAATTATAATAAAAATAATTTCCAATCTATCAAAAACTCTCTCTATCTGCCAATATGTTTATTATAATATTGCTTGGAAAGGTCACAAATAAGTTCAATGGGGTTAAAAACACAATGGCAAGGAATATTACGTAATACTTTGTCTATATTGTTCTGCTTAGGTAATTATTTACCATATATTTCTTTAGCGGTTTGTATCTAAAAAAAGAATGTTTTATTTATTTCTAGTTGCTATTTCGCATAACGTGTGTCAATATCGCTATATTCTAAATTGTAATATCGAAACAACATATATCAAAGAATTACTGTTAGGTACACCATTATATCAAATCTTGTAACTTCATTTTTAATTTGTTGATAGTTTTAAAGTTTATTTATGAAAAAAAGGCATTTTTGGTTTTCACTGTACATCTAGAAAATGTATAAAACATGTAGATTTTTATTGACCACTGTAATCAAATTTTTCCAATTTAATTGTCTTCTTATGATTGCTAGAATAGCGTATCTACCATTAAATCTTCAATATGATGTGTCATTTCAATATTAATAAGTTTTTTTACTTGATTCACACAATTACTGATACCTTTATTTACTTCAAATTTGGCGACTTACCTCTTTTGTAGGTCTAACACCCTTTGGGGTCTATTCTGTAACAATTCCTTTATATTTAACGGCCTTTAAAAATATTGGCGGCCTTTAAAAGTATATTTGTATTCGTTAATTTACTTCTGTCATTATTTAAACAGATTTCTTTAAGATAGTCCTCTAATGTATTTTAAAGATCCGTTTAAATAATGACAGAAGTAAAGAAGAAAATATTTTTAAAGGCCGTTAAATATAAAGGAATTGTTACAGAATAGACCCCTTTGTCATTATTTTGCCAGGAGCTGTTTAATGTTTTATTTTGAACGATACATATTTCATCAATGACAACAAACTGCTTCTTTTGTAATTCTATGATTTCTTAAAAAATAAACTATTTACAGCCCACGTCTTGGTTATCTTTTTATACAGTTCACAATTATGCAATATAGCCATTAAACATTTGTCTCTCAATCAACTTTTCTCTCAAAGGTTCCAAAGTTATACGTTGACCTGCAAATAAGTGTGTACTGTAGATAGGTATACAAATTGAAACTTTTATAGGTAATATAAATAAATTATGATTGAATAAATAGATTTGTCTTTATACTTACTTGTTTCATACATATTATAAATACCACTTCGGATTCCACTTGTATCCAGTGTTATTGTATTAGTAATCCTTTGTTTATATGAATGCTTTTTAATTAGCTATTTTAATCATTCATTATTCTTGACTGCTTGCGAAATACTACTGACAGTAGAAATATTTTTATTTAGAGACGCTGCAACACACTAAAAAAGACAAGAAAACAATTTCATATTTCTATTAATTTTTATAACTTGTAACTTACCTCTCTTACAGCAGTTAAAGGTAAACGTGGTCCATCATTATCACGCTCTCGTTCAAAATAGTGGATTAAAGAAACTCTCAACTCCTTACAAGGACTATTTAATTTTTTAGGCATTATGTATATAAAAAATAAACGACAAAAATCAGCTTATTCACACTATGGTTGTTTTGAAAAACAGTTTTTCATATATAAAAATACAGGCAAAAGGATTTTAAATTACAGAAAACAAAATGCACAATCAATAATCAACTCAACATAAACATAACCTAACTAAATCATTGAATTTTTTTAAAACGGGGTTGCAACACCGCAACAAGAGGTTTGTTCCCAATTAGATGTTACGATTAGTTTGCAATTAGTACTTGAACTGACCTAAGCGCATGTCATACATGAACTACGTTACAAATTAGTAAAAAGTTTTGTTCTATTGGGAACGCTTATAATGGAAATTGTCATGAATAACATTAGAGGTTGGGTAAATTGTCCGCTGGATATAGCCCCCGAAAAAAAGAAGGCCTACCTAAATAGTTTTCGTTTTTTTTTTTCTGGGCTCTCCATACATTACAAAAAAACTCGTCTTCGTCGCTCATTTTTATAAAAATACCAACAATAATAATTATCTCTACACGAGTATTATTAGTCGCCAAATTATCAATAAAAAGTTGGGTTAAGTTTACCGAATGAGCATGCATTAACTTTTCGTACATGCTTTTTAGCAAGGACTGTTTTGATCATCCGCAAACTAATTAATGTACTAGTTTGTGTTTATTGGGAACAGCCAACCCATCGTGCATGTACTATTCTACAAGTGATTGGTAACACTCATGAGCGTACAGAATGTCAAAATTATTTAATGTAAAGTATTATCAAGAATTAGACATGCATAAACTAAATAATTTAAATAATTCTAAAATTATCAAAATAATAACCATAACATTTTTCGATTTTTTAGTAATATGACTACATTCATGAATGCTCCTGACTATTCGTGACTTTTTCGGACTATTAGCTTAGTTAGGGAAATGTTAATTAGTTGGTAGTACTATGACGAAAGACTAACGTCATTGATGACGTGCATCGGGATTTGTATTAAAAATACTATAAAGAAATTATGGTTAAATAATTTTTGGAATTAATTTGGAAAATGTTTTATGATTTATTTTTTAAACATATAAGTTAAGGTTTTTCATATTGTACTTATGATATATAAATTTAAAGTTTCCTAGATATTTATTTGACTATTTTTGACACTTTGCGCTTTCGCATTTTGTAGGTTTCTTTCCTAAAAGACTTTTAGCCTGATCTGATAAATCCACATTTTTTGCTAAATTATTAAATTTTTTAAGGATTTTTTAAAATATTCAGTGATTAGATGTCTTGGCCTTTGGAGATTTGCCAGATTAGGTAAAGGTATCCTTCAGTTTTCACTTATTCTTTGGCAATTCCATTATTTTTTCTTGAATGCAAAATCTTCATCTAAAAAATGCTTCGAACATATTCTGGCATTTTTAATATTAAAATTATGTAAAGTATCGGCAGCCAGGCGAATAGTTTTTTGCTGTTTTATTATACAACCAGTCACTGCACAGCAAACCATTATTTCTTAACGTAATAAAAAACCAAAACTCAATCACAAATGAACAAAATAACTAAAATCACATATTCAGACGAAATTAAAAAACAATAAACTGAGGACAGCGATCTAAAATTTAGCCATTAACTTCAAATAACATACCAAAAATTTGTCATGGGTTGACGTCAGCTAAGGAAGAGAGAGAACAGATATCATGTGCGTGAGCTTATCTGTTCGTCATAGTATCATGCTGCTAGTCCATATATTTATAGAAAACTGGTACTAGTATGACAGTTCTAGATATCAATGGCATGGAAAATAGTTAGGGAATTATTCTAGGTCTTATGATTTGATGTACAATTTGATATTATTTATTCGCTCTGTGCGAAGTCATGGAAAGAGAAGCAGAAGCGATACTAGCGCTAGCTGCGGATAATTCGTGCATTTTAGGGCGATATTTTGTAATTTTGGAATATCAAATACAGGTATACATTTTACTTTTTTTCAAAAAAGTAGGTAAAACCAATACAATAAGCAACCGGAGTTGCTGTGTTAAAAATTGTACAAATACTAGCAAAAAAAAACAGTCAAACTTATATAAAAAATTTCAGTAGCAAAGTGGAAATTAAAACAGAAATAAATGGATAGGTATACAATAAGAAGAAAAATTACCTTTATTTTTGTAAAAATAACAGTAATGCTGGAAATAGTAGACATCAGAAACTTGAAAGGTTTTAAATAAACAATAAATTTTATAAACAATCATTTTACGACGTTCTTTATTCTTAAATGTTCATTCAGCAAGGACTAGATTTCACGATTTCTGCCTTTGATTATTATATGTGGCTGGATTGCAATTTTGTGACTTACGGATGGGAAACCAGTTTTAATCATTCATTCTGTTTTCTTTTGAACAAAAATGAAAATATAAATAACGATCCTTTTTTTATACATTTTATCTTTACGCTATTATTAAATGGTTTTTTTTTATTTTGACAGAATAGTCTAATTCCTCAAAGACAACCATGACAACTTATTAGACTTAGGCAACTTCTCATACATTTTCCAGTAAATACTGTTGTCTGCCTATATTTTATTATTGATTTTTATTGATTATACATAATTTTCTTTAATTTAAGCGATAAAAATATATAATAATAATAATAATAAATTAATGTTTTACTTGTTTTACAAATCAATATACTTTTATTAAAACTAACATATATACTTTTTAATTACGAATTCTATTAAAAATTGTATTTGTCAGTATACGCAGAAATAGTCCATTAGTACCAAAACGAATTGGCGCTGCTGTCGCGCACGGAGCGAATATACCAAAGGACAAGGCACGGATTACATAGAGTTGTGGACCGCTTTAAATTTTTGCCCTATTTGGATATTTTAAAGTAACTGTCACTTGTGTGAAAATTGTAAAATATTAAGAGGATCGTATGTCAATGATAGTCCGTCATAGCAAACAAAAAATTTTTTGTTCATAATTCGAAAAATATTTGACTGATTTAATACTCTAAAAAACAGTGTAATTATTAGTATACCGGATATTATATTTAATCCAGTTAAAAGGTTTAAGCGGAAATGATCATGACAAATATAGCAGTGCAAACGAAAAAACATACTTAAAATACAGTAACATAAAAAACGTGCTTTTAATTTCTTAAACATTATTTGGGGCAATTGTAAATGTCAAAAGCAAACCCTACTTGGATAAAATTGTCTTAGTAATACATACAGGGAACCACAAAATTGAAACGGATGACAATTTTTGAAAACTCAGATATTTGAAGGTAAAATGGGAGGACGTGAAAGCGATATCAAAAAAGACGGACGAACTTCTTGGCTTTCAGCAACCAATGTTGTAAAAAAAATTCTGAATTTATATATTATCCAATGTGTATTAGAATATAACGAAAATAGCTTAACCGGTTTCTTCGTCTCCGTATTTCATAATATTATATTAAAATGTAAAATTCCTATTTTTTTTTTATTTGAAAACTTAGTGATATTGACTAGAATAGGTAATATCTAGAATAAAAATAATAGAGAACATATTGTCCATCAAAGAGCAAAAAGTCGAAAATTTATTTTTTTATTGTCAAATGTGGCGTTATGTGATTCCCAACTAGTCGCAAAATGTCTTAAATACAACTAAGAATAAACCAGAAAGCATTTAATTATAGGATCAAATCATAAGAAAAAAATTAATTTTTTGCTCTCCTGAATGATGCAGTTTTTACACATACGTCATTTTGCACTTAGAGTGACAATATATTATGTTATTTGCGATTTTTAAAGCATTCCTTCGTCTATCTATAAACAAATGCTTATACCAAAAAGCTCACTTTGGCCGTTGTACAATAAACTACACGTCTGTACCAATTAACCAAATACTACTGAATACAAAAAAGTATTTCACCTGAAAATAATATATTTTTGACTTTACGCGAATAAAAAAGTATAACACCCATATAATAATAAATACATTGGGTTTTTTAGAGTAATTTATTACCTATTAAATGGGAACAAAATCGTTAAATAGTATCGAATACTTTCACTCAAGTGACAGTAACTTCAAAATAACAAAATTGGGTGAGGATTTGCGGCAGGTAGTTCATTACTCACTCCATGCAAACCGTGCCTCTTCCTTTGTAATATTTCAGAAGCGATCTCAATCGATTTATAATGTATTTTTTTATTACTTAGATCGACAGGGTGGTCGAGGAAGGGGTAGAGGTCGAGGTGGACCAAGAGGATCAAGAGGCAGTTCAAGGGGCTGGCGAAACTGATATTAAATTAACATTTAAAAACACGAGTGATAACTGTTTAGAACGAGTGACTATTTCTAGTTTGCTATCCGTTTTATTAAAATCATGCATAATTTTTATTTCAGAAGCTGTATAATTTCTTTATAGTAGATTTAAAAGTAACGAGATCGACAAAAAATACTACTAGGAAGTTTTTTATAATAAAAATTAAGACAGTAAAAATTAGTGTCATATCTACAACGTTTACAGTTTTTTCTTTTTTTTTTAATATATCCTACTTAGAATAATGGACAAAATAGTTGAATGTATTCATTGATCTTTTTTTAGCTTGATAACTACCTATGCTAAATATGTGCATATGGTTTTTGTAAATACTTTGGCCATGTGTTCAATTTATGATATGTAGACTTTTTGGTACTTTATTGCCACTTTTCGAACTTGAATTTTAACAACATATAATATGTTTAATGTAAACTAAATAAACTGAAAATTTAAACACGCACTAAAAATTAATTTTAAAAGTGTAAATAGGTATTACTTTTAGAGTATTAATTTTGTTTTAACCTTTGTCTTTTCTTCTGATATTACTGTTTGTATTTAATTTTTTTTAAGAAATCATTTGGTTTGTTTCGATTTTGAAAAAAAATAGTTTAATGTTGATTATGTGAATGTTCAATTCACCGTTTGTATTTTTGTCGAAAATAAAAAGTAATAGTATGTTTGTATTTTTTGTACACAATTACCATAGGTATTAACAAGGCGAGTGATTTATTGTCACTACATTCACCACTATCTGGAATAACAGGAAAATTTGGACTGATCATGGAATGTTCATTCATTTATAGAAGTTTGGGGTTAGACGTAATTAGTAAAATCCTCATTTGGCGGATTATCTGTAAGGGATGTAGTGCTAAATAAAAAACTCAAAGTATAAACCATTATTAATATATATAAATAAAAATTTCCTTGGTTTATTAGGTCACGTTTTTTTTTTTATCAATTAAAAAGGCACTACATATACAGGGTGTCCCAATGAAAAGTAGCCCATTTCCAGAGCTTATAACTTTTAAATAAATCGTAGAATCGTGCGGTTTTTGCTGATAAGTGTTATTTTGCTCTAAGTTTTGCTTCAGTGACACAGAAATTATGTATTACCTATACAGGGTGTTTTTAAAAATCTCTTAAAAGATTGGATTAAAATTGTTTTACTTGATTCTACGCCAATAAAGTGTGTTAACTAATAAATACATATTTTAATGTTAAAGTCTTTACCGTAAGGAAATATATTTAGAAAATTATGAAATTTACTTTACAATGAAAATTGAGACGTTTATAGGAAAAATTATATTTAGCTTTTCTTAATATTTGTTTAAGATCTACAAATACCCCAATTTACGGGTAACTTTATTCTGAAATACCCTGTATAATATATGATACATCGGCAGCACATCTCAAATTAAATTTTAAAAAAATAAAACAAATTTATCTATTTTAAAATTAGCAATATTAGCATAGATCACGAATCCATTCCACTTGTTTGTGAATATACAAACTTGGGACAGTTTACAAAATATATCTCTAAATTACGAAATATATCTCTAAATTATGTCAAAGCTCATACAAGGTGTTAACAACTATCCCAATATATACTTTTACCATTACAATGCTTTTACCTAAACTTAAATTAAAAATATATGAATGACTCATTATATCAAATTACGATACAGCATTTGGACCAGCTCTTCTTCAGAGATTTAAATAGTCTGCAAAAAAGTACCAAATTCATAGGTCCGTGAAGTTAGCACCGCCTAATCCGAATTTTTATAAAAATAAGTTAACATTCGTTTGCTCACGATTGTCCAACAAGCATTTGAGTTTGTCCACCCTTCAAAAAAAAGTTATAGCAAATTCAAAATTTGAGCCAAATTTCACAGCACCGCCATAAAGCTTTTTGATAATTTTAAAGTGGCATTCGATTGTTTACGATTTGTCCACGTTTGTCCAACCAAAATTTTTGTTTGTCTACCTCCCAAAACCAAGATAATTAAAAAAATAAAACAAATAATGGGGACAACCTTCTCCCAAAACCAAGATAATTAAAAAATAAAACAAATAATGGGGACAACCTTACTACATTTCATACGAATTAGACACGACAATCGTTTGTCAACACATTATTTTCGTCTGTCCATCCAACAGAAATAAGTTATTAACAAATAAAAATTCAAAGTATAAATAATTATTAATAAAAGTACTTCTAATAGCAGTTTATTAAAAATAACTATTGCAAACGTTTGTCCACACATTATTTTCGTTTGTCCAGGCCCAATTTTTGTTTGTCCACCCTTCAAAAAAATATAGCATAATTAAAATTTGAGCAAAATTTCACAGCACCGCCATAAAAACTTTATAATTTCAAAGTGGCATACGATTGTCCACGTTTGTCCAACCAAAATTTTCGTTTGTCCACCCCCCGAAACCGAGAAATTTAAAAAATAAACGAAATAGTGCAGATGGTCTTTGGGAACAACCTTAATACCTTTCATACGAATTAGACACGACAATCGTTTGTCCACACATTATTTTCGTTTGACCAGGCCCAATTTTTGTTTGTTCACCATTCAAAAAAAATTTGAGCCAAATTTCACAGCACCGCCATAAAAGCTTTTTGATAATTTCAAAGTGGCATTCGATTGTTTACGACTTGTCCAACCAAAATTTTCGTTTGTCCACCCCCCAAAACCGAGATATTTAAAAAATAAAATAAATAATGCTCATGGTATTTGGGGACAACCTTAATACATTTCATACGATTTAGACACGACAATCGTTTGTCCACACAGTATTTTCGTTTGTCCAGGCCTTAATTTCATTTGACCATCCAACAGAAATAAGTTATCAAATAAAAAAATGGAAATATGAACAATTATTAATATAACTGCTAAAGGTAATTTATTAAAGTGTCTATTGCAATCTTTTGTACACACATTATTTTCGTTTGTTCAGGCTCAATTTTCGTTTGACTACCCAATACAAATTGGTCTTTAACAAATAAAAAACCTAAAATATGAACTGTTGCAATCGTTTGTACACACATAATTTTCGTTTGTCCCACCCAATAAAAAAAAGTTATGACAAATTTCAGTTCAGCACCGCCATATTTTCTCATTTTATCCAAATTGAATATTTATATGGGTCACTATTCTAACAAGTGCAGCAGGTAGTTTCTATTACATACATCTCCGATGTCGTAAATATTATTCTATAATTTATCAGTTTCCAAGTTCATGGGATATTTATATGGTTATAGGAAAAAGAATTATTCTTTACATAAATTAATTGTCTTTTACAGCTTATGTTAGAAATTTTTTATATTTTGGGTTCTTTGCTTGACGATAACTAAGTTATTTTAGACGAACAAATGAAAATAATTTGTTGGCAAACGATTGTAGTAGTAATAAAATGCAATTAAAAATACTTTTATAATTATTCCTGTTTTGAGGCTTTTAATTGTTAATTACTTTATTTCTGTTGAATGAAAAAAAAAATGAGACTCGGACAAACGTAAATAATGTGTGGAAAATCGAATGCCACTTTGAAATTATCAAAGTTTTTACGGCGGGTGCTGTGAAATTTGGCTCTAATCTGCCATTAGAAGTACTTTTATTAATAATTATTTATACTTTGAATTTTTATTTGTTAATAACTTGTTTCTGTTGGATGGACAGACGAAAATAATGTGTTGACAAACGATTGTCGTGTCTAATTCGTATGAAATGTATTAAGGTTGTCCCCAAATACCATGAGCATTATTTATTTTATTTTTTAAATATCTCGGTTTTGGGAGGTGGACAAACAAAGATTTTGGTTGGACAAATCGTAAACAATCGAATGCCACTTTAAAATTATCAAAAAGCTTTATGGCGGTGCTGTGAAATTTGGCTCAAATTTTGAATTTGCTATAACTTTTTTTTGAAGGGTGGACAAACGAAAATTTCTGTTGGAGAATCGTGGACAAACAAATGGTAACTTATTTTTATAAAAATTCGGATTCGGCGGTGCTAACTTCACGGACCTCAAATTCATCTATCCAGTTCACGTACACAAAACGAAAATTTTACCAATTTCACAAGTTTCTCTTACACTGCAGCAAAATTGTATAATACATTGCCTAAAGCTTTTAGATTGTACTCTAATTAACTTAAAATCATCCTGGCCGGCTAAGGACGGTTGTAACAAAAATTAACATTTCTGTTCTATCAGTTTTTACTTTATGTAATTTTGATGCACTCTATATCTTTGCGGGAAGTCGAGTTGAAAAACGGCCTATGCTGACACTCCGCCTATTCACTTAGTTATATTTACATTTAAGTATAGTCCATACAAACAATAAGTCATCTACAAAGTAATACCGATAATGGAAAAAAAGTTCAGCTTCCGTTTGAAGATGCTTTAAAAAAATTCACTAAATATTATGCATGAATACATCTAAAAAGGAGTCTACCAGGAGTATGTCATTATTATGCCCCTGGACGATGGTATTACACTTATTTTAATATTATCAGTCGAGTGCCTTTATTTGGAGGGATACCTAAGGCTTGGCAATATTTATTATCGTTTGTCCAGTCCTTTTTTGCAGTATCATGCGAATCATACCACGTTTCATCCAGAAAATAAATTGGCCTGCTTTCATTTTTATATTCACGAATTTTCTGTAAATAAGAATTTCTCCAGTTTACTATTCGTCTTGTTTCCATCACTGCGCTTCTTTTATCTATCGTTTTGTATTTAAAACCGATTTTTTTTTAGCCAATTATACAATGTAGACCTTTTTATATTTGTATCGAAATAAGTTTCACTTAAGCGTTTATGTATATCAAGAGTGGGAATGGTATTTTGTTTATAAAGTTCATACACTGTATTCACAATGGATTTAGCCATGGCTGGATCTAATTTTTTTTGCAGACCTCTGTCTTCACGGACTTTTCTGCTAAAAATTCCATTTTTTATAATTTGGTTCATTTTATAAACCGATATACCAGTAAGAAACGCTACTTCTTGAACGGTAGAAGTCTTTTCGATATATCCACGTTATAACAAATTTTTATAAACATTTAAACAAATTTGCTGGGACTGTTCATTTAAAAAGTTTATTTTTTATTTGCGCCGGCACTGCATTAGTTTCTCCATCACTGTTTGATGTACTGGTGCTCGGAATACTATCCCACGGTCTCCACATAGTTAATAACACATACACAAAAATTATTATTCGTTTATTAAAATTACTATATAACCTCCAAAACACAAACTAATTATTGATAAAACGAAACTAAACCCTAATAAAACAGAAACTAATATTCTATAAAATTTTAAAAAGTACGATGCTGGAGCCGTTAACCGTACAAAACTCAATAGGTCACTAAGGTGAACAAAACTCCACTGAAAGTAAAAATAATTATTTTTATTCAAATACGTTTGATTTTCCTTTTCGGCATTGGTTAAAAATTCGGCTCTTTAAATGGACAAAGACAATATGCCGACAAAGACAATAGCCGTCGAAAGGCGATACACCGCCAAAAACAATATACTTACAGAGGCAGTATACCGACAAAGCTATTCACGCTTCTTGGAGAAAAAAATGCAAAATTGTATCTAAAACACTGAAATCGTTGAAGGAAAACATCAGTTATAAATCCTACTTATATATGTATATAAAAAATTACTATTTTAAATCTTCAAATCGAAAGAAACATATACCTATAATACGTACATATAATTAAATTATTAAATAAAATTTTAAGGAAAAACATATATCTCCGTCTATGGGCGGTCTATCAAAGAGTTAGTTTAGCTGACTTCCGATAAGCAACCCATTTTCCCTACACCAATTTTTGTTTCGAATTATTCAAACAAATGCCGAACTTTTTTTGCGTTTGCGGTATTCCTTTATAGTTGACTTATTGTTTGGATGGACTATACATACAAATGTATTTTTTTGTTTTAATGTTATTGGGAACTGAAACGAGCAGTTTTAAATTGTTTGCCTTGCCTGCTTATTAGTTCTTGTAATTTATAAAATTAGAGAAGAAATTTATTTATATCTGATTTCTCTTGCGTAAATTTCAAAACAAAATGTATTTCAGGAGCTTGTGCTCCCGATTTTTTACGTCTCAAAATGCACAACTTCGTGTATAATGTATAAGATCCAAGTGACCACCTCGAAAAACTGGAAAAAACCGAGTTCTATTCACTGTACATGTGACCTTGGTGGCTTCTGCTATATCTATCGTACTGTAATGTCACATTAGGTAATAACCCTCATCCAAAAATATACCGTTTTGAATATAGTGTCAAAATTTCAAAAAATATAACTTATAAATAACTCACCCAATATTTATTGTATGAAACTTTGGGATGAGTTATAAAAAATAGTTAAATTTTGATTTCTAATAAAAATTTTGAATTATATCAATGGCTTTTATTATCATATAGGGGAACGACGAATTTTCAAAAAAAAATCCAGAAAAACAACAGAACCAAACAGCACAGTAGGAAGTTTTTTAGAAACCATAATTGGGAAAATATCCCAAAACATGAGAAAACCTTGGTAGGAAAACCATGTTAAAATACCTGATAATATCCTATGAGTAGGAGCAGGTTGAAAACAATAACCTGAATAAAATAGGCATATTTTGTTCGCTAGTGGGACCAAAAAAACTCATATTAATAAACTTTTATGTAAAACTAATATTTAAACAGTAAAATCAGTAAAACAAAAAAAAAATGTATTACACATAAATAAGCGAAATAAACTAAAAAAATTGTCTTAAAAATTATATATGTATAATATAATTAGGTACAATTAATAACAATCTGTTTTTTACATATAACTATTTTCTTTTAAGAATTATCACCGTAATCTCTATCACCCACGTTGATTCGGTCAGGGGCAGATGTCACATTAAAGCCTAATATTCGGGAATCCACCTTCAACATTTTTGATTTTTTGTTTTTCTTGTTTTTGCCCTAAAACAAAAAAAATATTTACCAGTATATCAAAAATTGTTATATAAATGTGCAAAAACTATCAAATGAAAATCAAATAAATGAAGAAAATAAAACCTTATTATCATTTTTAAAATAAGCTGCAATTTTGATCAGTTTGTAAAAATCTTATTTTTTGTGAAAATGGATTTTGAATGATTCCAGTCCAGTCCTTAAATCTGTTTTTAACTTAGAAAAAGTCCTAAACAAAAGCATGAAATGTTAGTAATTGTTTGTACATGATGTCACACAAAGTTTTATACATATGGAAAAGTTTTCACATTTCACAAAAAAATATATTCTTGATAAAGTTTTGTAAAATATAGGTGGCATACAGGGAAAATAAAAATAATTATTAATAATGAATGAATAATGAATTTCAATATAGAGCAAAAAATGCATTAAAATGTTGATAGGAATTAAAGTTTAAATCATTGTACTTATTTTTAAGTGATTTCTATTTACTTTATTCAATAAATAATCCAAAATTAATGCTAAAGTGTGTAGTGAATTTTTTAAAGCTATTGCATAGCTTTTATCGCGGGCTTTGAGCGTGGCGACCGAATCAAGAAATTCCGTAACGACCGTAACGAAAAAACCTAACACCCTCCACTCCGACCGGCACAGCGGTGCGGCGTTAAACAATATTAACTTCTCATTTATTCAATAAAAGAAAATCGAAAAATCGAAACAAAAATTCCGTAACGAAAATTAACATAACAGCCCCACACTTCGACCGGCACAGAGTTGCGGCGTTGAAAGCCGTGTAATATTAACTTCTCATTTATTCAATAAAAGAAAAAAAATTGTTTTCTTATCGGTCACCACGCCAAAAAAGTGTAACTCGAATTAATATCAAAGAAAAAACTTGAATTAATATCAAAGAAAAAAATACTGCATAAATAAAATAAATAAATAATTATAATTGCATAAGTTGATAAAAAATGCTATGCTATGCTTTACCGCGGCAGTCCCAGAGTGCCACAAGTATTTTTTTTAATTTTATAAATTTCATGCTTGATTATGGATTTACAAGTGATGGAGAACATTTTATCAAGATTTTTTTTGTTAAATGTAAGAATTTTTTTTGGTACACACTGTATATAATGTACTGCAACCCTCAAGACTCTGTGTCACAATACATGTTCAGAATTTAGATGACAGGGTAGTAATTCTTGAATTTGAGGAAATATAAAACCGCACAAAATTTGTATTTTTGTCTAATTATTTCCTCAAAATTTCTACTCCCTAAGATTCAAGAATAGATACCCTTATCTCCTGATGCCGTTCATAAATTTTCACTATACATAGTGTTCTGATAATCTCAAATAGAAAACAGAGCCATGACAACAAAAATGTTCAGTTTCCTGGTCAATTAATACGTAAATACTAAATATGAACGTATCTTTTACTATATAAAAAATGTGCATTCTGATTATGATGTAATGAAATCTTATGAGTTATTACCTTACCTTGACCTCTTGGAATTCAGTACTATGTTGCAAGGATGGGGTAATAGCTGGAGCTGGGGAACACATATCGTCTTTGTGAGCATTATTTCTCGGTTTAAAAGACCGACGTTTTTCCAAAAAATTTAGTGCGAATTGGTGCGTCGCATTGCTGTCGCCTAAATATTCCTTACAATATTCTTTAACGTCGAACGCGGATTCGATATCCCGCAGAAAAGTTACAAAAGTTGGAACTAAAAATGTACAAGTAAAAAACATGTTAATTAATTTTACTAGATTGATAAAAATAATATATTTAAAGGATTTTTTTAATTAAACAATTAATATGATTTTTTCTACGCCCAATACTGTAAGTGACCAATTATTGATATGCTTATTTAATGGCACTGTTAATATAATTAATGTGTTCTCAGAAATGTAATAAAATTTTATTACATTTCTGAAAATGTACTCCTTGCTTTTCAAATAGACTAAAGTTAGAAATTACAAAGTAAAAGTAGATACATATGCACATTATTTGCGAGTTGTAAAGCAATGGAATTTTTCCATTAGGACGTAATTTGTTACTTACAACCCTCAATTACACAATATATTGTGTAATGAGGGTACACAATATACTATTCAAAAATAATTACTTACTATCTACGTTAGTTGATATATTTGATAAGGTATTGTAGCACCAATTCATAAATTCGTCTGTAGACGGTCCATTATTATTATTGTTATTATGATTCGATTTATTCGTTTCCTCTTTCTTTATCGGTTTAGCGATTTTGACGGGTTTTTGCGTTTGAAGTTTCGAAGATGTAGTAAAATTATTTGCAGAATTACTTTTGGTTACAGTGGACGGTTTAGTTGCTCCTTGTTTAATGGAAGAATCATCCCAAAAACCACCTAAAAAAATTATTACATAATACCGATTCGGTCAACATTAATATACAAGTATACAATAGGGAATTCTTTTTTTTTTAAGAGGCTGATAGATATTTATAGGGAGAAAGTTGGGATGAATGACAAACTCCAGGAGTGTATTATACATGTGAAAATAATGTAAAAACTCCATCCCCTTTAAAATGAAATAGAGACAAATATGTATTAGGATCTGAAGATAAGCGATCAACCTCTACTGTGAACTAATGAACTAAATATAGTGAACATTTGACGTTCTGTCAAGTTTTGTTTATTGTTTATCAGCCTTTGGCTTTTGTGACAAATGGGATAACTATGTTGTTTAGTACTAGTACTCTTATTCCTGTAAGTACCCGTTTTTTTGTGAATGGTACACTGTTGTTTTGTGTGCGTTAATGGACAATTGCTCCGTTTTCCACCAGTTTTTCACTATGTTTAGAGCTGTTTGAGATCGCTCCGAGACTGTGCCTGCAAATCGCCCCCTGACGACAATTGCTAGATTGTCTGCATATCCTAGGCACTGGTAGCCTTCTTTGGACAATGTTTTGAGTAGATCGTCCACAAGAACTAACAACAGCATTGAAGATAATATTCCTCCTTGTGGGCAGCCCCGTGTAACTTTTGCCTGTATGGTTGCCTTTCCTAGAGTAGATAAAAAAATCCTGTTCTCTAGACTGGCAGTGATCCATTGGCATATTGTAACTGGGACGTTTCTCTGTTCTAGAGCCTTCGTTATTGACCTGGTTGAGGCATTGCTGAAAGCTCCTTGGATACCTAAGAAAGTGGCTATTGCGATTTCTTTGTCAGGGATTGAATTTGAAAGCAGCCTGTTTAGATCCTCCAGCGCTAGGTCAGTTAGTTGACTTTCCTGGCTAGTATGCATATTGATTAGGGTGGAATATGTATCGCGTCCCTGATATATCTTATCAATCTTTCTAGAGTAAATATCATTTTTCGTTTTTTACTTGACATCGGACGGACGGAAGGAACCAAATGCATAATATTCTTTACAAACTACTGTGTGAAAAATACAAAAATTGGCATACTTTTATAAAAGGATGTCTCGGACATGGAAATATTCTTCAACAGTCTAGCCCCATAACAAAAACAAACAAACATAATATTTGCATATTCCAAAGTTTGTAAGTGATTGGGATTCTTGAGCAAAAATTTGGATACAAGTACAAATGTGTAATTACGTTACAACTTTAAAACAAATGAAACTCGAATAAAAACAATGATTTTTTATTTTAATGTTTAAAATAAAGTCATTTAGAAGTACATAATCTAATATACAAGAGTATATTCGCGATTCAAATTAATTTTCGCGCCTGTCATTTGTCACCTATAAGTAGGATGTTTGTTTATTTACATGTGTTTGTTTCGGGCGGAATTTGTATTTGTGATTTTTTTAACTGTTTTTAGGTAATATTCTCATTGTAATAGTGTTTTTGAGTTTCATTTAGTGTTAATTTAAGTTTAAGTCTCGTGATTTCGTCATAAATATATTTATCATGTGTATGACTTAATTTGTTGGAAATATTCACCTATTGGTTGCTACAAGAACATCTAGAAATATGTATTTACTAAACCCAGGACATGTTTTATTATGTGGTTTAAAGGACATTACAGGTACCAAACGTTTATTATTGATGAACTTATTTAAAAATCTGACTAGGCTTATCGTTATATTATGAAGTGGATTATGTAGTACTTTGCATACATGTAAATGGTAATAAAACCGTCACAAATTTATTACAGTTTGATTCTAAACAAAGTTTTGCAAAATTTCAATATTGTGAATTTGTAGATATCCATTTATCGTAAAAAACAAAATTTTACGACTTGCACTTGGAAAATAATGAATATGTACTTCAGTTTTGATTTTGACATTAACACCATATAGATTGCAATTTGCTGGGGACTTTTTTGCAGATTTCATTTTTAATATAAACACTATCACACTATAAGAAATAAACAATATTAAATCTAAAAAATAAGAAAAAACTCGAATTGTAATTGATACAAATTAAATTGTAAACAATGAACACGAACGCCGATGTTGCCAAATGAACTGATTTTAAAACAAAATTAATAAATAAACTGAAATTTAAAAAAAATCAATATAATAAATCGGTTTCATAAAAAAAATCCTTAAATAAATATAGAATATAATTACATATTACTATACATAAATTTTGATTCTTAAATAAAAGGTCTTATCAACTTCTTCAAGAGCTAAACTCCGACGACGTAGCGAAATTTGGCTACTTCTGGCAACACTGACCGATATCCTACTTATAGAGACCATCTACAAACTTCCTCCAGAAGGCGTATCAGTTAGCTTGAATCGCGAATAAACGGTTTTTTTAAAGAATATAGACAGTATATTTAATTTGTTGCCTTGTGGACCGAAATATATAGAGGAAAAAGTGTTTTACCAAATTGTTTAAATTCAACATATTTTTATATATATAAAAAAAAATTGTATATTTTTTTCTTTATTCTGTTATTTATATTTGTGCTGCTACATTGCTAATTTTATATAATATATGGCAATGCTGACCAGTGACAGAAAACGCGCAAGGGTCTAACATTAATAACTCAGAAATGTGTAATTTTTAGGAACATGATTGGCTTACCTAAATTATTATGACAACACTTTAAATTTTAAATGTCTGAACTTCTGTCTCAAAAACTTCATAGTTTAAAATTAAAAAAGTGCTATAGTAGTGACACCTCGTTTGAAAGGTATTTAAAAGACTTATTAAACCATCAAAATTTTGTTTGGATTTAAGGTTGTTTTGAAGTAATAATATACGTACTTTATTGCAATAACTAACTGGCCCGAGACCGAAGTCGTTCAGTCCATTACATACTGTTACGTTATAAAGTAAGTAACAGCTTTTAAATAAATACATTTCAGACGCACAGTACATTCAATAAAAATTATTTTAACATCAGTTTTTCATTTGAACATCTAAGCAATTATGCAACAGGAAAAATACTTTAGGGAATCGATAGGTAACATGGGGACATTCTTACAAGGAGCATTGGTCTGAGGTCATCGATTAGGTAAAAAGTTAAAAAAAGGATGTTGTGCCTCCTCAGGGAAGAAAGTAACCTAAAAAATGTAAGTAGGCTTTTACGTTATCATATATTTCGTTAGTGGAAAATATATTTGTTTTTGTAAATTGTCTCATTTCTGTGTTCTCCTTTATCCCGTTTTGGTGGTTAGTAGCTGTGCTGACGTGGTTAATAAAACACCCCTTAATGCGAGTGAACATTAGGATTCGATAAAAATAACTAAAAATTTAAATATAACAATTATTGTAATATGTATTGAAGTCAAAAGGTAATTGAATGTTGTTATGTGTGTTAAAGGTCCCAAATGTGCTGTGATATATTCCCATAATATGGTCATTTCTGGAAACTTCCTCTTGAAATGTTTGAGTGGATCACAGTCTGCATAGCAGTTTAACTATATTTCTTGTCTTCTTTTTCACAGAATTTCTGAATGAAATGTATTAATCTCTGCTTTATAGATTTTACCTGCGTAATTTCATAGAAAAGAGCATTAGGTGGATTATGCAATGGGTGTCTTGCTTTAGTGATGGAACAGTAATGTACTTCTTTCAGCTACTTCAAAATTTTTAGTGCGTCTTTCAATTTAGTGTATAATTTATTTATTTAAATGGGATTAACCCCATTACAAAGCAAAACACATATAAATGAAACAAATAATTGTAAATTAAAAAATACAAGAAAAAAAGTTAAAATTATAATTGAATAAGTCAAATAAGTTTTAGATTAACAGATGCCTTTTAAGTAGTGTAAATCCGTCTGTAATACCTCATTTTTGCTCCTCTGTGTCCATACAGATTGCCTTAAATTTATTAAAATAAATGCCTGTAACCCCAAGATTCAATTGAATTATTACCCTCAATGTTCTTTCAATAGGTAAATGCATGCCATGAAACATATTTAATTGCCTAAGGACTCTAGGAATATTTCTAAGAGTTCCGGGCATATGACTAGACCATTTAATAATCTATAGATAAAATTCAAATATTATGTATGCTGTTCTTAAGTTGGCTCATATTCATTTAAAATACTACTTTAATTATGATCGGTTACCTGAATATTTAATTTGAAGGCACAGTATCTTAGAAATTTATTTTGTATTCTTTCCACTGCTAGACAGTGTATATGATGTTGTGGCGATCAAATTTATATAAGCATACTCCAACTGAAGTACAACCAATGTTTAATAAACTCTTTTTATGGCTTTTAGAGAGAAATCAGAACAGTTACGCAATATTAACCCTGAGCATTAGGATGGTTTTATTGAGATTGAATTTATATGTTCAATAAATCTTAATTGTTCATCTAAAATAACTCCTAAATCTTTGACTGAGTTAACCCGAGATAGTGGCTTATCATTAAAGACCGGACATTTTAATCGCGTTCAAATAATTGGTTTTAATCACATAGGCGTCTCATTCTGGGTTCGCTATTTAAGACGGCAGACAGTGCGGCAGATTCTAATACTATCAGGACAAACCTCTTTTTTTTATTAAAACAAGATAAAAAAAGTGTACTGATATATACATAGACATTAAAACTAATACAAAAAAGTGAGATTTTTTTTTATCGTGTACCTATATTCTTTGTCTTTTGAATCATTTTCATTAAACAAATTTAATGTTTTCTTCTCACCAACGCCGAGGATATGTAGGATATTTTACAAAAGTTTTTAGTAACCTCAGATCCTTTAATTTGTGGCCTGAGAAATTTTCCTTAAAAAAAAATAACTTTTTTGATGAAGATGTTAAACTTTTCATAAGCGAGTTTAAGGTGTAGTAATGTAAACGATATTCTGTATGATATTTTTTTTATTATTATCTCTTATATAATTACAAAATATCTATTCCTCAATATTTTGGCGTGGTACACTACTCTCCTGCCTAAAATGAGGATCGAGGACCCCAGCTGCCTCCCCCGAATTTGTTATTTCCTCCAGAAAATTGGAAATTTCTAGCCTTAGCTGGTCCCGATTCATTGTTGGAGAAATTGCATCGGGGCCAAATATTAGGACTCTACGAGCGTTTGGACTAAGACGCTGTAGAGAGGGCCTAAAATGAATGTCAAATAGGCCCATCATATGTTGTCTTATACTTTCTCGATCCATTGTCGGTTAGTTGCCGGTGATATTTTTATTCAAATAAAGTCAATCCTTATATTATATTTATGAATATTTTGGCTTTTATCGATACCGTACATACCGATTTTTTGTAACAAAACATTTATGTTTTTATTTCCTGTGGATATTATGGTACTTATACACGATGAGACAATAAAATAAATGTCTGTTAAATTTCTGTAATGTATGTATTAATTCAATTGCTCACTCTATATAGGTATCTGTTGGTTGAAAAAATGTAAAAAGATAACAAAGAGTCGATAAACAGGAGATTTGAGAAGAAAGTGTCTTGTAAAAATATCACTAGATTTTTCCAATGAGTATATTTGTTTAGTTCAAAGGGAAAAGTGATAGAAACTGGAAACGTAAATATGGAAAATTTATTATCGGACTTTGATTGTTTTCGTCGTTTTAATGACAACAAATTATACTGCCGCAATTGTGATCAGGTGTTAGTTTTTAATGGAAAGTCAAGTATGACACAACATGTGAAAACACAAAAACACATGCAATCTTTAGAGGGATGTCCAGACAAAATCTTTTATGAAGATTTATGCAACGCATTTGTTTCTGCAAATATTCCATTAACAAAATTAAATAATACAATTTTCAAAAATTTTCTTTGTAAATATACTAAACGTAAAATACCGGATGAATCCACAATTAGAAAACATTATATTCAAAATCAGTACGATAAAGCAATGACGGCAATAAAAACGAAAATTTCCAGCAAATATATTTGGGTTAGTGCAGATGAAACGACTGACATAAAGGGTAGATGTGTTGTTAATGTTGTTGTAGGATTATTAAGTGCTGAAAATACTTCACAACAGTATTTAGTTTCTAGTGTGTTTCGTGAAACTGTGAACGCTGAAATGATTTATGAAATAGTGAAACGTGGATTGAACAATGTAATTGATAATGACGTTTCAAAAGTTTTATTGTTTATTTCAGACGCGGCAAGTGTAATGTTGAAAACAGGGAAACTATTACAAGAACATTTTCCAAACATGCTGCATGTAACTTGCCTTGCTCACGCGTTACACCGAGTTTGTGAGTTTATCCGTGACAGCTTTCCAGACATTAATTCGTTGATTAGCTGTTTTAAAAAAATTTTGTTAAAAGCACCGTCCCGAGTTTCTTTATATAAAGAAATATGTCCGAATATCCCCCTACCTCCACAACCAGTTATTACACGATGGGGAACTTGGTTACAGGCTGTGTTCTTTTTTTCGGAGCATTTCGACAGACTAAAAGTATTTATTTCCAACTTATCAGAGGACGCTCTCTCTATCACTCAGTGTAAAGGTTTAATAACAAAAACAACTTTGCAGTCGGAGTTAAATTTTCTTGCGACTTATTTTTCGTGTCTCCCAGAAACTATAAAATTCCTTGAAACCCGTAACTTACAATTATCGGTTGCTATGGAAAAATTTGAATCGACATTGTTACACTTAAAAAACGTAAAGTGGCCCTTACAAGATAAATTTAACCATAAAATAGATTGTGTTATTAAAAGAAATCCAAATTTACAGACTCTGAAACAAATCTCCCTGAACAATTTTAACGATTATGAAACTGCTTTAAAATATTGTGATTTTGTTCCACATTTTTCATTTGCTCCTGTAACGAGTTGTGACGTAGAACGATCGTTTTCTAGGTTTAAAGATTTATTGACTTCTAAAAGAAGTAATTTCACTGAAGACAATTTAGAAAAATATGCAGTCATACAAACATATTTTTCAAATGAAGAAGATTGATATTAATTTGTATTGTATATAATTGTATATTTGCTACTTTAGGATAAAGAGTGTATATTGGAACACTCTAAACATAAAACTAATGATGGTGTATCCTCGTTGATATATTTATTAGTCAATAATATATTAACAGAAAAAGCCAACAACATTATCCCACAACACAATAAAAAAATAAATAATAATATCATTTGTAATTATATAATAATATCCAACCAAATTTGAACTAAAATTTAATAAAATAATTATTGCAATGTAAATGTAATAATAAGCCCGCCCCAAATGTTACGCCCGGGCGATAAAAATCCAATATCTTATCTACTGTGTCGACCAGTTCAGTAAATAACTTGTTTTATTCAGAATGTATTATTCAAATCGAAGGTCCGCTCTTACCGTTACTTCGCTGATAAGAATAAATTAAATTGTCCGGTCTTTACTTATCATTAATGTAATATTGTCAGTTGCACTTTTTGTTCCCTTTAAAAAAGCTTATAAAACAACATTTATTAATATTCAACTGTAAGTTATTAAGGTCGCACCATTTAACCGTCCGGTAGGCGCGCTCACAAAGTTACATGAACAGGCGCGCATGTATCTCATATATACACTACCATATTTTGGTATAAAATAAATTAAACATCAGTACCAAGAGATTTCTTAACTCTTTACAATCATTTTAGTTATTTAGATCGTATTTCTTTTTTCCTAATGCCATTTTAATATCTACAAAAAAATTAAAACATAAATACAACATACATAGGCGCAGTTATCTCTCAGATACATATAGTATATTTTATCATATAGAATGATAAAAAAAATATATATTACAAGCATATTTATACATTAGTAGCAAACGTTCAAAAACCATACATGAACTAAAAATAACTTACATAAACTGTCATCTATAACTGAAATGCAAAATATCAATATCTCAAAACGGCTGACCACTTGGAAGTCACATGGCATAACTGTTACATAGGACCACTGGAGCCAGGAAGGTAGGTAGGAGCGGAAAGGTCTAGCTCTTTAAACGCGATAGTACAAATGAAAAGAAAATTGCGATGTATCTGAAGGATACATGCACCTGCCCGAAGGTTAACTAAGTTGTAGAGATCATTCTGAATGAAGGCTTGTTTGTTAGATGTGTAAATTGGTCTATACAACTTTAGGACCTTTAGGTTATCTGCGAACATTAAGAATTCACAATGTTTAAAGCATTCTATTATAACGTTAATAAAAATAAATTAAATAAAAGTGGTGAACAATGAGAGCCCTGTGGTACTCCTGGGGAGACCCTAATTAATCTTGATCTATTACTACCGATTTTAATTTGCTGACTTCGACCTGTCAAGAAACCACTTCACCAGCTGGCATGGTATACCAACAGATTCTAGTTTTGTTAACAATATTACATGATCAACCCTGTCAAACGCTTTAGCGAAATCTGTGTAAACAGAGTCAACCTGCCCTTTAGCTTCTAAAACATTTAATATATTTTGTTCGTATAACAATAGGTTTGTAAAAGTAGATTTTTTTGACAGAAGCCATGCTTAATATGTCTGGCCAAGCATTCTGGGAAATCACGTAGTTTGGCCTATATTTTTGAATGTAAATTTAACAGGTACAGTATACCTGGAGATGTTAGACACCGCTATTAAGCCATTAATTCTAGAATTTGTGGAAGATAATCCAGATAAATATGGTAATTTGGAAATACATTCCAACAAGACGGAGCTCACTATTATGCTGCAGTCAAACGTTATTGGATGCGTAATATCCTGGTAGATAGATTAGATGATGAGGTCTAATCTAATGGCGGGTTAGGTCACCGGAACTTACACCTTTAGATTTTTTCTGTGACGATATCTTAAATATATGGTTTACACTACAGCAACTAACAATATTAATGTTTTAGCTACAGCAACTAACAATATTGTTTTAAAACAACGAATTATTGAAGAGTGTAGAGCAATTTCCCCTGAAACATTTGAACGAGTACAAGAGTTTCAGAATAGGATGTTTTACTGTCAAGAAGTAGATAAAAACAATTTTAAACTCAAAATTATGATGGTTGAATAGGTTTTTTTAAATACATTTCAAACGTGGTATCACAATAGAATGCAATTTAAAATTATTCGTCACAATGACACTGTAGCGCCATCTATGATGATAACGTAACCAGTTACCACTAGCACTATTGGATAGCACTTTTTAACCAAAAATAATAAACCTTGGGAAAAAGGGTAGAAATGTTAAAAATAATCTTGAATGTACCTGAACTTGACCAATTTGCCGAAGAAGAGGCCCATGTTAAATTCTGGCTACTCCAAATGCCTGTACCGGTATTATTAGTCGCTGGTGTAGGTTCCTTTTCTTTCTGTAGCCTAGTCTCAGCCGCTTGCTGAAATATCTTCTCATATTAAATAAAAAATTATCGAATTAGCTACAAATATTTAGTATATTTCATGATATTTCTTTAAATTGCAAGTATTAAACATGGAAAAAATTTAAATTACCTTCAACAGTTTCTCCTGCTCTTCAGCCTGGATTTCAGCCAACGATTTGACTTTTCTAGGCTCAACTGGTTTTTTCGCCCAATTAAATTGAGGAATGGGTGCTTTTTCTTGTTGTAACTGCTGTTGATGCTCTTTTTCCTAAATATATTTATAAAATTAATAAATGTTAATTTAAAACATGTTACAAAACTACCTGTAACCTCTGAATTTGCAAAGCAGCATCCAATGCTCTCTTTTCCTTCTCGGCTTTCTGAATTTCTGTAAGACTTAGACCCATGTTAGAATTCGACTGAGACCAAGGTGCAACTTTAGCTGCTAATCTTTGTTGTTCTTGTTGCAATCTCTTTTCTTCTTCTAGCCTTCTTGCTTCTTTTTCCTTCATTTCTTGTCTATAAAAAATAATGAATTTATATGTAAACAAATATGTATAAAATTGTGAGTACAAACCTTATTTTATCTTCATCTAATTTCTTCTGCTCCTCTGTTCTTTTCTTAGCTTCTTCTTCCTGTTTTCTCTGTTCTTTGAGTCTTCTTTTCTCTTCTAATTCTCTAAGTCTCTTTTCTTCAGCTTCCTTCTTAGCTTTTTCCAATTCCCGTTTGACTCTTTCCTCTTCCTTTCTTCTCTTTTCCTCAAGGGATTTCTTCTCAGCTTCTTGTTTCCTTTGGTCATGCTTCCTCTTTTCTTCAGCATCTTTTTTTGCTTGTTTCTCTTCCAGTTCTTTCTTCTTTTTCAATTCTTTAGCGAGGGATTCTTCCTTTAATTTTTGCTGTTCTTTATCTTTATCGACCTTTGTAGGTTTCGGTTGCAATGCTTGCTGGAGTTTTTCAGACTGTGTTAAAGGAGGCGAAGGGACAGTTTGTGGAGTGGTATTTTGAATGTCCCACATTGATATTGGGACTTCGTTTTGAGACTGCTGCCACTGTGATGTACCATTATTAGTTGGAGGAGGAAAAGAGTTTTGTTGCCAAAGATTATCCACCTAAAAGTGCACGATTCAAGATAGAAGATTTAAGACAATTGTACTGTTAGTGATAAAATTACTGACCTGTGGTGTTGATTGTTTCTGTTGCTGTAATTGCTTAAGTAGACTAGAGATTGGATCACTTTGGCTAGATGGAATTTGTTCCGAACCCCTAGAAGTCGGCCTAGGTACATTAATACTCCCACCAATACTGACTGGTATATTGCTTTGAATACCCCCTATGGGCATATTGCCTGCATTCAGTTGAGATGTCTGAAATAAAAAAATGCATTAACATTTATATTTTCTTGTCAAAAAAATAAATACAAAATAATACCTGCAAACTGGGCAAACTGGTTGATAGTCCCTCAGGTTGTGGTAAATTTCCAGGTAAGGCATTTCCCAGACCTGCAGGTATATTGTTTGGCAGACCCGTTGTGGGTAGACGGTTCTGCATAGAGAGCAGGTTACTCATGTGTAATTGTAAATGAGGATCTAAATTGCCAGGTAGATTTTGAGGTTGTTTCTCGACCAATCCTTGTCCTGGAAGTTTATTTGCCTAAAAAGTATACATATAATTGATTAAACAAAACTGTCAAAATCGAACACATTTTAATTTAAACTCACTTGTTGCATTTGATTAATCATGTGCATTAAAGGATTGGCCGCTTGTGATTGTTGCAAATATTGGAGATCTTGTGAAACCTGTTTGGAAAAATGAACACATTATTTAATGAAAATTTATTATTCAAATTTTAAACTCCAAAACTTATTCTCCAAAGATAACAACTATCAATAAAAACAATGAATTGGTCTACCTGTTGCTGTTGTTGCTGCTGCTGTTGTTGCATAATCAGTCTTTGGGCAGCCATTTCTTGCTGTTGTAATGTAATTGCATTCCAAGGTTCACTGAGAATTCTAGCCTGGGCTTGTTTATATGCAGCCATCTGTGACAGGTACTGGAGCTGTAAAATGTCAGGTTCTGACGGCATTTTAGGTTCGTTTTTTAGTAATGGAAAACGTATTCCCGATTGGAAAGGATTAGCGCCAGCGCAAAGTGTTATTAATTCACCTAATAAAAAAAATCTCTCATCAAGCTGTCTTCTAACTTTTAACTGATTACTAAAATAACCGGCTTTATACCATTCCGCCATTTCTGCATTCGAAAACGGACCTTGCATCTGACCCTAGAACAAAAATTTTATTTGAACTCTATTTTTCTCTATTTTAAATTGCTAGTCCCAATATTTAAAAAAAAATTGTTCAAAAATTGCCTTTTTAATGGGAATTTGACAGATAACTAATGTCGGTAGCCAACTTTGATATGGGCTATTTTAAGTTTTTAAATAAGTGATTGCCCTAAGACGTTTTTTCCAAGTATATTATTAAAAAACATCCCATTTGGATCCAACTTTATGGCACACACATTTAGATTACGAAGAAGCAATTAAAAAACTTAAACCAAAAAAAGCAGCGGGACCAGATGACATGCCTCCATGTTCTGAAGGTCTGTAATAAGTGGTTAAAAAGATATTTACTTCATATTTTCAATTTAAGTATTGCAACAAATGAATTTCCACACTTATGGAAAACAGCAGTAGTTTCTACTATATTTAAATCGGGAAATAAAATTGAAATCAAAAAATTTAGGCCCATATCACTTCTGTGGTTATTTGCCAAAGGCTGATGTCATTTTTTAAAATTTTAAAGGAAACCACATTAAAGTTGTAGTGGCCATTGACAAAATGACTTTTACATAAATATTTTTGTTCTATAAAAACTTTAGTTTGAATTATAGTTAATTATTATGTAAAAATATTTAGTCTAGAGAGAAATGTTGATCATGTATTAAAAAAAAATACAGATATTAGTTTGAATGACTAGACTGGGATTTTTTTCAACAATAACTTTTGAAACTTCAATGAGATTAGTTTGTTTAAGTAACTCTTTTGTCCTCTCTACCATTTGTTTGCCTCGTGACATGCCGGTGCTTTAATTTAGCACCTAAAACAACAAATAAAAAAGTTCATATTACCTAGGTACTTACTTACTGAGAGAAGAAAACTTAAACTTTATTTAACAAAAATAAGGTGATATTTGCTTTAAAACTTCATAAGTGTTAATAACTGCTTTATAAAAAACATAACCTTTAATAATTTAACAGTCAAAACTTGACATGTCTAATGTTTACCTTTTAAAAAACGAACAGAACATAATAGGTCTTTTCCTTTGCATCGAAAGTGTAGCACTGAGCTACACCACTTCTGAAAATATCGTTCCATTTATACAATTTGTATGGATAGAACGATATTCTCAGAAGTGACGTAGCTCAGTGCTAGACTTTCGATGCAAAGGAAAAGACCTGATATGTCAGATATAACAGGTTTTGGCCAAAACTAAATCGGCGTTCAGGAACCTATCAAGTAAAGGAATCTACATGGCAGTGTCGGAGATTGAGATATCATGTTTTGGGAAATAAAACTTTAATCTATATGACATATCCTAGATTGATATAAATAATATTATTTAATCTTAAGAATGTTATAAATGAAAAAGGACTTGACAATGTCAGCTATTCCATAATAAATCTTTGTTTTAGCAGTACCTACTGCGTCTTTTTTTATATACGAGATCATGTGCAAGATTTAAGTAAGCATCGAATATAGATTGTTCATTTTATTTAGTTTAGATAGAAAATATAATTTCTTTGCTGAATGGAGTAATTGATTTCTTTGTGCTGATTGTCAATGTAGATGTTTCGGCAACTTGAAGCTTTTTTTGTTGTAGGTCTTTGCCAGTTAAAATTAATTGTGTGTCCGTTGGAGATAATAAGATAATAATAATAATCTTTATTCATGTGCAAATTGGTTACAGTGAAAGAATATTAATACATAAAATATTACTAAAATATGTCATCATAAATTAAAATAATTAACAAAAGTAAAAAAAAATACATTGAATAAAGATAGAATACTGATAAGTGCTAAAACACTTGTGTCGGTTAAGACATAATATGAACATACTGAATGATCTTTTTAGGAAAAAAAAAATGCCTGAACTGTTAAAAGAAATGTTTTTAAATACTTACTTGTGGATCCTGATAATACCATTTATCCATTATTGGAGATGCTGCTACCAAATTTGGAGGAGGTTGTATACTTCCAACATCATAATTATTGGGGACTTGTTTAGGTATATCTTCATCCACTACCAATTTAAGAACAAAATCTTCTTGTAACTTTTCAAATTCGGAATTATCAGGTCTAAAAAATTATGAAATTTATAGCATATATGAATTTATTATTAGATAACTTTCTGTATAATGTAATTATTAATTGTGTATTCTGAGATTCCCAAAGATGAGTTATGAATTATTAACAGACATTCATAAAAATATATATTTTCAAACCTTGGAATATCAACGGGTCCGTTGGACATCATCAAAGGTTTTTCGTAAAGTTTAGTGAGTTTTGGTGGCCCTTCTGACTTTGCTCTTTCTTGATGGACTAAGTCTTTATCAATTTTTTCTGAAATATTGGGAACTGACTTTTTCCTTTCTTCTAGAAGATCATTTTGCTTTATACTCTGCACTATGTCTTCTTCTTTTTGTCTAGATAGGTTCTAGAAACAAAAAATAGTACAGAAGTATGTAACTATTGGCTCATTATATTTATACTTACTTCATGTATAATTTCGTTCTTATGTGAAGTATCTTCATGTTTAACAAGTGATAGAGTTGATTTAGATGATGACATTGGTGGAGGTTGACTTCTTGATGATATATGCTGTTGAGAAGTTGATTTTTGAAGAACTGTATCTCGTTTGTTGGGTGGTTTACCTTCAGGCTGAAAAATATAAGTTTACCTAAAATCTAGTACTTCTAGAATAATAAATTTATAGAAATGGGAATTTAATATTTGTTTCAGACTTTTGTGAAATAGAAAAAATATTTATAATTTACCTGTTCATCATCTGATCCATGAAACGCCCCTTTTTCATCAAATGTACCTCCCCCTTCTGTTGGATTTTCTGTAGCCCATTCTGGTAGATGATCTTCACTTTCCCAGGACTTTCGTGACATTAAGCCCGCCCGATTGTCATTCCAACTAGTACGGCCACCTCTTTCTGGTGGACCTGTTCTTTCTTCTGAATCCCCTTCACCTCTCCAACTTGTTGACCTTCCTAGATATAATTTTATGGACATAAATTAAATCAAATTATTTAGAAAGTAATATTAAAAAAAAAAATTAAACAAGGACTAAATACCCCATTTCTCATGTCCACCAGTTCTTCCCGGTCCTGTGCCACTTCTCCACTCATCTTCTTCATTATTTCTGGCCCTTCTCCAATTATCTGAGGACATTCTTTGATACTCCTTTCTAGGGCTCCAATCTGGTTGTTCTCCATTCCCCCAACCTCCTTCATAAGCACCCGGTGGCCTGGTATATTGATAGCCCCTCCCTCTACTTATACGACCTCCTCTTTCTAGTGAGCCCCCTCTTCCTCGTGGTGGGCCAGACAGCAATGTATTTGGCCTTCCCTGCCATCCTCCTCCTCCTCCTCTTTGCTAAAGAAAACATACATTTAATGTATTTTGTGATACAATAAGTATAAAACCAAAAATTTAAAAGTTAAACAATCTGGTGGTTGTCCCTTCATAATAATTCACAATTTGTAAAAGAATCTGCTTATAAATTTTAGGTAGAAATTTGAAGAGTGGGCTTTTGGCAAGATCAATCAATTTGAACTATTAGTAAATTATTTTGATTAAACAAATTAAGATGTGTTTTATATATTTAGTTCTGAAACAGTATTCAGACAAAACAGTTATTATGTTGTTGTTTATAACTTTTATTCATTTCCTATTTTAAAAATTAATTAATAAGCAGGCCACTCTCTGAAAAATCATAAAATTGTAATAACATATTTTTTAAATTGAAAATCTAGGTACTGATTATGATAAAATACAAATTAAATTGAATCAGTTGAAGCACAATCCATAAAAAAAAACATATATATTGATATTAAACTTAAACAACAGGAATAAAATTATTTTTTGATTTTATGAAATGGGAATTTCTTCAGTTTTAGATATAAATTAATTTTAAATAGGTCGATATGTAGATGGCGCTGCGCTCAATATATTTTTTTTTTTATGGGAGGATCTTTCTTATATAGCGATCTTGTAAAAAAATGCATTTTTAAGCATATTTTATTCTATAAACTAATTCGATAAATCTAGCCATTTTTGATATACAGAGTGGGTCACTCAAAACAGTTTCATCCTGTTTTTTAGCATTAATCATTGGATTTTAAGAAAACGCTAAAACAGATTGATTTTTATTCCAAATTAAAACATATTTTTACAATACAGACATCTGTCATGTGTTAACCCCCTCCCTTCCACTTCTCCAAGCCCCTAATTTTAAATAAGGAATTTACCATGTACAGCACATGGTCCCACAATAGATCTGAAAAGGTCGCGGTGGACAAGGACAAATAACGTCCAATCCTAATCTAATGTACGGCACATTGAAAAGGTAATTTTATGGGGAAGTCAGAAATATGACTGTTTAAAGGGACACTTTTAATTTTAGCACCTTCTATAGAGATAAAAAACCAATTGATTTGAAATCTAATTTAGTGCAATATGGAGGATATTTATATTATGTGGTGCATTGAATTAGTAATTAAATTTGCTTTCAAATAAGGTGTCACATTTTATAATACAGTTTTTTATCCCGATAGAGAGCGGTACAATTAAAAGTTTCGCAATAAACAGTCAAATTTCTAAATTCCCCATAAAATTACCTTTTTAATTATGTACTACACATTGTAGTATCACACTCTATAATACGTTGTAGTTTTTTATCCCGCTAGGGGGCGCTACAATTTAAGTAACGCACTATACAGACATATTTCTGAATCCCCATAAAATTACCTTTTCAATGATGTGCCATACATGGTACATTACCTATTTAAAATTAAGGTGTTGAAGAAGTGCAAGGGAGGGAGTTGACACATGACAGATGTTTTTATTGTAAAAATGTTTTCAATTTGGAATAAAAACTGTCCTGTTTTAGCATTTTCTTAAAAACCAATGATTAATGCTGAAAAACAGGATGAAACTGTTTTGAGTGACCCACTCTGTATATCAAAAATGGCTAGATTTATCGAATTAGTTCATAGAACAAAATCCGCTTAAAAATGCATTTTTTACAAAATGCGCTACACAAGAAAGATCCTCCATCGAAAAAAAATTGTTGAGCGCAGCGGCATCTACATATTGACCTATTTAAAATCAATTTTTATCTAAAACTGAAGCTTTCTTAGTGCTCTGTGAACTGGCTTATACAGAATTAAAATATCTCTATTTCTTACCAAAATATCTGGCCTGGGAGTTTTTATTTATTTATTTATTTGCATATATGAATGAACATAGGTTTCATTCATAATTTTTTTATTTCATTCCCGATTTAAAAAAAATATATATTAAAGTAGTGGTTTTTAAAGTTTGAAGCGTTACGTTCGATATTTGCCATTTGGCAACAATGCCTAGTAAATTGATGACAGGTCCAATGCCATTTTCTAAAGCGGCGTAATTTCTAGACATTTCTATTAGTTTACAGACTTGTGTTGTAGTGATTGTAACTGATTATTGGATTATAATCATATAAATAGTAAAAATGTAAAAAGGGTCTATTTAAAAACCTAATGACGTTAGGTAGTTTGTTTTGATTCGTTATAAAAAATTAATGATTATTTGTTTTGCAGATTGATTTTTTTTATATCGCTGTTTAAAAAGCATATTCAGATGTAACCTAGGTAATTCTTGCAGTTTAGGGTCATAATCTAATCTAATTGTACACGAATATAATAGTAATAAATAATAAAATAACGCTGCTTTATTTAGATTACCACCCTAAATTAGAATGTATATAAAATACATCTACAGGGTGATTCATAACTATTGGGACATAGGCTAAGGGCAGGTTATTTGTACCAAAATAAGGCGATAGGACCAAATATACCTTGATAAAATATTACTGTGGAATAAGATACAGGGCATTAAAGTTGATTTTTTTTTCGTTTTTTTTTCGTTTTTTTTTTCTGATGTCACTGTATATTTATGAATTGTGATCAAAATCGGCACAGAGGCATATCTTTAGACAAAGAATATTGTTTTATGTATTATTTCACATTTGGTTACATGTGAATGGTTCCTGATGATGAAAATGAAGTGGCATAGCTTTTTTGGCGAAACTTTGTATGAAATGAAGTGGTAGAGCTTTTTTGACGAAACTTTGTAGTGTTTTTGATTAGAAAATATAATGTAAACATTATTTCTACGTAATATTGGTACTTTTGTTTAAACACGATAATTTCACCCGTTTTCGAGAAAAACGCATTTGCACAGTTCATGTGGGGATGAGGATTTAAAAAAATATTATTTCATTTATGAAAAGTGTGCTTTGTAGATAACTGTGTCTGGTACATATGTACTTTCTTGTCAGTGAATTATTTTTGATGTGAGATTATTGTCTATTATTATTATTATTATCTTATTCCACAGCAATATTTCATCAAGGTATATTTGGCCTTATGGCCATATTTTGGTCCAAATAACCTGCCTTTAGTCTATGCCCCAATAGTTATGAATCACCCTGTATAGGTAATGAAAACACCTTTGCTTAAATAGACAGACGTTCAGTATATTTTATTTTTGGCTGTTGCTTTCTGCGAGATGAAATACTGATATGTATTGTACCAAATTTTTTAAATTCAACAGGTACAAAACATTTATATTTATCTCAGAAAATTGTGGTTTCAGGCTGTAGGACTTTATAAAAACTATACAATACTATTTGGGAGATCACTTCAATATATGTCGCTACAGAAAACACTATTCTTTTATAAGAAACATATAAATATAAATTACATCATGATACATTTACTTACTTATATAATTTATAAAAAATTTATATTAGTAAACTGCTGTAAAAACTCTAAAACTTTTGATCAAAATATAAACACACAAAAGAGGTTAGACTAAGACAACACACAACTTGTACAAATACAGCGATCAGGAATTGATCCAAACTATTCTGAAATCCCTCTCTTAAATGAGAAAAAACGATGGAAGCGATTTTTCGAGTGCAGAACTTGAACGAAACAGATGAATCCCTAAGAAACAACTTTACACTGTTGCCGAATGTCCAAAGTGAAACGTAACGCTTTAACCTTTAAATACCTGACTCTATTTTCCAATTTTATATACCTAGAAATTTTTTTTAAAATACAAAATTTTTTATCATTGATAATATACAAGAGATTTTTTCACTCATATAAAATGTACTTGATTTTACTTACTTCTTCATCAGATACAGGTAGTAAGGCTAGAGGTTGAAGACAAGTTTCAGAGTAGAGACATTTAAAGTTTGTTATAGAGACAGGAGGTTTTGTATTTTTATCGAATAAGGCCAACATCTCCTCTCGGCCATACCTAAAATTGATATTCCAAATACAAAATACCTACTAAAATACAAAAAAAATAATATAACTGAGTATTTTTTATATTATTATTAATAAAATGCTTGTTATAGTCCAATAATTGTAGAATAATCTTTTTTTATTTCCTGGTACTTATTTTTTGTTCAATGATTATAAAGAATAATTTTAAATTAAAGTAAAATTATAAATATAACTAAAGGAAACTATTTATAACTTGTTGGTCAGTTAATACAATTAAATGTTTTCATTCATATCTATTAATAAATCATTTAATAATTTAAACTAATTATATTTGTTCAGTGACCTACCCAAATGTATTCACATTTTTACTTTGATAAATAGAGACAATTTTGTACACAAGTAAATAATAGCTAAAATTAGAAATTATTTAATTACTTCAATTAATGATTATTTTAAGATTTTTTTTAGTTTATATTTATAATATTAGGTGGTAATCAATATGATAAAATTATGAGGTAGTTAGTTATATCTTGACAATCAATCAAAATTTATTATCTTATCTTAGAAAGGGTTTAATAAAATAATCAAAAAACAGGAACTTATAAATGTGGGTTTTAACATAAATGAAATGTAATTAGGCAAATTTTAAATAACAGTGCTATATATTATTATTGTTAGGGGAAGTTAGAGATATTGTGTGTACTTAAGGGATATTTTAATAAATAAAAATATATGTTTATTAGATGTGGAAAAACTCAAACTAGTATCTTAAAGTGGGATTTCAGCTGAACTAGCCACCATCAGGGCTTTTGATGTTTAAATACCTTCGATTTTGAAAAAAGAAAAGATCATGATCTGTAAATTTAAACTTAACCAATAAAATCCATGTCACTTACAAACACTGAAACATCAATTTATGAACTAAACAACTGCATCAAATTCTACAAAATATTTAAATGTGTCCTTCTTTGAAGATCATGCACCTTGAACAAAGGAACAACATATACTACATAAAAATATCATATGAATTTAGATGTATGAAAGTTGCAGGACATGACAGGATCATAGAAATATACAGTCACTAAGAGTTTCCCCATATTCACAATTACCCCATCTTCCCCTAGTTAAAAAGTTTTTTTACAATGGTGAAAATAAATTGTTAAAAAGCATGTCTTGGGAGCACCTACCGATAATCAGCAAGCTGATATCTTGTTCCTCCACCACCACCTCCTCCAGTTGTACCTTCAGAGGATAAATTACGAATCCAATCTGGACCAAAGTTCATTGAGTCAGTCATCCTAAAAACAAAATCAGTTCAGGTTAATTAAGTAAACAAGCAATTCAATATGAGGTAACATATAGAGCGTTACAGCAACAATGAATGCATATGTGAGTTCATGAGAGCAGTATTGGTACACAAAAATGGAGGTAACTATTTTTAGACACGAAATATTACTGGTACAGCCTACTACCGGAAGTCGCTAATAGTAATGCTAACGATAAATTATCATTTATCTCATAAATCACTCATTATTCACGAAGTTCTTTATAAAGCATGAAGAGCAAGGCCCCAGGCATAGATTAGGTGGCACATTGATTTTCCCGATATAAGTAGATTCGAATCAAAATGGATCAATAAAAACATTTAATATTATTCCTTTATTCATATGATCACTAAAAAATTTCGTACTTTTCCATATATGACTGCATTTACCTGAATATATGTGTATTACACTTGGTAAAATGCGAACAACATAAATGGCTGCAGCAAAATTGTAGGTTATCGCGCATGTGCTTACATCCTAGGAACTTAAACGTCAAACACATAAAACTAGAATTCCTATATTTTTGGCACCAGAATTCAAATTTAAAATTAGTTAACACGTTCTTTTTTGAGAAGAAACAATAATTATTCTGTATCAAAATATGGATTTCTGATCCCACTTTACTTCTTTTATTGTTTATTATCCACTTCACTTAGTAACGAAGCTTGAACCTTAAATATAAAACTGAATTATACAAAAATGCATGACTGGAATAACAACTTAAACATATATTTTAATTTACAAAATCAGAAAGTGACTGATCAATCAAATTAACAAAGAAATGTAATTTCAAATTAGGATATGTCCGCTGTCCGCACTGTCTTATCTAGGGCATAGATTCACATTAACCTAATCTATGTTTATGGTCATAGATTAGTTTGTCATTACAGTTAAAGTAAAATTACTATTTAAATTGTGATAAAAATCGGAAGAAAAAATTGAAAGCACAAAGAAGGTTTAAAATGTAACAAAAAATGTAAATTGGTAAAATGAGATCAAAAATGGAAAGGTAGGCAACACCGCATTTAGTGTTCTATGGTCAATGCACATACGTGTGCAAAGAAGTAGAGAGGGAGAATGATAAGGTAAGCCAATGACTCAATACGCGTGTAATCAGTGTTGCCGTTGCTATTACAATTGTAACAAATCTTTTACTAAAAAGTTACACCAGTACGTTATTACGACTTTTAAGAAAAGAGGAAAAATGTATTACTTTTTAAAATATCGAAATTTTATAAGTGGTTCCATCTAAAAAATACTTAAAAAAAATTAGAAATCTATCAAGGTCGGTGGTTAATCCCACTCACCGACCTTGATATTAAATTCAATGGCTAAGGACCGATTCCACGTGGATTCCACCGTTGTGTTAAACGGAGATTAAAATGACGTTGTTAATGTAAAAATGTCATTTTAAACTTCGTTTAACACAACGGTGGAATATCGGTCCTATATGACATAAACCTACTCCTAATTTCTAAGCAGACATGAAAAAAACGTTCGGTGCGCATGACAATTTGGTCACCACACTGTCAATTTCAAGCATTCTACGTCAAGTTTCCCCTGTGCCAGCTATATCAAGCTAGCGGGCACTCTGTGGCGGCACCATTCAAGACCTGGCGGTTTTTTTGTAGCTTTTTGTAGCTTTTTTGTTACACTATTTGTAAATTTGTAACTTAGCCCAGGTCCGAAAAAAACAGCGGATCCGCTAGCTTGAATTTTCATAAATTCCATAGTTGCGGCACAGATTCAGACCCAGCTGGTTTTTCGTAACTTTTTTGTAGCTTTTTTGTTACGCTAGTCTCCCTTTTGTAGCATGTACTGAACCTGAGAAAAGCGCGAATCTGCTAGCTTAGCGGATATTTGTAGCGGCACCAGCCCGGACCAGGCTCATTTTTTGTAACTTTTTTGTAGCTTTTTTGTTACGCCTGTCTCCATTTCGTTGCGAGGCCTGAACGTGAGTAATAATCGTTTCTCCATGAGCGTGAGAGAAAAGTGCGTTAATTTAAAATCAAGTTTCGGCCTCTACAAGTAATATGTGCAACTCGATAGTGTGACTATCTGTTGATAGATGGCACCAGTATTGCATTTCACGAATTATGGCCATCTTCAATCCAATATATTTTTGAGAATATAATCTCAAAATCGGACATTTGTTTTTAAATGTTTTTTAGTGTTGTTCATGTATTTATACTTTTGTTGAATCAAGAATGTTCTTACATCTTTTTTGAATGATTTCCTTAACCAATCGTTTTGCAGTATTTATGGACCAGTGTTTAATTCTGTCGGATCACAACTATACAGTGTGTTATCCATCTCAGACGAGCCACTCCGTATATTTCTTATCCCATATTAATTGGAAAAATTTCCCGAAACACGTCGGATGATTTTCTTCGGGGGACATGTTTTGACGTATATTTGAGGCTTGAACCAGCAACCCCCTATGAGGGGGCGCTTCAATAACTCCTCAAAATGGAATAGGGAATTGAATAGGGAATTGAGTGATATACATCATTTGTAAGGTCTTGAAAGCCTCTTTACAACGGTGTTTGAAAAAAAAATCACATTCTTAAAAAAAATTAATTGTTTTATCACATGAAATGATCGAAGAAACGTGATAAACACCTTCTAAGAACAAAAAATAAAGGCAAGATATGGGCAAGATAATAAAATGTTTTGATTTTTTTTATTTATTAGTTCGAGAGAATTTATAGGTCTTTTCCTTTGCATCGAAAGTGTAGCACTGAGCTACGTCACTTCTGAAAATATCGTTCCATCCATACAATTTGTATATATGGAACGATATTTTCAGAATTGGTGTAGCCCAGTGCTACACTTTCGATGCAAAGGAAAAGACCTTATTATTGCAACAAATTGAACATTTCATTTAAAAAAGCAGTTCTGATTTTTTTGATTGTAAGCATGATAAAACAATTGATTTTTTTTAAGAATGTGATTTTTTTCATACACCGTTGTAAAGAGGCTTCCAGGACATTACAAATGAAGTATCACCCAACCTCTCTTCCCTATTAAATTTTGAGGGGTTGAAGCGCCCCCTTATAGGGGGTTGCTCGTTCAAGCCTCAAATATGCGTCAAAAGATGTCCCCCAAAGAAAATCATCAGACGTGTTTCGGGAAAGTTTTCCAATTACTATGGGATAAGAACTATACGGGGTGGCTCGTTAACCGAAAACACCCGATCGGGAAAATAGTGGCGTCCGGCATACAACTATTTTAATAATCTTGTCAATATGTATTTTACATTAATATCGGTCAAATAATTAATATACATACCGTTGAAAATGTCCGATTTTGAGATTATATTTAAATTTCTCAAAAATATATTGGATGGAAGATGGCCATAATTCGTGAAATGCAATACTGGTGCCATCTATCAACAGATAGTCACACTATCGAGTTGCACATATTACTTGTAGAGGCCGAAACTTGATTTTAAATTAACGCACTTTTCTCTCACGCTCATGGAGAAACGATTATTACTCACGTTCAGGCCTCGCAACGAAATCGAGACAGGCGTAACAAAAAAGTTACAAAAAATGAGCCGGGTCCGGGCCACAAAGCATGTATCTTCTAGAGACCCCACGCCTATTGCTGCGTTTGAGAATCCACATCGGATGCATCTGAGATGTAAAAAATCTTTGATCACGTGATTCAGTATACGTAAATGTAATGGGACAGATGTGTCCGATGTGGATAAAAAAACGCTCGAGATGTAAAAAATGCATCCGATGTGGATTCTCAAACGCAGCAAATGTTAAACTTTTAAACCAAATTAGCGCCACCTTGTGTTTGGAGCTGGAACTAAAATGACAATTGACAGATGGCGGTAAATTCAAATTGTAATTTTTAGGAGTAGGTAGTAGTTTTAAATTAAATTTTAAATGATTTCCACATAAATTATTTTATAAAATAAAGTATGGAACTAGTAAGTTCGAAACTTTTATTTTACAAAATAATTTAGGTCGATTATACCAAATTTGAAGAATTAATTTGTTATAAGGGGTCTAATGTGGAGAGTTGGTTCTGCATATTTTTATTAAATAAATATAAGATATATCAATAAATAATAAAATAGAACATTCTTAAAATATGTTTATTAATAACTTAAATAAATATTATTAGATAAAAATAAATACAAATAATAAAACATATTTAACGAATATACTTACTTGGAGCAAATAGATATATAATCTCAAATCTTTCATGGCGTATTCGACTACCTGCACTAGTGCGCACTCAGCTCGCATTTTGCGAGTGCAGTGCAATAATTTATGTTCGGGTTGATTCAGCTCATAAGCGAGCAAATATTTCCCATGTTCGACTACCCGAGCCGAGCGCGGGCAGAGCAATAATTTGTGTTCGGGTTGTTAGCTTGGTTCATCCAGCGTTCGAACTTTTTGGAACTGTAATTTTTGGCGGTGCAAGTAGATTGCACTGGATTTTTTTATGATAAAATAACCTCAATTTTGAAATCGGTCTTTGGCTTCTTTTGGTCTTTGTATTTAAAGTTAATTTGCGATTTTGAGGGTTTGTTTATCAAAAATATGCAGAGAAAGAGGAAATTGATCTCATTATTGGCTGCAGGTGTATTAGAACAGAAGTAAAAGTTGAAAATGCTTTTGCCAGTTCTCCCACTTTATACACATAAATTGACAGGTGGGCACCGGATCTCACCGAAGTGGACGCGATACATTGGCGTACAAAATTATTTTATAGATTTTAATAACAATTTCGAGTAAATAGTTTAATAAATTGTGAATAGCTGTTGAAATTTTGTAAAATTATAATTTGAATATTATAATACATGTTTAATAATTATTTATAATCCATAAATACATGCGATTGTCCGGTTCCGCCGATAACAATTTAAAATTACTTATTCTATGAAACGACACTGGCAGGTAAACATTACTGTGAAATTCTCGGAACCGCCCGACGTGGTTTGACGTTTACCCCCTCTCTACCTACCAAAAGACTTTTCAACTTTTACTTTCTCTATAGGTTTGTTCTGGTTCTCAAAATGAAAACTGTTTTGAAACTGCGCCGGACCGTATGCGTAAAGGCAAAAAATCCCCGACTGTTTGAAATTGTTGGAAAACCAGAACACGTCATAAATGTGTTTTGTTTGTTTATTATAATAATGAAGTTCCTTTTGAAAGCTCAGCTTCAAATAACATTTGCATGTATATGTTTACCATTATCATCACATTTCAATGGAATAAATAAAAACAATAATATTAAAAAATTAATAATTCTAAAATTGCTTTAATTTACAAATAAAACAAGAACAAGAGACATTCGTCCACATATAAATAAACAATTTGGGATTGTATACGTTTCGTATAGTCTAAAAAGCCAATACAATATTCATAACACTTCAAAAACGCATGCGCGGTCAAAACAGTCCGAGTCGATCCACACTCCCAAGCATGAACACTTTTTGACTGTTTACAACAATCACGGATTATTTCGGATACGAAACCAGAACACCGGACTGAGAGATCCGAAGTAGTCCCCGAAAAACCAGAACACTTTTTATCTACTGCGCATGAGCCCGACAGTTGTGGATCGTTATTTCTCAAAACCAGAACAGACCTTATATCATCTAGCTCAAGTAGCACAGAATAATCACTATTACAGAAATGAAGGCTTGCGTCGGCACGTTTGATGTCGGGGTGGCCAAAATTTAAAGTGACACTCGCTGACAGTTGACGTTCTTGCCGGTTGTTACACTGGTAAACATTACCAAGATTCTTATAAATTCGGATAATACACTGAGAAAAGGATTTAAATATACGTAACAAACTTATTTAGCAACATCCACTATTTCTTCTCTGAATTGAAGGTTAGTGATATAATTAGAAAAAATAAGGCTTCACAATAATTTATTTTGAAGTAAATTGTACTGATCGCTATACTAAAAAAGAGTTTTTACTTGAGGAACCAGACCGAATGCTCGTTGTACTTAATTCATCAGTTTTTTTTAGATAACATTAACTCTTTAACAGAGGGATTCTATTACAAATTATTGATGTATTAATTAATTGTATACTTTCATGAAAAACACCTTCAACTATGATAGTTGGATCTAGAAAAGTAGATTAAACTGATAATAACTGGCATTAAAAATGCAAATACTTCCGAACTGTCATTTTGAAAGCCTTTTATGTGTTTTAGAACCTTATCATATATCAATAATACCATAAACAATCCTTGTATTAAGACTTTCGCTATACTCTTATAATAATTTGACAATTCGGTGGATAAATCTGTGATTTTTTACAATTCCATTTTTGTAAACAAAATTAATCTAGTAGTCGTTGGTAGAAAAGCATCACCAATAATTGGCGTATCGATTTATTACACTGTTTTACACTAGCACTAGCTCAAATGGCTTTTCTTTCGAGTCTTTTGTGCAGAGTTGTCCAGTAATTGCAACACTTCATTAACGTGGGAGTGGAGTCGACCCTCATGTTTTGCAGTAACCTCTTTTTCTTATTTGTCTGTATGAAGATAATCGTTTAAATAGAGCCAGGGTGCATCAATGATACATCTTAGGACTTTATTTTGGAAAACTTATATTATGGCACATCCTCGTAGCTGTATTTCATAAATCCAGACGACTTAGGATTTGTTTATAAATCATATGAATTTGTTGTATACATAAATTTGCATTTTTAGATGCATAATTATTAGAACTATGAATTAAATTGAGATTTGAAGAAAAGTACTGTAGGAAAAAGGTTGTTATAAATAAAACACGTACCCATACTGACTATTAATTTTAATAAACCAAAATACGAAAAACACATATTACAAAAATCAGATTAATAAAAATATCAATATGACAAATACCTACACATCAAAAGGCACAAAATTTTAGACAAAGGAATATGCCCTAGGTCCTAAAAAATACAAGGTAAGCGCAAACTTCTTGTATTCATTGGAATGTCTTCTAGCTAGAGGCTTTTTGTTTTTAAATTCCGCTTGAGATTTAACTAAGCTGCAAATGGTTGGTTTAAAAATTGTGGCCCAACCGAAGGATATTTTTGGGTTTGGCACATGCATTATCAAAATATATCTCTTCAATCTTCAAAGTTAGTCATTCTTTTGCTGGGACCTAAAAAAAATATTTAAATTAAAAAAATACATAAAAACAACACTTTTATATTATTTTTAATACCTGGTGTACTAAAGCCTTGGTTTCTTTGAACACTTCGTCGCGGTGAGCGGACAGTCCGTCAACCGTCGCGTTTTGTCGATTTTATGCAACCAGAGTATTTACATGGGAATGGTTTTCTTGAATCCGCTTAGCTGAGCAGGACGGCGTCATACCGCTGATTTGTCGCGAAGAGTCGGTTGATATCTGTTGAGTTTGATATCAGCGGAATCGTCGGCGTGTGCGGAGACTATTGTTATTAATTTTAAAACAATGAGTGACAAATTCACACATACAGATGACATCATGACTTTATTTTTAGGTTTCTTGGAATTTATAAAACTCAACACGAATTCAAAAAGATCTGTAGAAAGTCTAAAATACTCCCTAAATTTGGTTTCATTTCCAAAAAGCCTCCGCTGAACAGTGATATTAAAGGCACCTTGTGTATCGCGACACAAAAACAACTCATTCACTGGCTTATTGGAAACTTTGACGGTTGCAATTGACAGTTCCTTTTGTTCTTCCTCTTCCAACAATAATAACAACGCAAACAATTTATTTGCAACCATTTTAGTACCTTTCGTTTACATTCATAATACATAAACAGCACGTACAGACATACAGAAAGTATCATTTTCTATATTTTTTAACAAACCACCTCGGGCGAAAATTGCTGTCCTCAGCGGTCGACGGACTTTCCGCTCACCGCGACGGAGTGTTCAAAGAAACCAAGGCTTAAGAAAATCGTCGTGGGATTTAGTAGGGTACAGATTCATTCAGAATGATCAATTATTTCATTTGTTGTGGGTGTGTGTCAGAATATTGTCAAAAGTACATTTTCAAATAAACATTTCCGAGTTGATCCAAATGAAAAACTACTGGGCTGGAAATGTTTTTTACACAACTGGTAGCTTCTGTGTAATTATTCACTGGTTATATTAATCAAGTCTTTTCGACTACAGGCTCTTAACAACATGGGAAACCTAAAAAAATACAAAATACATTGTCATAGGTACCTACATAAATATAATTTGATTTAAAAATGATAATAAAATAATTGTTTTGATTAAATAGCCAAATAAATAACATACAGTTAACATTGCTGCATTTGAAAAGTACCTCATTTTTCTCATTTTACTCGAAGCCGTTCTCGATGGGATCTGCTCCATGGTCATTTAAATTGCATAATTTATTTTGCATACCTTTCTGAAACATTGGGAAATGAAAAATAACTAGTATTCGAATCCGTTCGAGGTAGACATGGGCGATAAACACATCTCTTTCTTTTAGATTCCATCAGTTCACTAAAAAATTATTTTGCTTTAATAAAATAAATAAAAATATGTAAATAGCTCAGCACATACCACAAAAACTCTTCGATTAAAAACGTGTTTACTGAACAATGTTCATAAAATAGACAAAGGAAAGCACTAAACACAGATTTACTCAATAATTGTTAAAAATATACAAAGGAAAACACTAAAATACACTTAAATTCGATAAAAAAAAATCACAAATTATAAATGACTGATCCTGACACATCAAAACAACACTCGTGACATGACAGTTTTGCCGGTTATAAAATGGCGGCCCTGATCATGCGCAAAAAATTTTGGACCCCAAAAATTGACGTGCCTTCGCTTCTGTAAAAGTATTCTGTGCAAGTAGTAGTAGTAGTAATTATCCTTCCTCCATGAGTAGTAGTAGCGAAAGCGATGAAGATGAAATACGTATTGCTTTTAATTGGCGTAAAAAGAAACCCAAGATTGAAAACTATTTGGACAATGTAGTGGCCAAATTTTCTGATGAAGAGGTAGGTAAAACGAATATAGTTTACAAACCTAAAATATTATGTTTGCTCAGTTTATCTTTTGTTAGCAAAATAAAAGTATGTAGGTAAATTTTACCATTGTACCTATTTTCAGTTTAAAGCAAACTTTCGTTTGACGAGAACGACTTATGAAAAAATATCAAATATGTACGAAAATTCCACGTTTTATCCAAAAACAAGAACACATAATAGATGTGACTTAACTTCGGCTGCTGTTTCAATTCTGGCATTTTTATGGTAAAAAAAATTTTTCATTCATATGGTATGGTATAAAAGGGATAGGTATAGTAGATTATTTTTAATTATAGGTATGCTGGTAATAAATCTTGTATAAGGGATGTTGCAGGCAGATTTGGAATAGCAGAGTCAACATGCCATCTAATTATTACAAATGTAATGGATTTTTTGGTAGGTATAGCACCAACTGTTATCAAATTTCCAAGCACTACAGAGGAGAAGATTGAACTTTCCAGGCAGTTTGAAGAAGTAAGTAGTTTCTATTCCTATTTCTATATACAAAAATAAGTTTGTTTTAGATTAGTGGATTTCCAAATGTTCTGGGATGTATTGACGGCTCATATATTCCAATGAGAACACCTGCTCATAAAATTAAATCCACATATGTTAACAGACATGATATGCCTTCAATAACCTTGCAAGCAATATGTGACCACCGAAAATTGTTTATGGATGTATTTACTGGCATTCCAAGTAAAATACATGATGCAAGAGTATTTAAACTGTCCTTTATATCAAAAAAACTACCTAATATTTGCCAAAGAAGATGGCATATTCTTGGGGATGCTGCATATCCATTAAAAACTTGGTTGATGACACCTTTCCGAGATTATGGCAATTTGACTGCGGCAGAAAAAAATTTCAACAAAAAGTTTTCCCAAACAAGAGTAAAAATTGAAAATAGTTTTGCGCTATTGAAAAATCGGTTCCGGCAGCTGATAAGAACAGATTTTGCAAGTGTAGAAAGAACAGCAAAATTTATAATCTCATGTTGTGTTTTACATAATCTATGTATTTTAAATAATGATTTCTGGAGTGAATATGGAGATGAAGACGCTGGAGCTTTTGAAGAAAATCCAGAGCCTGCACCTAATGAAATGGACGCAAATGAGAAAAAAATCGGCGAAGAGAAAAGAAGAATAATTTGTCAAACTTTGTTATGATTTTTTTAAAGTATTTGATACCTACTTAGCTGTCATAAAAATAAAACAAATATACCTAAATATTTCATTTTATTATGGAAAATTAACATTATATTCTAAAAGGAACTCATTATACCTACATATTGCTGCTAAAAATTCTTGTTTATCATAAACGGTAGTGAGAAAGTACAATAGTGAAGTTTGATTATAAAAAAAATTATTCATTTTTGAAAAGTTCTTTTAATAATTGCAGTTTCTCTCTATGCCGACGTTCCCTGTTTTCTTCTTTCTCTCTGTGATGAGCTTCCCTTTGCTTTTTTTTTTCATCACTAGATTTCTTGAGAAAACTAACCATAGTGTCTTTTTTTTGAGAACTTTTTTCAATAGGTGACTTTATTGAACTTTCCTTTTTAACAATATTGCTCTGATCTTGGAGAATTTCTGGTTCAATGCTGTCGTCAATTGAAGTAATTTTTTTCAATTCATCCTCAAAATCGACTTTTACTCTTTTGGCTCCTGACGTTGAATTATTGTCAACAACTTTTTTTTTTCGTTTCATTACCGTTTTATATCTGTTTTCAATTTTAGTGGCTGTTTTGCAACTGTTGTACTTTTCGTTAATTTCTTTTGCAATCTGTGCCCACATGTTTTTTTTTAATCTAAATTTTTTTAAAGGTCCAACTTCTGCAAGGTATTCGTAGTACTTATCCAGAATGTATCGTGTTTGCTCATCACTCCATTCTTCTCGTTCATCTTTTTTGTCTTCATCAGGTTCAGGAAGTTCAACTTCTGTTTCTGATGAATTCTCTGGACATGGGCTTTGTAAATTCACTATAGAATTAACAATATCAGGTTCGATACCTATGGTATCTGTTTCCCCTAAAAAAATACACTGTTTATACTAAAGCAATAAAAACATTTATTATCTTCAACTTACCATTTGCATCTACAACATGACACAGATACTTGCCATCTGCCATAACTATTGGCTCATTTTCATCATTTAACACTATTTCTGTAAATTGTAAAATAGACATTCCGGAAAATAAAATATGGATAGCCTACAGGCACATAAATAAATTGTAATTTTATCAATTTGAAGGTTAGGTGAAAAAGTAAACAAGAAATCGGTGCGAACACGAACGCTTCATCTCGGATTTTCACAGAGCCAGCTCGAATTTTTAAAAATTCGAATTGCCCCAGCGCGCGTTCGAATCGGCACTATCTGCTCTTGATTTTACATTGCAACTGCACTATCATGTTTCGAACTTGATCGGAGCCAGCGCTGGGTAGTCGAATACGCCATAAAATACCTATCAATAATTTAAATGTGAAGTAGAGACTAGGATATTACATTTTATTAACACTAAAGTTATATATTTTATAAATGTCTTTTTAACTGAGGACAAATGTAATATAGGTATTGTATTAAAAGGTGAATCCTTTTAACTATTCATTCAATGATAAATAGGTATTTTCCTTCCAAATACAGATGGTGATACAGATTTCGGAATCTAGTCCAGTGATAAATTGATTATCAATTAGTTGTTGTCCCCGTTTGTCTTTTTATGATGCAGATGCATATATGGTGAATCAATGAAGTTTTTCCTCGAAGTTTTCAACGGAGCACCAAAATTATTGCAAAACACAGTAGGAAATAAAAAAGCGATACATCACAATTTTGCAAATAACTAAGACGAAACTATAAACAGAAACCAAAAGCCAAAGCCAACAAAAAATCACTAAAATCAGACGGAAAAATGAAACTAACCAAGAACATAAATAAATACACGTCACATCTTTGGAGTCTTTGGTTAAGTTTTTCTCCCATAAGGCTTAAAAATGGAGTAAGAAATCATAATTTCACCAGTAGCCCCATCTAGAGTTTGGAGCAAATAGCATAAAAAATGTCAGTTGTCGGTTTTGACCTTGGTCATTCACGTGGAACCTCTATGTGCTTTGTGGTCCGGGCTGTTGCCGCTACAAATATCCGCGCTAGCGGATCCGCGCTTTTCTCAGGTTCAGTATAAGCTACAAAAGGGAGACTAGCGTAACAAAAAAGCTACAAAAAAGTTACGAAAACCCAGCTGGGTCTAAATCTGTGCCGCTACTATGGAATTTATGGAAATTCAAGCTAGCGGATCCGCTGTTTTTTCGGACCTGGGCTAAGCTACAAATTTGCAAATAGTGTAACAAAAAAGCTACAAAAAACCCGCCAGGTCTTGAATGGTGCCGCCACAGAGTGCCCGCTAGCTTGATATAGCTCATAGAGCTATAAACTAGGTTCTTTCGTTCGTCCAATTGGTCTAGGAATGAACTACACCAACGGACACTAATAGCGTTTGCGATTCCACTGCTCGGCTTGCTCTGAGATCATACGAAAGGTGGGAGATATGTCGATACCAGTTACTTTTCACTCTAAAAAGTAACCGGTATCGATATATCGCTCATCTTTTATGTGCACTCCCCGCGGGAAGAACAGTCGAATCGAAAACGGTATAAACCTTTCGTTTGGCACAGTGTAAAACCCACTATACCTTCCTGTCGGCGATGTGGTGTCCACTGGTGGATATTTTCTCCATCAGCTACTTAGCATTATACTTGACATGTGTATAAGGAATAAGGAGGAAGTAAATTAGGGTAAATAAGGTGGTGTAACTGGTGTAATTTACACTGGTGGACACTACACCAACAGCGGACGAAATAACCTACAGTAGGCGAGTTCGGTCAGTCAGGGGCTGGAGCGGGACAAATTTTAGGGTGCTTTTAAATGACATTTAAGCGTGTTAAACTGTCACTAATCGGACTAAACCGAACGCTAAAAGAGTCGTTTGGAGTTAAAAGTGTTAAAGGAGTTAAAGGAACGTGGCAAACCGAACGCAATGAAGGTATGTGGACTAAACCAATGAACTGGAGTGGAGTAGAAAGCTAATGTACATATTTTATCAATTGAACAAGATGCGACTCTATGGGCGCAGCCATTTTTATTTCTCATCTCACTCGGGAGTATTTATAATAACCATTTTCTGTTTCACATTGTTATTGTTCAATCCACAGGCTGGTGGATCAGACAATAACAAAGTGAAATAGAAAATGGTCGTTATAAATACTCCCGAGTGAGCTGAAAAATAACCTGTCTTCGCCTATAGAGTCGCATCCAATGAAGTGGAGAGGGGTAGAATGATAACTGTCAATGAAAAAGTCTAGACACTATGCACAATTTCGTTTTGCACATTTTGTAAACAAGATTCAGGGACGGTTTAACAACATTTTGTGCAACAACTATAAAATAGTGCAACGGAAAATAATTAACAAGTATAATTCAATACTAAATTGAAATAAAAGCATAAAAAATCACAAATATGCGCAAGATAACAAAGAATTGACGCCAAAAAAGCTTACAACAGCCACAAAACAAACAAAAACAGAGCTGAACATGAACATAATCGCTGAACAGAGCCAATCCTGGAATTTGTTTACAGTGCTTTAGGGCAACCTCTCCTTGTCATTTACATGTATAAGAGTGGAAGGTTGAATCACCCATAATTTCTACACTCGTAATGGATGCGCAGACGGTACTTTATCGTTCTACCCTCTCTACTTCTTTGGTCGCATCTCAAGCCTATTGACAGGCCCATGACACTCCCTGGGCGGGAAAAAGACACGCAGCTTTTACTGCGCTGACGTTTTCGGGATATAACCTATCACTTGTCATAAATCCGGTTAAAAACTCGCTACCATGCGCAGGCAATCCATATTTCGTACACAAATATAAACTTCTGTTTAAATTTTATCGAAGTAGTTTTTGTAATACATTCACAGCTTAAAAACGGAAAATGTGTTGTTTTGATAGTGAATTTAGATCAAAAATACCCCAAATACACTTTAGTGTGTGTTTTATCCTTAGTGTTACGTATTATTGCTAGTTTTATTTGAGGACATTGGAATAAATAGAGTACTAGAAGTAATCAAGCTAAAAAGGTGTCTTATAAGAAGAAAATACATTGCATTCGACTGATTTATGTTTAATATGTTTTCGTAAAGTATTTCCAACATGCTAGTTCCTTGAATGGTTGTAAATTGTAAGTGTATAAGTGATAGAAACTGATCTAGTGCTTTGTGCTTCGTTTTTTTTTGTGTTGGTGTCCCAGCCCAGCATTCCTAGCCAGCAGTAGTAGCAAAAACATTAACATTGTCTACATTCAACCCGTTTACATGTACATGATTTATCAGCTAAAGGCAGAATACAATAGTTCTCTGCAAAATGTAAACAACGCTACAAGGAAAATTGCTCATGTATAAATTCAACAATTAAATCAAAATATATTATTTTTAAAGGACTTATATCAACTATTATGTTAATTATAAATATTATAATATAAATATTTGTAACAAAATAATAGTTGTGTATTAATAAATCTGTTACTACTCCAAAAAATATTGTTTATTGATTATCAGGTATCAAAAATAATATCTTTCTTATTATAGTTGTAAATAAAAACAACATTTTTTATCTGTCCATTTAACACTTACAAACATATGCATATTTTAAGTTGTAAGGATCCGCAATGAGGTTAAATACTCTTAATTTTTTACATTAGACACAAGACCTGTGATGTCACATTAAATCGTGAATGTGAGATACAGGATTTTGGAGTTGTCTTTCAGTCTAATTTGAAGTTTAATAACCATTTCTTACACATAACTAAAAAAACAATAAAAGCTTTGGGTTTTTAAATCAGAAATACAAAAAAAAATTTAGAATTACCACCAAAATCAGATTATATAATGCCTTACTAAGACCCCATCTTGAGTATGTTTCACAAATATGGATGCCCTTGAAAGCCACACACATTGATCATATTGAAAAAGTACAAAAAATATTTTTACCTTACCTTTATGCCATAAAAAATACTTGTACCCTTATAAGATCTCATATAAAACTATATGCTCGATAGTTCTAAGATTAAATCTCTTTTACAAAGAAGAAAGCAACAGGCTGTGATATATTTTGTACTCTATTTTAAATAATGTTAAGTACAAAGATTGTGATTTGATTGACTATATAAATTTTAATGTGGCAAAGATTAATCTAAGAATCCCAAGTAACAAAAAAATATTTAGTTTAGATCCAAGTAGTATATCTCCTTTTAACAAGATAATGGCTGTTACCAATGAGTTTTTAGCGAGGTCTAAATAGATATAAAGGTTTCTTTTGTTTTTAAAGTTCTTGTTACTTAACTCTACATGTAACTACTATTAATTTTTTATAGTATCCAATAAATAAATTATACCGTATGGCTGCTTTCAAACAATTCTGTGTGTAGTCACTCAGTTTAAAGTTAATTTTAAATTAATGAGTTTAATAAGATAATTTGCTGTGTGTAGTAAATGGCCAATAAACATAACTTTGATATTTTTATTAATGTGTAAAAACTACGAAAACCATATACATACTGTTCCCATTTTTAAATAAATTCATAATAAAAAGTAACGATTTTAGTCTGCCATACTTGAACTCATTCACTAAAACAAGTCACTGAGTATATATTTGTAAAAAAACTACACTAAATATGTCTCCATTATAAATTTTTATATTTAAAACTAAATACTTTCCTATAGATTTTGCAGTAAGTACCTAAATAACGTATAGAATAAATTTCTACAACATAGAAAAGTTTTAGATTAGAGTAATTCTTAAGAAATAAAGCAAAACTTCTATTTTGTTACTCTAACCTTGTGTGTTATATATTTCCCTTGACAAACTAACGTTATGTTTTGAACTAAAAGTAATTAAACTTTTCACCAAAAAGTAATATTTCACATATATAAAAAAAAATTAAAACGGTTCTGTCCTCCTTACATTCAGAGTTACCAACTCGCAAAAATATTTATCCCTAAAGCATAAGTCATAAACCCCTAAAATCGTTCCATTGATAAGGCAACGTAAGGATACGTCATATGTATTATTTTTGATATACAAAAGTGGAACCGGTAGGCGTGGCTTTTGCACTCACTAAAATGGCGGAAGAGCAGAACCGGATTTACAAGTTTTTATTGTACTATTTCTGGTTAAATATCATTATTTGAACTATAAAAAAATTAATTTCCTTTTTATTGACATTGACTTAAAAGGTAGTGGAAGGCCGAGGTTATAAAAGAAGGGGGTTTAAAAGCTTAAATATGCCCGGCTTTCAGCCGAAAGGTGCTGAATAAAGTAAATGAAAGAAATAAAATATAACTGATTTAATTATCACTCAAGTGGCTATTAAGCGCTGGAGAATATATTATTTGCAAAATTGCAACTAATCAATGACCATCATATAACTAACTTGGGGCCGATTCCACCATTGGGTTTAACGAAGTTTAAAATGACATTTTTACATAAAATTTAATTTTAATCTTCAATTAATAGTTTAAACTTTAACACAATGGTGGAATTAACCCTAAAGCGTTGAAATCGTTCACAAAAAAATAAATAGTACATTTTTGGTTCACATAAGCGACAAAAGTAAACAGAGTTCGATTTATTGGATCAGTCGTCACACGTTTGCACTAGGGCACATAAATAGCTCAATCTTTAGTTTTTCGTTTTTCTATGAGCCCAATGCTTCTGTCTTTATCGGAAAGTACAAGGTCGCAAATGTCAAGTAATCTAACCATGGAGAAAGAATCTTTAATTAACAGCTTTCTCGAAATTAAGAACAAATGTTCATACACTAAAAGCTCGATAATCAGATATGAAACTTAATGCAAGGCTCGCGGAAAATGGCTAATAAGCAATCTCTGTGTAGGTAGATGCACTATTCAGGAAATCAAAATGTGGATTAATCTTACTTGGTCTTGGTACTTTTGTAGATTTAGACTGAAAGGTGTATATCTTCATGCAAGACATTCAGTAAATCAGCGAAGCCACAACCAGCGGCGTGCAGGTGCACTTCTAACAAATGTAAAATATGAAGTGATCTTACTTGAGACCTATAGATCCAATGACGATAGTATGGTAGTTGGTTTGAGCTGGGCTTCTCACCATCTGCAGAGATTATGGCTACTTATGTAAAGGCCTACCCTAATAACACACAACATGCCCACAAGCGTGCCGGTCCAATTTAATTGGTATATGCACAATAATCATGCATGTATAATTGAAAGTCAGACAAAGAATGTGAAGATAAAGTTGAAGTCTCAATCATAATTAAAGTCACAGATGAAGTTAAAGTTAACAGCAAAAGAGTTGAAATTGTAGGATGTTGATAAAGGGAGGCCAACAGCTAGGTAATAAATGTTTATTGAGTTAGGAAAAGTATCCACTGTGCTTTTCTTAACCACTAAGGTAAAAACCAGAATATTTTCTAATACACAATTTCTTCGCTAGGCAAAATAAGAAATAAATTTGTGAGAGTACTTCCCAAGTGTTTTTCCAAAAGCTCTAAGGACAAAATTGACGAAAATGGCCTAATCCAAGTTCAAATTCTAAAACTTGAACATTAAAGATAAGTATCTTACTGTAAAACAAGTAAAACCCCGTTGTTGACTAAATGGTTGAATAATTCATTACCTAGGTGGAGGTAGAACAGGGACTAGAGTTTAGCAGAAAAAGCTACTAGAAAAGGTGAACAAAACAGACTGGGGCATATGAACGTCAAGCAAATATTGTAAATGCAAATAATGTGTGCTGTGATTAAATAAAAGTGTACAAGGAATAAAGTTTTAATATTTTCTTATCCATATCTATGAGTGATATTTATTTTTAATACTAGACAAACGGTTTTGATTTTATTGCTAGTCTCATTAAAAAAAGACTAATGTTATTTTTTTTTTCGACTTATGGCCAAGGTGTATATACCTAATATGCCAGTCTCAAGCTTGTGTTTAAATTCTTAATAATTGTGTTCTGTGTAGGCTTTGTTACTGTTTCCCAGCGCCACTTCAGGAACAGCACTGTTAATTATTAGAACCCAACAGTGAATGGTCGAGTGGGGAATCATACCAAGGCATTAGAAAATATTTTTATTATTATTAGAACTTATATACAGTGTGTTCATAATATGCACTGTACAAACTTAAATATTATATTCCTGAATTCATTTCAAGCATAAAATGTCCTATGAACAAATATCCAATTCTACATGGTTACCAAGCTGCAAGAGTTTAAATATCAAAAGATAAATTAACACAGTATGCCATGTGTTCCAATATGTCGAAACACAGCACTGAATGTTTGGTGCTTTGGAACTTGTCGGTATGGAAATCGTCGCTTGTTGAGGAGCTGGATAATCTCGAGGTTTCCATGTTGGAGCAGTTGTTGTTGGTGACTACTGGCAAATGTTTGTATTGTATTTTCAACAGTCTCCACTTTAAGGTTCCTATGAAGATCAGTATTGTGGCAGTACCATGGTGCATCGACGATGTTCCTTAATACTTTATTCTGGAAACGATGAATAACTTCGATGTCACTTTTACTGGCACATCCCCAAAGCTGGCGAATCGCTTCATTTTCACCAATTCCTTTAAACGCACTAATCTGAAACAAATTATAGGTAATTAAAAAGGTATATTAATATTGTTTTAAATTAACTATAATAAAACAAACAATACTCGATCATGCATACACAAAACATGAAGCTCTACTTTTCAATCAGCTGTAGAACTAATAAATAAAATTGGTGGAAGGACCGCAAATGTAGGTTATATTTAAATAGAAATAAGAATATATAAAATGCCTATAAATTTGATAAACGAAATAGCGTACGATTAATGTACTTCTCAAGAAAATGCTTGGAACATATACATATATATATATATATATATATATATATAATTTAGAAGGTTCCCAATTATGCTTATGCTTGACAAACTGTATTTACGCGCTACGTTTTTCAGGATTTTTTGGAAATCTATAAATATTATTTCGTATGAAAAAGTATTTATTCCAATATAGGTGGGCCCAAAAGTTGATAGATGATTTTTTTGCATTTTTAAAAGCATACTTTTACACATTTTATACAAACCTGTCAATACTGTCCTGTATAATATTTATAATTTTGATACTAACCTATGAAACGTTATTCCAGTCGATTTTTCACAGAAACGTCTATCGCTAGAGCAGGAACATATAACACAGCAAGGCATTATATACTTTATAAGTTTTTAACACTCAAAATTTGCTCAAACACAAATTAAATTCAAATTTAATTACACAAATGACACTAAAAATATAACCTATAAAATTTGACAATTTGCACTCACAGTAATGGCGGACCAGTCCCACTTTTCGATTACGCATGTCGTATCCCTAGGTTGCCAGATCAATGAATCGTTCCAATTACTTGGAAATCCCCCTAAATTTTTTTTAAATAATTAATTACATGTTTTAATATTTTTTGAGGGGGTGGGTGGTCTCACAACGATAATTTTTAAACGGTTTTATTAGGAAACAGAAGAATCCAAAAACGAACTACATCTCTCTCCTATGACATTGACAATAATGACGTTGACATCTTTAGCATGACTAACATAAAATTTAAATATTCCCGCTGAACACATTTTTAATACTTGTTGTTATTCATAAATAAAAATAATAAATAATATACTGTTATACTTTTTATAAATTATTTAATACATCAAATAAAATTGTATTTGTGGCCTCGCTATTCGGCCGTAAACAACAATCACACATGACAATTATTGACACAATAGGCTCGTTTGGATTCTGTTTGGATTGTCCCAGGGCCTACTTTTACATTTTTATTTTTTGCAATAAAAAAAATAATAAATATTAAGAGTCAAAAATCCCTAAAAATACCCCTAACAATATAAATCCCCTAAAAAAATCCCATCCCATTTATTTACCCCCTAAATCTGGGGGGAAAACCCCCAAGTTGGCAACACTGCTTACATTTGCGAAGACTGCCCTGATATCTGATCTATTTTCTTCTTAAAAGTAATTATGTTGTTCAACTGTTGTCTATAAAGGTATCTCACATCTCGCTCATACACACAAATTTGAAAAGCAGCAGAACAAAAATTCAACTAACCAGGTATACCAAGTCCGTGTAAAGAAAACTTTTCATATCCCGAAAACGTCAAGTGTCAACTAAAATTTCTACTTTTAAAGATCAAACGTGCCGCCTCAGAGTGCCAATACTGATTGGTATATATACTGGGCTATTGACAAGCATTCTACCCCACTCCAGTTCATTGGACTAAACCGAACGCTAAAAGGGTCGTTTGGAGTTAAAAGTGTTAAAGGAGTTAAAGGAACTTGGCACACAGAACGAAATGAGTATCTACCAAGTACCAACCATGGTACCAACCTATGGTACCAACGTCAAATTGACTTGACTGTCAAAAGTCAAAATGCTGGTGGTGTGAAATATGAAATAAACATTCCACATGGAAATTGGAAATATTAAATGTTTATTTTAATAATTGCTATTTGAATTAAAAAATGACACAGAAACATACATTTGCTGATTTAGAGCTGAACAAATGGATTATTCGACAGTGTGCAACTGTAGGTAATGATAATTAAAAAATATTTAATACACCAGTAGATGCAAAATTAATTAACAAGTTTTGTTAGATAACTTTAAAATTTCGACAATTTTTTATTCTTCGGAATTATATTAAACTCAAATATGCCCTACCTAGTTTCACACCTGAGCAAATCTAGTTTTGTGTCTAAATTACTTATACTATATTAATATTAGAAGAAAAAGAAACGTTTAAAAGTTAACTTTTCGGGTTCTAGGAGAAATTCAGATGTGTTTCCTTTTATTCACCTTTATAACAAACATTTGACGCACAATGCTTTCCCATGTACTGTTAAAATATTTGTTTTGCATTCTGGATACAAAATCATCACAAAAATTGGTTATTGATTATTAGCAAATAAAAAGTTGTTCAAAATACCAAATATTGACGAGTTGTGTTTCCAACCTCGTGTCTGATAAAACTATCTTGTCTGCTGACATTAAAGTGTTAAATTAAATTTTTACAAAAACCACAAGTTATTACTCTTACAAGTCTTGATCAATAATGACAACTTTTTAGGAGTAAAATTACCTACACCAATTCAACATAATTGTATTCCTGAAATATTGAAAGGCAAAGATTGTATTGGTGCTGCCAAGACAGGCAGTGGTAAGACCTTAGCCTTTGCTTTACCAATCGTACAGAAACTATGTGAGGATCCTTATGGAATTTTTGCTTTAATTCTAACACCTACCAGGGAATTGGCTTATCAAATAGCAGATCAATTTGCAGTTATTGGTAAACCTATGAATCTTAGGCATTGTGTAGTAGTAGGAGGTTTGTTAAGACATTGACAAAGTATCGCATGATGTCCTAATATTTTTTTTATATTTTGTAGGTATTGATATGGTTGAACAAGGAATACAATTAACAAAACGCCCTCATATAGTAGTAGCCACTCCTGGTCGCTTAGCAGACCACTTAGAGAGTTGTAAAACATTTTCACTTTCAAAGATAAAATTTCTAGTTCTTGATGAAGCTGATAGGCTTCTAAGTGGACAATTTGATGAACAAATTAAAACGATTTTTAAAAACTTACCTAAAGAACGCCAAAATTTATTTTTTTCTGCTACAATTACAGATACATTAGAAAAATTAAAAGAAGTTAGTAATAAAGATTTTTTTTACTATGAAGCCCCTTCCATATCTGATGCTGTAACTGTAGAACAACTTGAACAACTGTATGTTTTGTGTCCCAGAGATGTTAAAGATGCGTATCTTGCTCAGGTCATCAGAGATTTTCGAAGTATAAATGAGGATGGAAATGTTATGATTTTTACAAATACATGCAAGTAAGTATCTTGGATTGTATGTGGTGTATATGCCAATAGAGTTAACTCAAATCAATTGATCAAATCCCAAAACTCTCCATTTAATGACTAGATTAACGTGATTATCCATCCCTATTTTAAACCACTAGTCCCGATTTAACATGTGTCCCGCTTTTGCCCAATTAAAACAATTTTATCCCACTTTCGTCCGATTAAAAATGATTTTGTCCTGCTTTAAACCTTTTCAGGATGGATAACGACTGGAGGTGTAGTTAAGGATGGGAAACTATCCCAGTTTGATAGTAATGTGGCATTAATATGACCAACACCACCCGTATTTGCGCTCATTTGATGATTTATCATCTGTCTCTTTATTTTCAGAGTGCTGTTCACCACGGTAAATGCTACCCTGTGGTAAATGCCTTCTCTGTGGTAAATGCCTTCTCTGGCATCTTTGGTCAGTGTCAGTATTACCATATTATTTCAGTGGGTGAATATTATTTGTTTCTAAAATGTCTCTGCAAATGCATAAAGAGTTTTGTTTTTCTGTTACCCATCTGTATTTTTTATCAACCTTGATTTTTTTGTTATTTTATGTTGTATGAGTTTTTTATTTTGTTACTATGAGTTTTTTTATTTTGTAAGATTTTTGATTTTGATATAATTACATTTTATTTGATATTGAATATTTTTTGTTTCACATATTTTTTTATTTTATGATGTTACTTAAATTAAAGTTTTGCGTTTTTGTAATATACAGTATATTATTTTCAAGAAATAACGAAAAATCCTTTCCATTTTAAATTTTCTATAATGCATATTTTGGCACTTAACAACGGGAAGCGATCTGGGTCCAAACGTTGTCTGCAGCCGTCTGGCCAGCACGAATCGTTATTATGGTTGCCGTCCCGAAAAGGTTAAGCCTTTATGGTGTCTTTTTTTTTGCTCCTCAATGAAACGTCACTGCTGCAAAAATAGAATTTGTCAACTAAAGATCTCCCAATTTCAATGTTTTCGATTTGTCCCATTTTCTACTTTTCAAAATATGGTCACTTTAGACTAGATGTCTCGTCTAGTATACCTAAGCATTAAAGGTTTACTCATTATTGAGTTACAATAAAGGTCGGAAAAGTGAAAATTTCAACCTCCAAGAATTTAAAATTGGCAATTATAATGGCAAATTATAATAAATCCTTGATTCTACCCAAATCAGGAATATTTTGAGCTGATCTCCGAAATGTGATATATCAGGAAAGTTCAAATCCATTTTTGTTTTGTTTAGCAGCTGTGTATTATTTTTATTTTGACAAAAAATCAGCCTTATACTGTTTTTTTTTGTGTCATCGGCATCAACTACTAAGGTTATTAGCCTCGCGTTCTGTGTGGGCTTTGTTACAGTAGTAAGTGTTACTGCATTACTTTTACAAAAAAATCGTAATCAAATAACACATAACTACTGTCTGGATAACAAAACGCCAATTAAACCAGTTATCGAAATTAAAGACCTGGAAATCTTATTTTGCTCAGATCTTTCCATTAATAGTCATAATAATCAAATTGTTAATAGAGCAATGAAAATGTTAGGTATGCTGATAAGAAAATCTAGCTTGCGATCTTTAGATGCCTGTAGAATGGTTTATGTTGCATATGTTAGGTCGATTTTGGAGTACAGCTCTATCATATGGTGTCCATTTTACAACAACTCTATAAAAAGGATTAAAAATGTCCAAAATAAATATTTACGATATTAAGGATTGAAAATGTCCAAAATAAATATTTACGATTTTGTGCCTTTAAACTTGGTCTAGCGACATGTACATATAATTATTCCACAATTCTGAACTTAATTAACTTCCCAACCCTTGTAAATCGAAGAATCTTCATGGATCTGTAATTCCTCTATAAGAGGAATGAGTTATCCATGAGTTATCCATGATTACATTTAGAGTTCCCACAAGAACTACAAGGAATAATAGTCTATTTGCAATTCAACTTCACCTCACTAATTATGCTTATCATGCGTTCCTACCTAGACTAATAAGACTGGCTAATCAATACAATTTAGATGTCACTGGGTGTTCAACTAGTCAATTCCAGAATGATGTGAAAATAATATGTTTTTAATATCTTTGGTATATTTCATATCATGTATTTAATGTTAAGATTTTTTGTACCTACCTTTTATAATGTATTTTATGTATACTAATGGATCTTTCCGTAATATATTTATTTATTTAAAACATCTAGTATTCCTACCAAGTTTTATCTTTTAAAATGGCTGATTTCTGGAGATTTGAGAAAAAAACATTTTTAACACGCTTATATTAGCTTCACCTGTATGTATGTATGTTTGTAACTCTCCTTTGGACTAAAAGCAAGTTTATTACTGTCAGTATATCCCACTAACTCAAGTTCGTTCGTTGGCCGAGTGGTCTAAAGCGCGGGTTTTCGATTGCCAGACTCACCGATCGTGGGCTCTAATCCCCACGGCTAAAAAAAAATAATTTTTTGTTTCACAATTTTTTTAATAATTAATCGAACTAAAAAGTAAAAAATAAATATAGTTTAAAAAAACTAAAAAACACGCTTTTATAATACATCGAACTAAAAGGTGAAAAATAATTTTTCAAATAAGCTTAAAACAATAATAAATGAAAAATACTAGTAATATTGTGAAAAAAGCGTGGGGCGCTTTGTCCATATTTCTCGTACATCGAGCACCCGACGCTTTTTTCACAATAATACTAGTATTTTCCATTTATTATTATTTTAAGCTTATTTGAAAAATTATTTTTCACTTTTTAGTTCGATGTATTATAAAAGCCTGTTATTTAGTTTTTTTAAACTATATTTTTTATTTAATTTTGTTGGCCTCTAGCGGCCAAACGAAGCAAGTTAGTATATAGGTAAGTGTGTATTTTGAGCCCATACATTTATTGTAGTTCCATGTACACGCAATTTCCGGAAACCCGGTATAAAGATAGTACAAACATAATATCAGTATTTTAATAAAGCTAGTGGAATATTAAGAAGTATTCCAGTTACAGTTTAGATGTTCTTTGATAGCTAGAGAGCCAATAACTAACTATAAATTTAGTTTTTTTTTTATGCTTTGTCATTTAATATTTTACTTCTATTTCCTTTTGTATAGTTGATATATTGTTGTTTCATTGAAATTTAATTAAATTTTAGAAACTGCCAGGTACTGTCTATGACATTGAATGATGTAGGATTTGAAAATGTAGCCCTCCATGCTATGATACCTCAGAAGCAAAGGCTAGCAGCTCTATCAAGATTTAAAAGCAACACAGTAAAAATGCTGATAGCAACGGATGTTGCTAGTCGAGGTCTTGATATACCAACTGTTCAGTTAGTATTAAATCATACTGTTCCAAAAGTTCCCAAAGAGTATATTCATAGAGTTGGTAGAACTGCCAGAGCAGGAAGACCAGGCAAAGCTATTACTTTGGTAACTCCATATGATATCAAGTTGTTACAAGCTATTGAAGAACATATTAAGACAAAATTGGTTGAATTGAAAGTTGATGGTACAGTATTTTGTGATTATTATTTATTTCAAAACTTACATATGATATTTTTGTAGATTCTGAAGTAGGAAAAATCTTTACCCAAGTATCTGTAACGAAAAGTGAAGCATATCTTAAATTGGACGAGGGTGATTTTTATGAAAAACGTTTAATAAATAAACGGAAAAAGTGGATTTTAGATGGTTTAGACCCTGATGAAGAAGAAGCTAAGTTATTAAAGAAGAATAAGAGGAAAAAGCATAAGAAAAAGAGTGAAACAAAATAATCTGTTTTGTAAATAATAAAACCTAAAAGTTTGTATTCTTGTATTTTTTTTTTCAAAGTTCAGTAATATTAAAAATTTCCGCATTTATATTAAAATAGCTGTTGTCTGGCGGCTTTGCATGAATGGAGTTAAGTTTTTAATATAAAAAATGCCTGACTGCTCAAAAAAAAGGAGCAATATGTTTTTTTAGGGTTTATGGTACATAATAATATGTGATAGTATTATAGATTATAAATATTCGGTCGAAAAGCAGTCCTCTCTTAGTCTCGAGACATCGAGATATGTTGTTTTTATCAATTTACTACTCGTAATTTTCATTTTAGGGCGTAAGAAGTTTTACTAATTTATTTTTAGATTGTTCTCATATTTTCCTTATATACTTCCTTTAAAGTATCTAAACGGCTATTTACAAGAAAAATATAGACCCGTATTAGGAAAAAATTGACTAATTCTTCTAGCATTAAAATAAAATCCAGTCTAAATGAATAGGCCATGTTCAGATGTGAGATATGCTGTCTTATAAATTATATTGAAATAGTTGCTTTACAAGTTATTCTAAATAATCAGTTTGTTAAAAAAGCCAAAAGTTTTAAAAGTAGAACCATTTGAAATGTACGTCATCGGGAATAGACCAATCAGCTTGTGTCAAAGTTTTGTTTGTTATACAGAACCAAGCCAACGAACAAACCAACACATATGCCACTTTTGAGAATCTACATCGGATGCATTTTTTACATCTCGAGCGTTTTTTTATCCACATCTGTCCCAATACATTTACGTATACTGAATCACGTGATCAAAGATTTACTACATCTCAGATGCATCCAATTGCCGCGTTTGAGAATTCACATCGGATGCATCTGAGATGTAAAAAATCTTTGATCACGTGATTCAGTATACGTAAATGTAATGGGACAGATGTGTCCGATGTGGAAAAAAAACGCTCGAGATGTAAAAAATGCATCCGATGTGGATTCTCAAATGCAGCATATGTGGATTCTCAAACGCGGCATTAAGGTTCTTTCGTTCGCTGTGCAGTCACTAAAGTGTAAATCGAATCGAATCGAATTGGGTTCCTTTCGATAACCGGCTTAGCACAATCGGACTCGTCAGAGTCGATTTGGTTTTTAGATTTATATGAGGGAAGAAATATATTAAATTGGGCTTCGATATTTTGATTGATTTTTTACTCTAAAGGTTCTCGAGTTCAAAATTGTTGTTGTAAATGAATGAGAAAACAGTTCTACTGATTTTCTTTAAATTACAAAAATAATTTTAATTTATTACTTTCCAGTTATCAGTTAGGAAAGTAAAAGAATCATTCGCCTGATCATTACGTTTTGGAGTTTTCCGAATCCGTTTTGACAATTTTCGCGGTAATGTTTTGGATAAAGAGAAATATGCCACATTTTAAATATAAATTTTAATCCACTTTGCAAAGAGCTAATTCGATTTTGGGCATAGTCGAAATGGGGGTACTTTATAGAGGCTTGATTTTTTTTGCTTTAAGTTATATTTCTGTTATTTGGTGAAAATCATCGAATTAAAGTTGTTTATGATGTAGGTATTTCTCTATCATTTTTGTTATATGCATGATATCTTTAAAATGAAATCGAGAAATAAGAGTAAAAGTATAAAATTATAATTTTCTCAATATTTTTGTTGGCATATCTTTATTGAAAAAATGTTTCGAATAAAATATGTATAATTCATTTTTTAAACACTTGATTAGATGGTCCGTACTCAATATATTTGATAACTTTACCGGAAAGTCATATGTGTAGGACGCATTAGATTTATAAGGTTGGAGGTTACAAAATAAATATTTTACGTCTTGGTCACATTTGAGTTGGAATTATTTCCTATTTTTAATAAATAAACGTCAACTTGATGCTTTGGTGTGTTCATATTTTAAATCCTAAAACATTGGAGCAAAATAAGGGTTAAATTAAACAATTATATATCTCTTTATTTAGTCATATATGGCTAATTAACATGTCATACACAATATATTAAAGCAGTACTAAATTAGACTTAATAATAATAATAACGATAATAATAATAAAATAAAACCATTTCAGAGTTTTACGCCTACGCTCGTGTCACTATATTTTCTGCCCTCACACCCAGACAGCACACCAAATCCTTTGGATATCTACTGGACATCCCAATATCCACTGAATGTCCAGTCCATGGTGGATATATATTTTATATCCATGAGATGTAATTTATAGACATGCAAATGTCCATAAATAATAGTAATTATTAAAAAATTATGCCATTTGTGGCTAATAGTACTGTTCAGATATTTAATAGTATAATACTATACTTTTTCTACGCCTATGAAATAATTAAAATGCAGATTAAATTAAATTTACTCAAATAAACCATTTTACATTAATTCATATTAACTTTTAATAACATGGATAATAAAATGATTATTTATCAATTAACGGATTATGTTGGTGAATATTTATTGTGAAATTCTGGCAGTTCTGAATAGTAAGTGATGCGGTGGCCACATCCATTTTTTGATTTTCATTGACCTTGGTTATAGTCTCGGTGGTGGTAATAGTGGATTTGCTTTGTATTGAGTGAAGTATTTTTTGGGCAGTTGTCATTTTATTATTTAAGGAGTCGTTGATGTACCTCTCCGCCACCGTTGCGGACTTCCACCCCCCATTTCTTTTTAATGCAGTCATGTTGGCTCCTGCATCTACTAGTATTGTGGCAGACGATCTCCTGAAACTGTGTCCTGTATACATTTCGGGGTTGGGCATATTTAAATAATTGGCAATTTGTTTTCCCATTGCCGAGAATTTGTTAATTCCTATATTTTGGACAGAGCATTTCCCATTTTGATCATTCAAAAAGAGAGACGGCGATGCAACTGTGGGGGGACGCAAATCAATATATTTTTTAACCATTTCACAAAATTTTCCTGTTACGGTGAACTTTCTAACGACTTTTGTTTTTGTGTTGGGCACAGTAATTAGCATGGATGTATTAAAAACTTCAATATGCTCAATATTCATATTTCTTAATTCTTGACAACGACACCCAGACAGCACACCAAATCCTTTGGATATCTACTGAACATCCCAATATCCACTGAATGTCCAGTCCATGGTGGATATCTATTTTATATCCATAAAATGTAATTTATAGACATGCAAATGTCCATAAATAATAGTAAGTATATAGCAAATTATTAAAAAATTACGCCATTGTGCTCGCCATTGTGGCTAATAGTACCGTTCAGATATTTAAAATTAATTTTTTTTAGGTGTATTCAATATCCCATGGACATCCATATATATCAAAGTCTTAGCGCGGACGCAAACCATCGTGGATATCTACTAGATGTAATTTTTGATTTTGCTTCCTAAGTATAGATGGCGATACCACTTTTGTATCTACTCATGCTCAACCCGCCATAATTGAGTTGATCGAAAAATTTTTCGCTTTAAGACTCTATTAGAGACTGGAGTCGAGAATTTCCATTTATTGCTGAAGAGTCCTAATAAGGATGACTTTTTCCTTAGTGGGCAAACTCAAAGGCAGATTGTTGGAAATTTTTTTTATCTCTATTTTCTTTTGACGTTATTCAATAATCATTTGGTTACTTATGAATGTCTACTAAAGATACCTATAAAATATTTTGCTGAATATCTGAATTTTATATCCTGGGATATAGACGGACATTTGGTTGGATATCCACAAAATATATTCTGTGGATATCTCTGGGATTTCTTGTATTGTCTGGAAGATACTAATTAGATATTTTGCTGAATATCCATAGGATATCTTCTATATTCTGGATATAGACGGACATTTGGATATCCATATTAGATCCACGGAATATTTCTGATATCCTGTGGATATATTGGATATCCACAAAAGATATTCTATGGATATCTTTGGGATTCGGTGTGTTGTCTGGGCCCAGAATCACAGAAATATCCACAGAATATATTTTGTGGATATTCAATATATCCAATATGGATATCCAACCAAATGTCCGTCTATATCCCAGGATATAGATATTCGGATATTCAGCAAAATATTTTATCGGTATCTTTAGTAGAGGTTCATAAGTAACCAATGATTATTGAATAACGTCGAAAGAAAATAACAGAGATAAAAAATATTGTCAACACTCAAAATATTTTCAACACTCAAAATATTTTCAACACTGCCTTTGATTTTGCCCACTAAAGTCATATCCTTATTAGGACTCTTCAGCAATAAAGAGTGATTAGGATAGGACACACATTTCGATCGAACTCAATTACGGCGGGTCGAGCATGAGTAGATGTAATAGTGGTATCGCCATCTATACTTAGTAAGCAGAATCAAATAACATCTAGTGGATATTCACGATGGTTTGCGTTCGCGTCTTGACTTTGATATATTTAGTGGATGTTCATGGGATATTGAATACACCTTAAAAAAATTAATTTTAAATATCTGAACGCTACTATTAGCCACAATGGCGAGCACAGTGGCGTAATTTTTTAATAATTTGCTATATAATTACTATTATTTATGGACATTTGCATGTCTCTAAGGACCGATTCCACCGTTGTGTTAAACGGAGATTAAAATGACATTGTTAATGTAAAAATGTCATTTTAAACTTCGTTTAACACAACGGTGGAATCGGTACTAAATTACATTTCATGGATATAAAATAGATATCTACCATGGACAGGACATTCAGTGGATATTGGGATGTTCAGTAGATATCCAAAGGATTTGGTGTGCTGTCTGGGTAATCATTGGTTACTTATGAACCTCTACTAAAGATACCCATAAAATATTTTGCTGAATAATCCGAATATCTTCTATATCCTGGGATATAGACGGACATTTGCATATCCATATTAGATCCACTGGATATATTGGATATCCACAAAATATATTCTGTGGATATCTCTGGGATTTCTTGTATTGTCTGGAAGATACCCATTAGATATTTTGCTGGATATCCATAGGATATCTTCTATATTCTGGATATAGACGGACATTTGGACATCCATATTAGATCCACGGGATATTTCTGATATCCTGTGGATATATTGGATATTCTGTGGATATATCTGGGATTTGGTGTGTTGTCTGGGTAGCTGGACCAACAGTTTAGATAAATAAGTATAATATATACACAGATCCAGCCCTTTTAAATTATTAGTTAGTGTTATATTTTGTATAAGTGACACTCTATACAAAAGGCTTTTGTCAGACTTCATTTTTTAAAAAGTTACTTATTACTTATTTACTTATTATTTATGGACATTTGCATGTCTATAAATTACATCTCATGGATATAAAATAGATATCCACCATGGACTGGACATTCAGTGGATATTGGGATGTCCAGTAGATATCCAAATGATTTGGTGTGCTGTCTGGGTGTATTTATAAATGTCTTTTTTTTTTAGTCTAATATTTTAGAAAAAAAAAAGGTAGAATGGATTTCTGAAATATTACTATTTAATATTTCTAAAAGATTTCAAATTTTTATTTCAGAAAAATTACTGGGAAATATTATATTCAGAGGAAATTTTTACGTTTCAGGCACATTTCAGAAATGTTTCTGGGATGTTTCGTAATATTAATACAACATTACAAATGTTTCAATGTAATATTTTTGAAATATTTCTGAAATGTGTTTGTGCTGTATGGGTACCCCCATAATCACCGCCACTGATGTGATTGAAGGAGTACCTTATCTTATCTAATAGACGTATTTTTTTAATTATTAATCTTAAAAGTCTCATCCGAGACTTATACAGATAATGAAAGATACCATTTTGGCAAACTATGTAGGTGCATTTACATATTGGGTAAATATTATTGTTATAATTGATATTGACTGAGTGGCAATTAAAAAAGTTATTATCGATAAATTGAAACAATAGTTATTTACTGTCATTTCGTTGCAGAAGCGACGCTGGGAAATGCTAAATTGCTAAATATACATATCAAATATTTTAGCCATCCCTACCAGAGAAATATCCCTTCCTCATACACGATAACGTGTGGATTCTGTACTCATATACCGCATATACCAATCCGTAATCCGTTGGTGCTTGTACACAATTTTTACTCAATAATGATGATATAATGATGTCAGATCTATTATATATGGAGTAAAAGTAATAAATTGAGGAATAGTGATATATTATTAATGATTGGGCAATACAAATGTCCAAAGAATTAAAAAACAATAATTTTGGTATTTGTAAATAATGAGGTATGTATGTTTTGTTATACATGACAAGGACGGCTACAGGTATAATTTTCGGAGGAGGCCATTACCATTATTTAATCGCTTTTTAGCATTTTTTTTTTAATAAAAGGCTCATGGAATATTAGCATTTTAATCTCGGGGGAACATGGCACCATGGGCCACTCTCTGAAGCCGCCCTTGTTACTTGGCCATACCTTACAAATTTATGATGGCTATACGGGGTGTTTTTTTGAACATGCGGCAAAAATTCAAGGGGTTGTTCTTTGGACTATTCTAAGAATATTTTGTCCTTTGATGATTTTTGAAAATCCGTTTTGTTAAGTAGAAAAAAATAGCCGTTTTTAGTAATTGGAATGTTGTTAAAAAATAATAAAAATAACGAATTTTTAAAAAAGTTGTATGTTCTTGGTTAACACAGTGTAGTACTTATTTTTATTTAGACTATTAATAATTTTAAAAATCATCAAAGAACAAAATATTCTTAGATTTGTCCAAGGAACAACCCCTTGAATTTTTGCCACGTTTAAAAAACACCTGGTATATTTGTTAACAGAAGGGATGATTCATCCCTAATACAAAGGTGTAAACTACTATTTAATTCACGATCAAGTATTCTCAAATACAATGTTGATGTGGTATTGCCACTGTATATTCGCGTACTGCCAAACTGCCATGCATGTGGCCATGCATGGAGGAAGCGTACAGCCGACAGCACTACTGCGCAGTGCGCTGATTTTCCTTCAAGAATGTGTGGTATATATGTTACGGTTAAAGTAAAGTGTTTACTTGGCTAGTTTATAGACTAGCTGGATAGGATATAAACTATCCAAATGTCCTGCTATTTTAATGGAAAATTATATTTCTACTAAAATAGCTATGAATATTGGTTGGTTTGTATACTAACCAGCTAGTTTACAAACTATACAATATTTATCGCCAAAGTATAAACCACAAGAAAAGTACACAAACTAACCGATATATTTGGCTAGTTTACAAACTATCCAGAGTATCTGGATAAAATGTGAACTTATTATTCGTAGTAATACATAATAACCAGCTCGTCGGTTAGTATGTAAACTGACCAATCTGCTTTGGTTAATTTATTAGAAAAGTGAGTTTATAGTTATGGTAAGTGTGTGTTATTATTGTTTACTCTTACTGTGGTGTCTTGTAAAATTGGATTAAGACGAGGTATCTGATTATTAAAAATAAATAATCAACAACAATAATTTGAAAACCTACTTTCGGAAATTTACTAGCAAAAGTCGCAAAATTCAAAATTAATAAATGACAATGATTCTACCCAGGCAGCACATTTCGTCCAATGGACGACCACTTTAGATCCATTTGAGGGCCAGAACATCCATATCCGTATTCAGACATCCAGTGTACGTCTATTTATGATCATTAATTTGACGATACCCAAAGGACGTCTGTTTTTGGACTTAATTTTAAGTTTAGTATTCTTTTGACGTCCATCTTAGGTCATTATTTAGTTAGCCTGCCAGATAATATCCATCTACATACACTGCCTTTTTTAAATAGAATTGCTCATTAAAAATTGGCAAATTGAATCTATTACATTTCATTCTATCAGCGGAAGTTTGAAATCTTATTCTATTAATACCGTATGTAGTAAGAATTTTTGCAAGTGGTTCCTTGGTCGAGGGCGCCTAGCGCTTAAAAGCCTAGAACGACAACGGACGTGTCGTGAGTTCAAATCCCTGCTTAGGTTAAGTAATTTTTAATAATAAAAAAATTAATAAATGGCGTATAGCGGGTTTCGAAAAAAAAAAAAAATAAATTATTAATAATATAAAATAGTGTGTGGTGAGTTGCGGTTTATACAGAATCGAACCATCTTATATAATTTTACATAAAAAATCTGGAAAGATTATTTTACGTTTGAGTGAATGTTATGATGCGATTAAAGCTGCCCACCAGAGAACTGGGCATGGAGGTCGTCAAGCGACTACAAAATTATTAAATGAAAAGTATTATAACTTAACACAGGAAACGGAAAAATTATTTATTGAAACTTGCAGAACCTGTCAGCTCAAACAGAACAAAACTAAAAAAGGTATTGTTGTGAAACCAATAATTGTATCAAATCATTTAAAAACTGTCGGTGCCAAATCGATCTCATCGACAAACTAGACCAAATGGTGACTTCAGGTTTATGTTTGCCTATTAAGACCACCTAACCAAATACGTCAGGTTGAGAGCGCTGAAAACAAAGAAGGCTATAGAAGTAGCTCAGCACCTATTTAAAGTATTTGCAGACCTAGGAAGTCCTTGCGTGTTGAAGAACGTCAACGGCCGAAAATTTGCAAACGAGGTAGGTATTTTTTCAATATGTAGGTACAGAGTGGCCAAATAACAAATAAAATTTATTCCAAATTCCTAAAATAAAATTATTTAAACAATAATCTGTATTTAAATATAACTGATATGAATGTACCTAAGTACCTAAGGCAGAATCGAATAGGTGGTTCAGTGGTCACTTGTCATGCTGGCGGCCCAAACTCGATTCACAGCCGATCCATTTCTTTTTTATTTTTTAAGTTTAAATGCCAGTATATTTATTTTTGTTGGAAAAAAATTATTCAAATAAATAGTCGATAAACTAAATTAACCAAAGAGGATTGGTGAGTTTACATACTAACCGACGAGCTGGTTATTATGTATTACTACGAATATTAAGTTCACACTTTATCCAAATACTGTGGATAGTTTGTAAGCTAGCCAAAAATCGGTTAATTTGTGTATAATTTTCTTGTGGTATTTACTTTAAGAGGAGTATTTACTTGGCTGTAGAGCGGAGCATGCAAGGGTTTCGTAGTACCCCACTTTTAAAGTTTATTTTTGACTTATTCTGAAAGAAAAAAATATGTACGTGTAGGTAAAGGATAAATCTATGCTCCTCTGGAAACACTTTTTTAAAATTTGAAACAGTTTTTTCTAAAAAAAAATACAAAACTCGACTTGTTTTACCCATTTTCTCAATTTTTTTTAGAAAAAACTAAATTGAATTTTGAAAAAGTGGTTCCAGAGGAGCATAGATTTAACCTTTACCTACACACACATATTTTTTTAATTTAAAAATAGTCAAAAATAAACTTTAAAAGTGGGGTACTACGAAACCCTTACATTGCAAGATTTTTCGTCTGGAAAGTGGCGCCTCTGTTAGATTTTTAAGAAATTAATATTTGTGAATGAAAACAATTTATAATATATTTTACTGATGTTTTACGAGGGATGAATAAATTTTACGTATTTGTACACCTTATTTTTTACGTAATTTATTTCTGTAATACTAAGATTGGCATATATATTATATGCAAGGGTTTCATAGTACACCAATTTTACAGATTATTTTTTAATTTTACTAAAAGAAATTTTATGTAAGTACAGGTAAAGGCTTAACCCATACCTCTCTGGATTTACTTTCAAAATATGAATCAGTCTCTTTTGAAAAAATCTAAGAAAAGAAACGAAAGCCACCCGATATGGCATGGACCATAAATTCAAAACAAAATAAGATTTGGAAATTTATTTGCAAGTAAAAGTTTTTAAATGTGGACATTTTATTGAATTCGAATTTGATTATGTTGCTGCCAGTCTGGATGGAATTTAAAAAAATAAACAAAACTCTATGATAGAGTTAAAATGTCCATATGGAGCTGAAGTGCGGACTGTAGCAGAAGAAATAGGCAGTAGAGAAATAACTTTTTGGAAAAAGAACAATTCCATTAAGGAGAACCACTATTGGTATTTTCAAATTCAGGGCTAGCTGCACATAACACAAATGGATTTTTGCATTTTGTGCTTTTGGACTTCTGGAGGAATAGAAGTGGAGAAAATATCTCATATTGACAGCTTTTGAGAAAAAAAGAAACAAAATAAAATTAAAATTTTTTATATGCAATATGTCTTGCCGGAACTTGTTGACAGCGAAGCAATAGAGACATGGAAGTACGAGACAGAATATTAAATAATTCGTGAGAAATTTTGTTTAATGTTTATTAACATAACGCAAGGAATCTTAAATTATTTTGAATATTTTTATTAATTTAAGAATTAAATTTTATTTATTTCTAAAACATGGTAGTAGGCGATCCATTTAAGATATGATTAATGTCTTCTTATTATTATATTACACTATTTTAAATTTAGGATTTTACCAGTGGCAGTGGTAATTGATGATAGGTATATAATTATTATTACACCAAATGTTTTAAAAGGCTACACCAACTAGTGGACCACCCTTTTAAGTCCCCAAATAATAGTTTCAAGATTTTGATTCGGATTAGAAGTTTTACTATACAGGGTTTTGTGTCAAAGCCAAGTCATGTAGGTATTGTTATTGTAATACGTAGATGAGTAACTATCATCAATAGAAATTTAAAATTCAAACATAAATCTTTGTAACGACGTTATTTATAACTTTATTAACTTCATAACGGTCAAAAATGTTAGTTAACTTATTTAATTTTAAATATAAATTGATTTTAATTTTAACTTAGAAATTTTCGAAAAGTTCACTATATTGTTTAGTTGTTGCAACTTTACTGCGCTTAAGTAGCGTTCAGATTAAAATATAAATTTATGGAGCTTAACTGAAAAACAGAAACTAATTCCAAAAAAAGTATTATGGCCAATAAAAAGAATTTTGAATTGTGATATCTGCAAGTCCTTATTTAAAACCTTTCAATTTAATATTATCATTATACAAGAGTTATTTTAACAAATTGATACAAATATCGAACATAAGTTTGTTGACATAAACATTATTTCCATAATACAAATAAATATATCTCTGTTAAAGAATACTCATAATTTATTTAATATATTCATTTAAACATGTTTTTGTTTTTTGTCTGGATGATATTGAATACTAACTTTTTCTATATAACTTATCGACACATTGTGAGATAAAAAAACAGACAATTAATTAAAAGCGTACTTACAATTTCAATGCTATACTGTTTCCCAAATTATGA